GTCTGTGTTGGGGCATGTTGGGCTGTGTTGGGCCATGTTGAGCCGTGTTGGTCTGTGTTGGGCCATGTTGGGCTGTGTTGGGCCATGTTGAGCCATGTTGGGCTGTGTTGAGCTGTGTTGGGCCATGGTGAGCCATGTTGGGCTGTGTTGGTCTGTGTTGGGGCATGTTGGGCTGTGTTGGGCCATGTTGAGCCGTGTTGGTCTGTGTTGGGCTGTGTTGAGCCATGTTGGGCTGTGTTGGGCCATGTTGAGCTGTGTTGGGCCATGATGAGCCATGTTGGGCTGTGTTGGGCCATGTTGAGCTGTGTTGGGTCATGTCGGGCCGTGTTGGGCTGTGTTGGTTTGAGTTGGGCTGTGTTGAACCGTGTTGGGCCGTGTTGAGCCGTGTTGAGCTGTGTTGGTCTGTGTTGGTCCGTGTTGGGCCATGTTGAGCTGTGTTGGGCTGTGTTGGGCCGTGTTGGGCCGTGTTGGTCTGTGTTGGGCCGTGTTGGTTTGTGTTGGGCTGTGTTGGGCTGTGTTGGGCTGTGTTGAGCCGTGTTGGTCTGTGTTGGGCCGTGTTGGGCCGTGTTGGGCTGTGTTGATCCGTGTTTGGCTGTGTTGATCCGTGTTGATCCGTGTTGGGCCGTATTGGGCCGTGTTGAGCCGTGTTGAGCTGTGTTGGTCTGTGTTGGGCCGTGTTGGGCCATGTTGAGCCGTGTTGGGCCGTGTTGATCCGTGTTGATCCATGTTGGGCCGTGTTGGGCCATGTTGAGCCGTGTTGAGCTGTGTTGGTCTGTGTTGAGCCGTGTTGGGCCGTGTTGGGCCGTGTTGAGCTGTGTTGATCCGTGTTGGGCCGTGTTGGGCCGTGTTGGTCTGTGTTGAGCCGTGTTGAGCTGTGTTGGTCTGTGTTGAGCCGTGTTGATCCGTGTTGGGCCGTGTTGGGCCATGTTGGTCCATGCCCGGACCCCCGCCCTGAGCTGGGGTGTCCCAGGCTCCCCGGTAGCACCAACCACGCTCGTGGGTCCCTCCTGGGCGGGGGGGTCCCGGTGCCGCGGGCGCACGGTGCGGTGGGGGCGGGTTCCGGGGGTTATTCCCGGTTATTCCCTGCCCCATCGGGGGTGCGGGGCCGTGGCGCCGGTCGCGGCTGTGGCTCCGGGCCCGGGGCCGCGGCGGGTGGAGGTGGCTGCAGGGATTTGTCCCCCCGGGGCCCCCCCTCCATCCGCCCCACTCAGCGTTTCCGTGCTGCGGCTCCGGTTGAGTCACCTCCAGGAGCCGCTGGGGCCGCGCGAGGGGCACCGGCACCGTCCCGTCCCGTCCCCGTCCCCCTCTGGTGTGGGGCAGCTGCAGCCCCCCCCCCCCCCCCCCGGTGCTGCCCCACAGCGCCCCGCAGACCCCACGGGGGTCCTGGTGACGGGGGCAGCTGTGGCCAACGTGGCATGAGCGTGGTGGGACCATGACATGACCATTGCACACATAGCATGACCATGGCATGACCCATGACAAACGTGGCATGACCGTGGCAAACATGGCACAACCATGGCGAGCTTGGTGGGACCGTGGCATGACCACTGCAAGCCACGGTGTGACCATGGCATGATGTCATACATGACCATAGCAAGCGCGGTGTGACCGTGGCAAGCCGGGCATGACCATGGCATGCCTATGACGAGCGCGCCAGGGCTGTGTGGAGCGCAGTGGCACCTGTGTCCCCGTGGATGCGTGTCCCGCTCCGTGTGGTGTCCCCTGGTCTCCTGCTATCGCCCTGTCCTGCTGCTCCCCGCACCCCCCCCAGCTCCTTATCTCTGTGGTGCAGCCGGGGCAGAGCTGTGGGGCAGCACTGAGCAGTGCCACATTGGGCCCACCCCACAAGCCCTGGTGTGTGCCGGTGTGTCCTTGATGTGTCCTGGTGTGTCCCAGTGTGTCCTTGATGTGTCCCGGTGTGTCCCAGTGTGTCCCGGTGTGTCCCAGTGTATCCCAGTGTGTCCTGGTGTGTCCCAGTGTATCCCAGTGTGTCCCGGTGTGTCCCAGTGTATCCCAGTGTGTCCCGGTGTGTCCCGGTGTGTCCTGTTTGGGCTGCACAAGGGTTGGGTTTTGGCACAGGACCCTCCATGCCTGGCAAGGATCCATGCCAAGCACCCCCTGCACCCAGGTTGCTGCTGCCGGGGCCCCGTGCCATGGCATGACCATGACCATGCCTGTGCCATGCCCATACCCGTATCCATGCCCATTCCAGTGCCATGCCTTGCCTGTACCCTGGCCATGCCTGTGCCATTTGCTGCCCATGCTCATGCCATGGCCATGCCTGTGTCATACCCCTGTCATGCCATCTCTGCACTGTACCCATGCTCATGCCATGGCCATGCCTGTGTCATACCCCTGCCCCTGCCATGCCATCTCTGCACTGTACCCATGCTCATGCCATGACCATGCCTGTGTCATACCCCTGCCCCTGCCATGCCATCTCTGCACTGTACCCATGCTCATGCCATGGCCATGCCTGTGTCATACCCCTGTCATGTCATCTCTGCACTGTACCCATGCTCATGCCATGGCCATGCCTGTGTCATACCCCTGCCCCTGACATGCCATCTCTGCACTGTACCCATGCCCGTGCCTATGGCCGTGCCTGTGTCATACCCCTGCCCCTGCCATGCCATCTCTGCACTGTACCCATGCTCGTGCCATGACCATGCCTGTGTCATACCCCTGCCCCTGCCATGCCATCTCTGCACTGTACCCATGCCCGTGCCTATGGCCGTGCCTGTGTCATACCCCTGCCCCTGCCATGCCATCTCTGCACTGTACCCATGCTCGTGCCATGACCATGCCTGTGTCATACCCCTGCCCCTGCCATGCCATCTCTGCACTGTACCCATGCCCGTGCCTGTGGCCGTGCCTGCGTCCGTGCCCATCTCTGTGCCATCCACGTTCCCATGCCCCTTTCCGTTCCCGTGCCCATCCCAGGCCGGCGCCGCTGTTCCGAGCCCCCCTCTCTGCCCCCCCCGGCCCTGGCGCTGCCGCGATGCGGATCCAGGGGGATCCCGGCGGAGCGCCCGGGCGTGGGCTCGGCCCTGGGCCGGGATGGGGCCGGGAAGGGGCCGGGAGGGGCCGGGAAGGGGCCGGGATGCGGCCTGGCAGCGGCTGTGGGCGCTCTGAGTCAGCGCCGGCCTCGGCCCCGACGCCACGATGATGGTCGTGGAGCTGTGCTGCGGGTGCTGCTGCAGGCCTGGAGGTGGGTGCTGGGTGCCGAGGGGGGGACACCCCATGGCGGCACCACCGGGGTGCTCCCGAGCGGCTCCGGCCTGGGGGTGCTGGGGGGGGTTGCTGGGGGTGTCCCCGCCTTGGGGGTTCCCGGGGGTTCCCCGGGGTGGGGCACTGGGCCCTGGCAGGGCGGGGCAGGAGGATGGGGGGGTCAGGGGAGGTCAGGGTGCAGGGGGGGCAAGGCAGTGGGTGCTGCGGGCATGGGGGCAGGAGGGTGCTGCGGCGCACAGGAGGGGTGCAGAGGATTGGGGGTGCAGGAGCGTGAAGGGAGGGTGTCCTTGGGTCCAGGCCTCACGGGTGCAGAGGATTTAGGGGTGCAAGGGAGGGGGTGCACAGGTTTAGGGGTGCTGGGGGGCAGGGGTGCAGGGGCACTGGGTGCAGAGGCTTTAGGGGTGTGGGATGGGGTTTGCACAGCATTAGGGGTTTCTGGGTGCATGGGACATGGTGCACAGCATTGGGGCATTGGTGCACAGCATTGGGGGCATTGGTGCACAGCATTGGGGGCATTGGTGCACAGCATTGGGGCATTGGTGCACAGCATTGGGGCATTGGTGCACAGCATTGGGGTGTTGGTGCACAGCATTGGGGGCATTGGGGCACAGCATTGGGGTATTGGTGCACAGCATTGGGGCATTGGTGCACAGCATTGGGGGCATTGGGGCACAGCATTGGGGCATTGGTGCACAGCATTGGGGCATTGGTGCACAGCATTGGGGACATTGGTGTACAGCATTGGGGGCATTGGGGCACAGCATTGGGGGCGTTGGTGCACAGCATTGGGGGCGTTGGTGCACAGCATTGGGGGCATTGGGGCACAGCATTGGGGCATTGGGGCACAGCATTGGGGCATTGGGGCACAGCATTGGGGGCATTGGGGCACAGCATTGGGGCATTGGTGCACAGCATTGGGGCATTGGGGCACAGCATTGGGGCATTGGTGCACAGCATTGGGGGCATTGGTGCACAGCATTGGGGGCATTGGAGCACAGCATTGGGGCATTGGTGCACAGCATTGGGGGCATTGGTGCACAGCATTGGGGGCATTGGAGCACAGCATTGGGGCATTGGGGCACAGCATTGGGGGCATTGGGGCACAGCATTGGGGCATTGGTGCACAGCATTGGGGCATTGGTGCACAGCATTGGGGCGTTGGTGCACAGCATTGGGGCATTGGGGCACAGCATTGGGGGCATTGGAGCACAGCATTGGGGCATTGGTGCACAGCATTGGGGCATTGGTGCACAGCATTGGGGGCATTGGGGCACAGCATTGGGGGCATTGGGGCACAGCATTGGGGCATTGGAGCACAGCATTGGGGCATTGGTGCACAGCATTGGGGCATTGGTGCACAGCATTGGGGCATTGGGGCACAGCATTGGGGGCATTGGAGCACAGCATTGGGGCATTGGTGCACAGCATTGGGGGCATTGGGGCACAGCATTGGGGGCATTGGGGCACAGCATTGGGGGCATTGGGGCACAGCATTGGGGCATTGGAGCACAGCATTGGGGCATTGGTGCACAGCATTGGGGCATTGGGGCACAGCATTGGGGCACAGCAGTAGTGGTGCGGGGTGCAGGCCCATGGGTGCAGAGGGTTTAGGGGTGCGGGGGGCAGCACCGTGGCCCTGGGTGCCCGGTGCCGCCGGTCCGGCCGCTCGGTCCCGTTCCCGGGGCGGTGGCAGCGGCGGGGGCGGGTCCCGCTCGGCCCCTCCCGCCCCGTCCGGTCCCGTCCCGTCCGTCGGGCGGCGGCGGCGGCGGCAGCACCGGCACCATGGAGGGCAGCGCCGGCGGGGCGGGGCCCGTCGGGACTCCCGGTGCCGTCGGGGGGTGGCTCAGCGGCGGCTCCGAGTCCGAGCGGCGGCGGTACCTGAGCGCGAGGCTCTGCTGCAGCGGTGCGAGCGGCGGGACGGGCCGGGGCGGAAAGGGGAAGGGACCGGGGCGGGGGGGACCGCGGGGTTGGGGGGGACCGGGCCGGGGGGGTTCGGGCCGTGCGGGGGGGGGGGGGTCGGGACCCCGCGGGACCGGGCGGGACCCGCTCCGGGGGGGGCTGGGGGGATCCCGGGGCGGGGGGGGAAGAAGCGGGGCTGACGCAGGGACACGCCCCCCCCGCGGAGGGGCCGCCCCCGGGGGCTGGGCCGGGCCTGAGCTGGGCTGGGCTGGACTGGGATGAACTGGGCTGGGCTGAACTGGGCTGGACTGAGCTGAGCTTGATTTGAGCTGAGCTGGGCAGAACTGGGCTGAACTGGGATGAACTGGGATGAACTGGGCTGGACTGAGCTGAGCTGGGCAGAACTGGGATGAACTGGGATGAACTGGGATGAACTGGGATGAACTGGGCTGGACTGAGCTGAGCTGGGGTGGGCTGAGCTTGATTTGAGCTGAGCTGGGCAGAACTGGGATGAACTGGGATGAACTGGGCTGAACTGAACTGGGCTGAACTGGGCTGAACTGAGCTGAGCTGGGCTGAACTGGGCTGAACTGAGCTGAGCTGGGCTGAGCTGGGCTGAACTGGGCCTGAACTGAGCTGAGCTGGGCTGAACTGGGCCTGAACTGAGCTGAGCTGGGCTGAACTGGGCCTGAACTGGGCTGAGCTGGGCTGAACTGGGCTGAGCTGGGCTGAGCTGGGCTGAACTGAGCTGAGCTGGGCTGGGCTGAGCTTGATTTGAGCTGAGCTGGGCTGAACTGGGATGAACTGGGATGAACTGGGCTGAACTGAACTGGGCTGAACTGGGCTGAACTGAACTGGGCTGAACTGGGCTGAGCTGGGCTGAACTGAACTGGGCTGAACTGGGCTGAACTGAGCTGAGCTGGGCTGAGCTGGGCTGAACTGAACTGGGATGAACTGAACTGGGATTGAGCTGGGCTGAACTGGGATTGAGCTGAACTGGGCTGAACTGGGCTGAACTGAACTGGGATGAACTGAACTGGGATGAACTGAACTGGGATTGAGCTGAACTGGGATTGAGCTGGGCTGTAGCCAGGGGTTTGGCTGGTTCATGTCTGTCTGTACCTGTGCCCGTGTGCACGCGTGTGCACGCCAGTGCACCCCGTGTGTGTGCACCCCGTGTGTGTGCCAGTGCACCCCATGTGTGTGCACCTGCGTGTGTGTGCCAGTGCACCCCGTGTGTGTGCACCCGTGTGTGTGTGCACCCGTGTGTGTGTGCCAGTGCACCCCATGTGTGTGCACCCCGTGTGTGTGCCAGTGCACCCCGTGTGTGTGCACCCCGTGTGTGTGCCAGTGCAACCTGTGTGTGCACCCGCGTGTGTGTGCCAGTGCACCCCGTGTGTGTGCACCCGTGTGTGTGCACCCATGTGTGCCAGTGCACCCCGTGTGTGTGCACCCCATGTGTGTGCACCCATGTGTGCCAGTGCACCCCGTGTGCGCACGCGTGTGCGCGCCCCGTACATGCGTTGGCCCTGGTGTGTGTCAGCGCACGCGCGTGCCCAGCACACACGTGTTTGTGTGTCCGTGTGCGTGCACACGTGTGCGCAGCACACACGTGTTTGTGTGTCCGTGTGCGTGCACACGCGTGCCCAGCACACACGTGTTTGTGTGTCCGTGCACACGTGTGCCCAGCACACACGTGTTTGTGTGTCCGTGCACACGTGTACCCAGCACACACGTGTTTGTGTGTCCGTGCACACGTGTGCCCAGCACACACGTGTTTGTGTGTCCGTGTGCGTGCACACGTGTACCCAGCACACACGTGTTTGTGTGTCCGTGTGCGCGCACACGTGTGCCCAGCACACACGTGTTTGTGTGTCCGTGCACATGTGTACCCAGCACACACGTGTTTGTGTGTCCGTGTGCGTGCACACGTGTACCCAGCACACACGTGTTTGTGTGTCCGTGCACATGTGTACCCAGCACACACGTGTTTGTGTGTCCGTGTGCGTGCACACGCGTACCCAGCACACACGTGTTTGTGTGTCCGTGCACACGTGTACCCAGCACACACGTGTTTGTGTGTCCGTGCACACGTGTACCCAGCACACACGTGTTTGTGTGTTCGTGCACACATGGTACCCAGCACACACGTGTTTGTGTGTCCGTGCACACGTGTACCCAGCACACACGTGTTTGTGTGTCCGTGTGCGTGCACACGTGTGCCCAGCACACACGTGTTTGTGTGTCCGTACACACATGGTACCCAGCACACACGTGTTTGTGTGTCCGTGCACACGTGTACCCAGCACACACGTGTTTGTGTGTCCGTGTCCGTGCACATGTGTACCCAGCACACACGTGTTTGTGTGTCCGTGTCCGTGCACACGTGTACCCAGCACACACGTGTTTGTGTGTCCGTGTGCGTGCACACGTGTACCCAGCACACACGTGTTTGTGTGTCCGTGTGCGTGCACACGTGTACCCAGCACACACGTGTTTGTGTGTCCGTGTGCGTGCACACGTGTACCCAGCACACACGTGTTTGTGTGTCCGTGTGCGTGCACACGTGTACCCAGCACACACGTGTTTGTGTGTCCGTGCACACGTGTACCCAGCACACACGTGTTTGTGTGTCCGTGCACACGTGTACCCAGCACACACGTGTTTGTGTGTCCCTGTGCCGCTCCGTGCGCGGTGCCGGGGCCCTGCCTGCTCTTGGCCGCTCTTCCCATCCTCTGCCCGCGGTGCTGCCCGCGGTGGTGCCGGTGGTGCCGGTGGTGCCGGTGGTGCCGGTGGGTGCCGGTGGTGCCGGTGGTGCCGGTGGGTGCCGGTGGTGCCGGTGGTGCCGGTGGGTGCCGGTGGTGCCGGTGGGTGCCGGTGGGTGCCGGTGGTGCCGGTGCGTGCCGGTGCGTGCCGGTGGGTGCTGGTCGTGCCGGTGGGTGCCGGTGGGTGCCGGTGGGTGCCGGTGGGTGCTGGTCGTGCCGGTGGGTGCCGGTGCGTGCCGGTGGGTGCTGGTGCATGCCGGTCGTGCCGGTGGGTGCCGGTGGTGCCGGTGGGTCCTGGTGGGTGCCGGTGGTGCCGGTGCGTGCCGGTGCGTGCCGGTGGGTGCCGGTGGTGCCGGTGGGTCCTGGTGGGTGCCGGTGGTGCCGGTGCGTGCCGGTGGGTGCCGGTGGGTGCCGGTGGTGCCGGTGCGTGCCGGTGGGTGCTGGTCGTGCCGGTGGGTGCCGGTGGGTGCCGGTGGTGCCGGTGGTGCCGGTGGGTGCCGGTGGTGCCGGTGGTGCCGGTGGGTGCCGGTGGTGCCGGTGGGTGCCGGTGGGTGCCGGTGGTGCCGGTGGGTGCCGGTGGGTGCCGGTGGTGCCGGTGGTGCCGGTGGTGCCGGTGGGTGCCGGTGGGTGCCGGTGGTGCCGGTGGGTGCCGGTGGTGCCGGTGGGTGCCGGTGCGTGCCGGTGGGTGCCGGTGGGTGCCGGTGGTGCCGGTGGGTCCTGGTGGGTGCCGGTGGGTGCCGGTGGTGCCGGTGCGTGCCGGTGGGTGCCGGTCGTGCCGGTGGGTGCTGGTGGGTGCTGGTCGTGCCGGTGGGTGCCGGTGCGTGCCGGTGGGTGCCTGTGGGTGCCGGTGGTGCCGGTGGGTGCTCAGAGGGTGCCGGTTGATGCTGGTCGTGCCGGTGGGTGCTGGTGGATGCCAGTGATGCCGGTGAGTGCCGGTCGTGCCGGTGGGTGCTGGTGGATGCCAGTGATGCCGGTGGGTGCCGGTGGTGCCGGTGCGTGCCGGTGGGTGCCGGTGGTGCCGGTGGGTCCTGGTGGGTGCCGGTGGTGCCGGTGGGTCCTGGTGGGTGCCGGTGGTGCCGGTGGTGCCGGTGGGTGCCGGTGGTGCCGGTGGTGCCGGTGGTGCCGGTCGTGCCGGTGGGTGCCGGTGGGTGCCGGTGGGTGCCGGTGGGTGCCGGTGGTGCCGGTGGTGCCGGTGGTGCCGGTGGGTGCCGGTGGTGCCGGTGGTGCCGGTGGGTGCCGGTGGTGCCGGTGGGTGCCGGTGGGTGCCGGTGGTGCCGGTGGGTGCCGGTGCGTGCCGGTGGGTGCCGGTGGGTGCCGGTGGGTGCCGGTGGGTGCTGGTCGTGCCGGTGGGTGCCGGTGGTGCCGGTGGTGCCGGTGGGTGCCGGTGGTGCCGGTGGGTGCCGGTGCGTGCCGGTGGGTGCCGGTGGGTGCCGGTGGGTGCTGGTCGTGCCGGTGGGTGCCGGTGCGTGCCGGTGGGTGCTGGTGCGTGCCGGTCGTGCCGGTTGGTGCTGGTGGTGCCGGTGGGTGCTGGTCGTGCCGGTGGGTGCTGGTCGTGCCGGTGGGTGCCGGTGGTGCCAGTGGGTGCTCAGAGGGTGCCGGTTGATGCTGGTCGTGCCGGTGGGTGCTGGTGGATGCCAGTGATGCCGGTGAGTGCCGGTCGTGCCAGTGGCGCCAGTGGTGCCGGTGAGTGCCGGTGGATGCCGGTGGTGCCGGTGGATGCCGGTGGTGCCGGTGGTGCCGGTGGGTGCCGGTGGTGCCGGTGGTGCCGGTGGGTGCCGGTGGGTGCCGGTGCGTGCCGGTGGGTGCCGGTGGGTGCCGGTGGGTGCTGGTCGTGCCGGTGGGTGCCGGTGGTGCCGGTGGTGCCGGTGGGTGCCGGTGCGTGCCGGTGGGTGCCGGTGGGTGCCGGTGGGTGCTGGTCGTGCCGGTGGGTGCCGGTGCGTGCCGGTGGGTGCTGGTGCGTGCCGGTCGTGCCGGTGGGTGCTGGTGGTGCCGGTGGGTGCTGGTCGTGCCGGTGGGTGCTGGTCGTGCCGGTGGGTGCCGGTGGTGCCAGTGGGTGCTCAGAGGGTGCCGGTTGATGCTGGTCGTGCCGGTGGGTGCTGGTGGATGCCAGTGATGCCGGTGAGTGCCGGTCGTGCCGGTGGCGCCAGTGGTGCCGGTGAGTGCCGGTGGATGCCGGTGGTGCCGGTGGATGCCGGTGGTGCCGGTGGCTGCCAGTGGGTGCTGAGAGGGTGCCGATGGGTGCCGTTCGTGCCGGCGGTGCTGGTGCCGGGAGCTGCCCTCCCCGTGAATCATACAGCAACAGCCCCGGTGTCCTTTGCACCCCAGGCAAGGTTCAGGCTGCTCTTGTAATGGGTGCCGTGGGTGATGTGGGTGCCATGGGTGATGTGGGTGATGTGGGTGCCATGGGTGATGTGGGTGATGTGGGTGCCATGGGTGATGTGGGTGCCGTGGGACACCCCGCTGTGATGCCACCAGCTTTGGGGTCCTGCGGGAACCCCTCGACAGGGCTCTGGGCCCCTCAGGTGTGGGGCGCGTGGGGCTGGGGAGGTCCTGAGCCCTACAGGTGTGCGCCCGTTGAGTCCTATGCCTCTGGGGCGTGGAGTCCCGGCCCCCCCCCCCCCCGCTGTGGGGCAGGGAGGTGCCGCCCCCTCCTCGCGGCCCCGGGCCCGGCCAGGGAGGGGTTAAGGGGCGGTTCCTGTGGGGCGGGAAGGGCGACCCCGGCTCCTCCCTGGGGCCGTCCCGTCGGAGCCGCGCCGTGGCTGCGAGTTGTGTCGGGTCTCAGCGCCGCTGCAGCCTCCGCCATGGCGCGACGGGGCCAGGATGTGGGGCCGGGTGTGGGGCAGCGCTCGGGCTCCGAGGACAACCTCTACCTGGCCGTGCTCAGGGCCTCCGAGGGCAAGAAAGGTGCCGGGACCCGCGGCGCGGTGCGCGGTGGGGCGCGGAGGTGGCCACGCCGCGGTGTGGGGCGGTGGCCGTGGCGTGGGGCGGTGGTGGCCATGATGTGGGGCGCGGCAGGGTCAGTGCGGGGCGCGGTGATGGCCGCGGTGCGGCGTGGGGCGCTGGCCGTGGCGTGGGGCACAATGGGGTTAATGTGGGGCGCAGTGGCGTTGGTGGGGGGCTGAAGGTGGTCAGGGTGTGGGGCGTTGTGGGTCCAACAGCTGGAGACTGCAGTGTGTGTTCGGGACCTCCATGAACCGAGGCAGACTCCGCTGTGGGGCAGTGTCCCAGGGCAGGCTATGGGGTGGTGTCCCGAGGCAATCTATGGCTCAGACCCCTGTTATGGGGTAGGGCGGTGGCTCTGGGGCAGACTCCATTGTGGGGCAGGAGAGTGTCTGTAGGGGAGCTTATGGGGTGGTGTCCCCCAGGAAATCTGTGGGGCAGACCCCCTTGCTAGGCGGTGTCTCTAGGGCAGCCTATGGGCTTTGGGGCAGACCCCCATGATGGGGCAGGGCAGTGTTTGTAAGGCAGGTTATGGGTTTGTGTCTGTAGGGCAGCCTATACGGCAGACTCCGTGCTGGAGTGGTGTCTGTGGGGCAGGTTTTAGGGCAGACCCCACACTGAGGTGTTGTCTGTGGGGCAGGTTATGGGGCAGACCCCACGCTGGGGCGGTGTCTGTGGGGCAGGCTATGGCGTGGTGTCTCTAGGGCAGCCTTTGGGGCAGACCCCGTGCTGGGGTGGTGTCTGTGAGGCAGCTTATGGTGTGGTTCCTGTGGGGCAGGTTATAGGGCAGACTCTGCGCTGGGGTGGTGTCTGTGGGGCAGGTTATGGGGCAGACCCTGCGCTGGGGCGGTGCCTGTGGGGCAGGTTATGGGGCAGACCCTGCGCTGGGGCGGTGTCTGTGGGGCAGGTTATGGGGCAGACCCTGCGCTGGGGCGGTGCCTGTGGGGCAGGTTATGGGGCAGACCCTGCGCTGGGGCGGTGTCTGTGGGGCAGGTTATGGGGCAGACCCTGAGCTGGGGCGGTGTCTGTGGGGCAGGTTATGGGGCAGACCCTGCGCTGGGGCGGTGTCTGTGGGGGAGGTTATGGGGCAGACCCTGCGCTGGGGCGGTGTCTGTGGGGCAGGTTATGGGGCAGACCCTGCGCTGGGGCGGTGTCTGTGGGGCAGGTTATGGGGCAGACCCTGCGCTGGGGCGGTGTCTGTGGGGCAGGTTATGGGGCAGACCCTGCGCTGGGGCGGTGTCTGTGGGGCAGGTTATGGGGCAGACCCTGCGCTGGGGCGGTGTCTGTGGGGCAGGTTATGGGGCAGACCCTGCGCTGGGGCGGTGTCTGTGGGGCAGGTTATGGGGCAGACGCGCCCGAGGCTGCGTTTCCCCACGCTGGCGCCGGCCCCATCCCCGCCCTGCCTGAGCTGCCGCCGGCGCTGCCCGGCCCTGCCCGTACCTATCCCTGCCCTCACCCTGCCTGTACCCATCCCGTACCCTGCCTGTGCCTATCCCGGTCCCTGCCTGTTCCTGTGCCCGTCCCATCCTGGGCCCGTTGGGTGCCACGTTCCGGCGCCGCGGGGCGAATCCCGGCACGTTTTGGCCGGACGGGCCCCGTGGGTGCAGCCGTTGACTCAGGGCCACGGGTGCCAGGGACCCCCCCCGGGCACACGGGGCTGTGCCGGGGCCTGGCCTGCAGCAACCGCTTCCTTCCCCATGACTCACGGCACGGGCCTGGCACTGTTGGTTCATCGCTTCCTGCCAGGCCGCTGCGGTGCCGCCGGTTGTGCTGCCATGCCGGGGCGTTGTGTTGTGGTGCCACGGTGTTGTGCTGGGTGTAGTGACACGGCGCAGCGCCGTGGTGCTGTGCCAGCGTGCCGCGGTGTTGTGCCGTGGTGTTGCCGGTTGTGCCACGGTGCCGCCTCTCACCCTCCCTTTGCTCTCTTGCAGATGAGCGAGACCGCGTCCAGAAGAAAACCTTCACCAAATGGGTCAACAAGCACCTCATCAAGGTACCGGAGCCCCTGGTGCCAGGTCCTGGGTGGCTGTGCCGGGGGGAAGCAGAGCTGGGGGGGGTTCATGGTGCCTGGGGGGTGGGTTCTGGTGCCGCGGATCCCGGCCCTGCTGCCGGCGCATCCCCACGCAGTGCCCAAAGCCCGCGGTGCCGGTGCGGGTCCTGCCCTGACTCTCTCTTTCTGCCTCTCCCCGCGCAGCACTGGCGAGCAGAGGTAGGTCTGTGTGTGCCGCGGCTTCACCGCGCTGCCCCTCACTCACGCCCCGCTCCTGTACCGGCCCCGCGCGGCACAACCGTGTTCTGCATGCGGCGCAGCCACCGGCACCGGGATGGGCAGGGGGCTGGGGGGGTTCAACGGGGGCTGTGTGGGGCTGGGGGGGCACCGGCTGCAGCTGGGGGTGTGCGTGTGAACCGCGGGCACCGGGGCACTGCCGGGCTGTGCCGCGGTGACGCTGTCGCCGTGGGTCCCCGCAGGCTCAGCGCCACGTCAACGACCTGTACGAGGACCTGCGGGACGGGCACAACCTCATCTCGCTGCTCGAGGTGCTCTCGGGGGACAAGCTGGTGAGTCCTGCGCCGAACCCGCCGCCACCGCCGCCATCTCAGCGCCCACCGTCCCCATCGGCACCCCCACCCATCGGCACCCCCCCACCCATCTCGTGCCCCCTGCATCTGCCCCCACCCCTGCTTGGCCAATGCCGGCGCCGCGGCTCTAACGCGGGGACGTCTCTTTGCTTTGGTGCCCCGGCGCTCACCGGCCCCCTCGGGCTTTGCCTTCTCCTGCTCCCGGCGCTGCCGGGCAGCCGCGGGAGCGCGACGTCGTCCGGAGCTTGCGGTTGGTGAGTGGTGGCACGGCACCGCATGGCACCATACGGCACCGCGAGTTCCGGTGCAGCACCGCATGGCACCGCGTGTCCCCATGCAGCACCGCGTGTCCCCGTGCGGCACCGCGTATCCTGGTGTAGTACCACATATCTCCGTGTGGCACCGCGTGTCCTGGTGCAGCACCGCATGGCACTGCGTGTCCCCGTGCGGCACCGCGAGTCCCTGTGCGGCACCGCATGGCGACCTGCCGCGAAGTTTCCATAACACCAGCCCCAGTGGGTGTCCTGTGATGGTGTCACCAGGAGGTGCCGGCACCGGGGTCCTGGTGCATCAGTGGCACTGCAGCCAGTGGGGTTTCCCTGGTGCCCCACGGCCATGGGTCAGAGCAGACCCCCCGGTGCACCTGGGGGGTCGGGGGTCCCTGGTGTGTCTGGTGCCGGTGTCACGGGGTGCAGGGGCTCCATCCCAGCGGGTGAGGGCCGGGTGCGCGCTGCTGCCGTGGTGCTGCCACGGTGCTGAGGAAGCGCGGGCGCGGGATCCGGTGCCTGAGCCCATTGTCCGGTTGAGCCGCGCTTCCTGCAGCAGCCCCGGGGCCGGGCCAGGGGTTTCCTGGCTCAGCCGGTGCCGGGGCAGTGCCAGTGCCGCCGGTCTCAGTGCCGTGTCCCCGCAGCCCCGCGAGAAGGGCCGGATGCGCTTCCACAAGCTGCAGAATGTGCAGATCGCCCTTAACTACCTGAAGCATCGCCAGGTGAGGGGAGCTCTGGGGGGGGGTTGGTGCTGCCCGGAACCCCCGGTGCCACCGCGGCATCACCACAACCCCGTGTGCTCCATAGGTGAAGCTGGTGAACATCCGCAACGATGACATCGCCGACGGCAACCCCAAGCTCACGCTGGGGCTCATCTGGACCATCATCCTGCACTTCCAGGTGGTGCCGGGGCTGGTGCTGTGGGGTGGGTGCCATGGGGCTGGGATGGTGCCGCAGGGCTGGGATGTTACTATGGGGTGGTGGCTATGGGGTCGGTGCCATGGGGCCGGTGCGGCGCAGTAACCGCCGGTGTGCCGGCAGATCTCGGACATCCAGGTTACGGGGCAGTCTGAGGACATGACAGCCAAGGAGAAGCTGCTCCTCTGGTCGCAGCGCATGGTCGAGGGCTACCAGGGGCTGCGGTGCGAGAACTTCACGGCGAGCTGGCGCGACGGCCGCCTCTTCAATGCCATCATCCACCGGCACAAGTACGTGCTGCGGCATGGACACAGCATCCACATCTGCATCCTCTTCTGTATCTACTTGTCCCCATCCCCTTCCCTTTCCATCCCCACCCATCCCTATTCCTTCCTTATCCTTTTATTCCCACCTCCGTCCCCTTCTCATCCCTTTCTCATCCTCCTCCTCATCCCATCCTCTTTCCATCCCCATCTTTATGTCCCCATCTCCTGCTCATCTCCTTCCCCTTCCCATGCCCATCCCCATCCTTGCTTTGGGCTCTGTGGGGACTCAGCCCCACACAGCATTGGTGCAGGGTGCTGCTAATGCCAGCCCATAGCAGGGCTGTTCTTGCCCCAGAGTGGGGCTGGGGGGGGCTCCTGCTCACTCCATGGGGCTCTGCCTGCTCTGGGTCCATGTGCCTGGTGCCGCTGGGCCACCGCTGGCTCCCGGTGCCGGTGTCCCCGCAGTGGTGCTGGTGGCAGTGGCGTGGTGCCGGTGCTGACCGTGGCTCCCGCAGGCCGATGCTCATCGACATGAGCCGCGTTTACCGCCAGAGCAACCTGGAGAACCTGGAGCAGGCTTTCACCGTGGCCGAGCGCGACCTGGGGGTGACGCGGCTGCTGGACCCCGAAGGTGCCGGGGGACACCCCAGAACCCGTCCCCACCGTCCCCACCTCCCCCCGTCCCCCCTGACCGTGCTGTGTCCCCGCAGACGTGGATGTGCCGCAGCCGGATGAGAAGTCCATCATCACCTACGTGTCGTCGCTGTACGATGCCATGCCGCGCGTGCCGGAGGCGCAGGACGGCGTCAAGGCCAACGTCAGTTGGGGACAACGGGGGGGACCCGTCCTGTGGCAGTGGTGGCACCGGGCCCCGTGTCCCCATATCCCCCACATACCCATGTCCCATATCCCTATGTCCCTCATATTTCCATATCCCGTGTTCCCATGTCCGCCTGTTGCACACCCGTGTTGCATATCCCTGTTATCTATGCTCATATCCGTGTCCTGTGCCCATATCCCGAGGCCCATATCCGTCCCCTGTTCCCATGTCCATGCCTATGTTCCCATGTCCGCGCTCATATCCATGTCCCCGTATCCCCGTGTCCCCATGCCCATGCGTGCCCGTGCCCATGCAGGAGCTGCAGCTGCGCTGGCAGGAGTACTACGAGGTGGTGACGCTGCTGCTGCAGTGGATGCGGCAGTACACCATCAGCTTCGAGGAGCGGCGTGTGCCTGCCAGCTACGAGGAGATTGAGGTGAGGCCGTGAGCCCTGTGTCCCTGTGCTCCCTCCATGCCCCCTCCATGTCCCCAAATACCCCATGTCCCCGTGAAAGGGCACCAGTGCCCGGGGAGGTGCTGGTGATGCCGCAGCTGGTTGGGGCCCAGCCATGGGTTGTCTCATGCCATGATGAGTCCTCCCGGTGCCGTCAACCCCAAACCAGCACCAGCAGCATCCACACTGGTGTGCTGTGCTGCCCCTTTGGGCTCCATGTATTGGCCCCACTGGGCCGTGCGTTGACTCCATGAGCTGCGTGTTGAGCCCATTGGGTTCCACGTGTTCAGTGGTGACCCACTGGGCTCCTGCATCGCGGCGCGGTGGCTCGGTGCCGGTGCGGTGCTGGGGTGTGGTTGGCTGTGGCAGAGCTGTGGCCATGGCAGGGCTGTGTTTGTGCCATGCCAGAGCTGTGGCAGCGCCGCGGCTGCTCTGACTCAGAGCTTCCATTTGCCGTGTGAGTCACGGCACCACCCGGCTCCCGCCCGGCGCTTCCTTCCCACCAGCCCCGCACGTGGCACCGTGGCCGGGGGGTGCCGGGGAGGGGATGGGGGGTGCCAGGGCCTGGGGGTGCTGGTGCTGGGGCAAGGAGGTGCCGGTGCCAGGGTTCCCCCTCATCTGTCCCCCCCTCGGCAGCTCCTCTGGCGCCAGTTCCTCAAGTTCAAGGAGTCCGAGCTGCCGGCCAAGGAGGCCGACAAGAACCGTTCCAAAGCCATATTCCAGGCCATGGAGGTCAGGGGGGGGCCAGAGCACAAAGGGGGCTTCTGGGGGGGGTCAGCAGTCTGGAGGGACTGAGGGTCCATAGGGGTCCTGGGAGGGTACTGGGGGTCCCTGGGGTGGGGGGGTCCTAATGAGTGGTGTTTGGGGGGAGCCGTGGAGCTGGGGTCCCGTGGGTTTGGGTCCCTGTGGGGGCTGGGAGGGGCTGCCCCATGGGGTGGGGGTTCCATGTCCCCTGTGGGGCACAGCGACACATGCGGTGATGTGCGGTGGGCCCGGTGCAGGGCGCGGTGCAGTCCGGGCAGCTGAAGGTGCCCCCCGGGTACCACCCGCTGGACGTGGAGAAGGAGTGGGGGGCACTGCACGTGGCTGTGCTGGAGCGCGAGAAGCTGCTGCGGGCGGAGTTCGAGAGGTGAGCGCGGCGCATGGCGTAACGGGATGCGCTGGGCTGCGCCGGGCTGGCGGTGAGGGGGTGAAGCGGGGCAGCAGCAGGATGCTGGGGTGCACCGGGGTGCTGGTGGGATGTTGGGATGCACCAGGACGGTGGCGGTGCTGGAGCGTGCCGGGGCGATGGCAGTGATGGAATGAGCCAGGGCTGAGGCGGGATGCTGGCATGCACTGAGGTGGTGCTGGAGCGTGCCGGGGCGGTGGCAGTGCTGGAGTAAGCCAGGGCAGTGGTGGGGGATACCGGGATGCACTGGGGCGGTGCTGGAACGTGCCGGGGCGGTGGCATTGGTGGAACGTGGCCAGACCACGGGGCTGGGCTGGGTTTGGGGTGTCCCGGCCCCCCCTGAGCTGCCCGGTGAGTCACCGCTGCCGGGAAGAGACGTGGCCGCAGGGCTCGGCACAGCCCGGCTCCGCTCGGCACGTCTGGCGCAGGGCTCGGGGCAGCGGTGCCGGTGCCAAGAACGGGGCTGTGCCGGTGCCGCGAGCTCCGGGGCCGGGGCCGGGGCTGGCAGCGCAGGCGGGAGCGGGCAGGGATCGGGCAGCGCAGGCTGGGACCAGCGCAGGCAGCGGGGCCAGGCAGGCAGCCAGGGCAGGGCGGGGCTGGAGCCTGCGGCCGCAGGGATGAGGGACGGGATGGGGCAGGGCCAGGGATGGGGATGGGATGGGGAGCAGGATGGGGATGGGATACGGAGCAGGACTGGGAGTCAAGTGAGGAGCAGGGTTGGCATGGGGAGAGGGATACAGAGCAGGATGGGGAGGAAAGGTTGTGGGATGGGGTGCAGGATGCAGAGTGGGATGGGAAGCAGGAAGGGGAGTGGGATGGGGATGGGAAAGGGGAGTTGATGGAGAGCAGGATGGAGACAGGAAGTGTGACAGGGATGGAAAACGGGATATAGATGGGGATGGGGTGGGGAGCAGGATGGGGCTCCTCACCCAGGCAGGGCTGCATCTGGGTCTGCAGGTGGGACCAGGGCCAGGACCAGAGCCGGGCTGGCAGAGGGGCAGGATGGGGCTGGCGCTGACAGGATCAGTGGGGCAGGATGGGGTCACTGTCCATGCAGTGCGGGCGGGTTCGTGTCCCCACGCTGACGCTGTCCCCCCGTGTCTCGCAGGCTGGAGCGGCTGCAGCGCGTTGTCACCAAGCTGCAGATGGAGTCGGGGCTCTGCGAGGAGCAGCTCAACCAGGCGGATAATCTGCTGCAGGCGGTGAGCGGCGGTGCCGCGGCGGCACCGGGGCATTCCCACGCGCGTTCGCGTGTCCGTTCCCATGCTGGTGTCCGTTCCCGGGCCCATTTCCTTTCCCGTGTCCATTCTCATGCCCTCTCCTGTGCCCTTTCCCTTTCCTGTGTCCAAGCCTGTGCTCATTCCCATGCCCATGATGGTGCCAGTGCCCACTCCCATTCCCGTGCCCATTCCCATGCCTGTGCCCGTTCCCTTTGCCATTCCCGTCCCGTGCTCCATGCAGGAGCTGCGGCTGCTGGAGGCGGGGAAGGGGCTGCAGAAGGCCGCGGAGGTGGAACGGGACCTGGACAAGGCTGATGGGATGATTCGGCTGCTCTTCACCGACGTGCAGAGCCTCAAGGATGGGCGGCATCCGCAGGGCGAGCAGATGTACCGCAGGTACCGGCGCCGCCGAGGGGTGGCACGGGGGGGTTGATGCGTGCTGTGCCCCGCGCAGCGTCCCATGCAGTGTGCCCAGTGTGGTGTGCCCCATGCCATGAGCGCCCCTTACACCGTGTGCCCTGGTGCTTGTGTGTCCCCATGTCCCCCATGTTCCTGTTGCTTTCCATTCTTCCCCATATCCCTCTGTGTCTCCATGTCCCCTGCATCCCTGAAGCCCCACAAAGCTCCCCATGTCCCCCCATGTCTGCATGTCCTTGTCTCCCTCTGCCCCATATCCCCACACCCTCATGTCCCACATCCCTGTCCTGTGCCACTGCAGAGTGTACCATATCCCCATGCCTCCACATGGCACCCCATATCCCCATATTCATGCCGCAGGGTGTACCATATCCCCATGTGCATGCTGCATGCTGTACCATATCCTCATGTCCCATATGCATGCTGTACCATATCCTCATGCGCATGCCGCAGGCTGTACCATATCCCCATGTCCCACGTCCATGCTGCAGGGTGTACCATACCTCCATGTCCCATGTGCATGCTGCATGCTGTACCATATCCCCATATCCCATGTCCATGCCGCAGGCTGTACCATATCCCCATGTCCATGCCGTACCATATCCCCATGTGCATGCTGCATGCTGTACCGTATCCCCATGTCCATGCCGCAGGGTGTACCGCCTGCATGAGCGCCTGGTGTCCATCCGCACCGAGTACAACCTGCGCCTCAAGTCGGGGGTCCCAGTGGCGGCGGCGGTGGCTCCGGTGGCGGCGGCTGCGGCCCCGTCCGAGGCGGCGCTGCGGTACGTGCAGGAGCTGCGGGGCTGGGTGCAGGACAACCAGCGCCGCGTGGCGGGCGCCGGCTGGGGCATGGACCTGCCCTCGCTCGAGTCGCTGCTGAGCGCCCACCGCGGCCTCCACCGCGACATCCACGACTTCGGTGCCAAGGTGCAGCGGGCGCGCGAGGACGAGGTCAGTGCCGGGCGCCCGACCTCATCGCCCTGAGCCTGGGGTGCCCCAACCTGCGCCTGGACGTCCCCAACCTGATCCCGGGATCCCCTGGGGTGCCCTGACCTGAGCCTGGGGTCCCCAAGGTGCTCTGTGGGGTTGGGGTGCCGGGACGGGATCAGGGTGACGTGGGTGCTGCGGGTGCCCTGTGGGTGCTGCTGTTCGCTCTCACAGCCCATTTCCACCCCCAGGCCCAGCTACCCCCCAGCTCCCGCAGCGCCTACAGGGAGAGCCTGGGCAAACTGGAGCAGGAGTACGGGGAGCTACTGGTGAGTGTCTGGTGCTGGGGGGTGATGGGGATGGAGGGGAGGATGATGGCCATGGGGGGGGGGGGCGTGAGGATGCTAAAGGCCATAGGGAGCTATGGGGGCAGATGAAGGCCATGGGGAGCTCTGGGGGGCAGATGGAGCCCATGGGGAGATGAGCAGACCCAGATGGGGGCCGTGGGAGTGCAGGGAGGTAGATGGAGCCCGTGGTGCTGACCCTGGCCCTGCCCCTGCGCAGGAGTCGTCGTCGCAGCGGCTGCGGCACCTCGAGGCCCTGCTGGGTTTTGTGGGCGCTGCCACCACAGAGCTGCTGTGGCTGAGCCAGCGCGAGGACGAGGAGGTGACGTTCGACTGGAGCGACCGCGGCCCCCCGCTGCCCTCCAAGCAGGAGGCCTACTCGGTACGGGGGATGCATGGCACGTGGGGTGCAGCATCACTGCTGGGGGGGGGGGGTGTGCAGCATCCCTGGGTGGGCGGGGGGTGTGCAGCATCACTGCGTGTGTGGGTGCAGCATCACTGCATGTGTGGGTGCAGCATCACTGCGTGTGTGGGTGCAGCATTCATCCTGCACCATCCCTGTCCCTTTCCCTGCATCTGACTGTACTGTACCGTCCCGGTCCCTGCACACAGCCATTGTCCTGCAGGGTCCTTGTTGCATCCCCAGAGCCCCCCCAGCACAGGCCTGCAGCTGCATGAGCCCGGGTGGGGCTGGAAGGTGTGGACAGGGACAGGGACACATGGATGTGTGTGGATGGACGCATGGGTGTGTGTGGACTCATGGGTGTGCGTGGATGCACGGATATGCACATGACATGCATGGACACATGAACATGCACAGGCACACAGACACACACGTGTTCGGACATACACACGTGTGCAGGCCATGCCGTGCCGGGGGGGTCCCTCACTGTGTCCCCCTGCAGGGGCTGATGCGGGAGCTGGAGCTGCGGGAGCGGCGGGTGCAGGAGCTGCAGAGCTGTGGGGAACAACTGCTGCGGGAGCAGCACCCGGCCCGTGACACCATCGAGGTGAGGGGATAGGGATGGGAATGGGGACACGGGGCTGCTGGTGCTGGTGCCGCTGCTGGTGGCAGCTCCATGTCCATGTCCGGTGTCCGTCACCCATGTCCCATACCTGTGTCCACGTCCCCACAGTCGTTCCTGGCGGCGCTGCGCACGCAGTGGAGCTGGATGCTGCAGTTGTGCTGCTGCGTAGAGACCCACCTCAAGGAGAACGGTGCCTATTTCCAGGTATGACCCCTGGGACCCCCAACCTCGGGGACTCCCCCATTGGCCCCACTGGCCCCAGTGACCTTCTACTGACCAAGCTACTGGTCCCCCCGACCCCACTGCCCCCCCCAGTTCTTCGCAGAGGTGCGCGAGGCTGAGCGGCTGCTGCAGGACCTACGGGACCTGATGGGCCGGAAGCTGCGGAGCGACCGCGGGCTCAGCGCCGCGCGCCTGGAGGACCTGCTGCAGCATGCCAATGTGAGTATATGCACCAATGCACACCCAATGTACCCCTATGGGCACCCCGGTGCCCCTGCTGCAGCATGCCAATGTGAGTATATGCACCAATGCACGCCCAATGTACCCCTATGGGCACCCCAGTGCCCCTGCTGCAGCATGCCAATGTGAGTATATGCACCAATGCACACCCAATGTACCCCTATGGGCACCCCGGTGCCCCTGCTGCAGCATGCCAATGTGAGTATGTGCACCAATGCACACCCCATGTACCCCTATGGGCACCCCGGTGCCCCTGCTGCAGCATGCCAATGTGAGTATGTGCACCAATGCACACCCAATGTACCCCTATGGGCACCCCAGTGCCCCTGCTGCAGCATGCCAATGTGAGTATGTGCACCAATGCACACCCCATGTACCCCTATGGGCACCCCGGTGCCCCTGCTGCAGCATGCCAATGTGAGTATGTGCACCAATGCACACCCAATGTACCCCTATGGGCACCCCGGTGCCCCTGCTGCAGCATGCCAATGTGAGTATGTGCACCAATGCGCACTCAGTGTACCCCTATGGGCACCCCGGTGCCCCTGCTGCAGCATGCCAATGTGAGTATGTGCACCAATGCACACTCAGTGTACCCCTATGGGCACCCCGGTGCCCCTGCTGCAGCATGCCAATGTGAGTATGTGCACCAATGCGCACTCAGTGTACCCCTATGGGCACCCCAGTGCCCCTGCTGCAGCATGCCAATGTGAGTATGTGCACCAATGCACACCCCATGTACCCCTATGGGCACCCCGGTGCCCCTGCTGCAGCATGCCAATGTGAGTATGTGCACCAATGCACACCCAATGTACCCCTATGGGCACCCCAGTGCCCCTGCTGCAGCATGCCAATGTGAGTATGTGCACCAATGTACCTCTGTGGGTACCCCGGTGCCCCCTGCTGCAGCATGCCAATGTGAGCATGCACCCCCCAATGCATTCCTATGGGGACCCCAATGCACCCCAAGGTGCCCTGCTGCAGCACATGGATGTGAGCAGAACCCCCAGTGCACCCCTATGGGAAACACAACACAGCCCAGTGCACACCAGTACACCCTGCGGCAGCACGCCAGCCTGAGCAGGCACCCCTATGGGGACCCCTGTGCAACTCCAGCACCATGCAGACACACACAGGTCTGCAGCGTCCCCATGGGTTCCCCATGGTGGGGGGGTGACCTCACCGTGTGGGGGGGGTGATCCCGCAGTGAACGGGTGACGCCGCAGTGTGTGTGTGGTGACCCCGCAGTGTGTGTGTGGTGACCCCGCAGTGAACGGGTGACCCCGCAGTGTGTGTGTGGTGACCCCGCAGTGTGTGTGTGGTGACCCCGCAGTGTGTGTGTGGTGACCCCGCAGTGAACGGGTGACCCCGCAGTGTGTGTGTGGTGACCCCGCAGTGTGTGTGTGGTGACCCCGCAGTGTGTGTGGTGACCCCGCAGTGTGTGTGTGGTGACCCCGCAGTGGGTGTGTGGTGACCCCGCAGTGTGTGTGTGGTGACCCCGCAGTGTGTGTGGTGACCCCGCAGTGTGTGTGTGGTGACCCCGCAGTGTGTGTGTGGTGACCCCGCAGTGGGTGTGTGGTGACCCCGCAGTGAACGGGTGACCCCGCAGTGTGTGTGTGGTGACCCCGCAGTGTGTGTGGGGTGACCCCGCAGTGTGTGGGGTGACCCCGCAGTGTGTGTGTGGTGACCCCGCAGTGTGTGTGTGTGGTGACCCCGCAGTGAATGGGTGACCCCGCAGTGTGTGTGGTGACCCTGCAGTGTGTGTGTGGTGACCCCGCAGTGTGTGTGTGGTGACCCCGCAGTGAATGGGTGACCCCGCAGTGTGTGTGTGGTGACCCCGCAGTGTGCGTGTGGTGACCCCGCAGTGTGTGTGTGGTGACCCCGCAGTGTGTGTGTGGTGACCCCTCAGTGTGTGTGTGGTGACCCCGCAGTGTGTGTGTGGTGACCCCGCAGTGTGTGTGTGGTGACCCCGCAGTGAACGGGTGACCCCGCAGTGTGTGTGTGGTGACCCCGCTGTGTGTGTGTGGTGACCCCGCTGTGTGTGTGTGGTGACCCCGCAGTGTGTGTGTGGTGACCCCGCTGTGTGTGTGTGGTGACCCCGCTGTGTGTGTGTGGTGACCCCGCAGTGTGTGTGTGGTGACCCCGCAGTGTGTGTGGTGACCCCGCTGTGTGTGTGTGGTGACCCCGCAGTGTGTGTGGTGACCCCGCAGTGTGTGTGTGGTGACCCCGCAGTGGGTGTGTGGTGACCCCGCTGTGTGTGTGTGGTGACCCCGCAGTGAATGGGTGACCCCGCAGTGTGTGGGGTGACCCCGCAGTGTGTGTGTGGTGACCCCGCAGTGTGTGTGTGTGGTGACCCCGCAGTGAATGGGTGACCCCGCAGTGTGTGTGGTGACCCTGCAGTGTGTGTGTGGTGACCCCGCAGTGTGTGTGTGGTGACCCCGCAGTGAATGGGTGACCCCGCAGTGTGTGTGTGGTGACCCCGCAGTGTGCGTGTGGTGACCCCGCAGTGTGTGTGTGGTGACCCCTCAGTGTGTGTGGTGACCCCGCAGTGTGTGTGTGGTGACCCCGCAGTGTGTGTGTGGTGACCCCGCAGTGTGTGTGTGGTGACCCTGCAGTGTGTGTGTGGTGACCCCGCAGTGAACGGGTGACCCTGCAGTGGGTGTGTGGTGACCCCGCAGTGTGTGTGTGGTGACCCCGCAGTGTGTGTGTGGTGACCCCGCAGTGAATGGGTGACCCCGCAGTGTGTGTGTGGTGACCCCGCAGTGTGTGTGGTGACCCCGCAGTGTGTGTGTGGTGACCCCGCAGTGTGTGTGTGGTGACCCCGCAGTGTGTGTGTGGTGACCCCGCAGTGAATGGGTGACCCCGCAGTGTGTGTGTGGTGACCCCGCAGTGTGTGTGTGGTGACCCCGCAGTGTGTGTGTGGTGACCCCGCTGTGTGTGTGTGGTGACCCCGCTGTGTGTGTGTGGTGACCCCGCAGTGTGTGTGTGGTGACCCCGCTGTGTGTGTGTGGTGACCCCGCTGTGTGTGTGTGGTGACCCCGCAGTGTGTGTGTGGTGACCCCGCAGTGTGTGTGGTGACCCCGCTGTGTGTGTGTGGTGACCCCGCAGTGGGTGTGTGGTGACCCCGCAGTGGGTGTGTGGTGACCCCACAGGGGATGCACCCCCCTGACCCTGCCGCCCCACAGGAGCTGCGGGAGCAGCTGCAGGAGGTGGGGGCGCAGCTCCCGGCGCTCTCCCGCCGCGCCAGCACCATCGTGCAGCTGAAGCCGCGCAGCCCCGGCGCCACGGTGCAGGGCCGGCCCCGCCTGCAGGCGGTCTGCGACTACCGGCAGCTGCAGGTGCGCCCGGGCAGGGAGCGGGGATGGGGGTGTGGGAACCAGGGGGATATGGGGGGCGCAGGAGATGGGTGGGATATGGGGGGGTATGGCACATGGTGGGGACATGGGGGGTAATGGGGGAACATGGAGGGACATGGTGGGAGACCAGTGTGTGAGTCCCAGGGGTGCCCCCATCCCCACCACGTCAAGGGGTACACAGGGACCAGGCATCCCAGGTCTCTTCCCGGCCCTAATGCTCGGCCCTCCCGGCCCTGCAGATCACGGTGCACAAGCAGGACACGTGCACCCTGCTCAGCAACGCACAGCCCCACAAGTGGAAGGTGCTGAGCGGCGGCGGCGAGGCTGAGGTGCCGAGCGTGTGCTTCATCCTGCCGCCCCCCAACCCCGAGGCGCTGGATGCGGTGCGGAGGTGAGCACGGCCCCACGGTCCCCACTGACCCCCGGCACCCACTGGCCCTATGGGAACCCCCAACTGAGGGGTCCCACTGCCCCCCGCTGCTCACACTGCATTTCTGCAGGCTGGAAGCTGAGCACCAGGAGCTGCTGGAGCTCTGGCACCAGCTGCACCAGGACCTGCGGAGCCTCAGGGCCTGGCAGTGCCTGACCCGTGACATGCGGCAGATCCAGGCCTGGTCCCAGCTCACGGTGAGTGCCCTGTGCCATTCCCCTGCTGCTCCTGCTGTGTGCATGGGTCCTGGTGCAACATGGGCTCCTGGTGTGTGCATGGGTCCTGGTGCAACATGGGCTCCTGGTGTGTGCATGGGTCCTGGTGCAACATGGGCTCCTGGTGTGTGCATGGGTCCTGGTGCACACATGGGAGTCCCAGTGCCCACACTTGTCTGGGTGCACACGTGTCCTGGTACACACGCTGTGTCCCGGTGCACCCACGCTGTGTCCCGATGCACGTGTGTCCTGGTGCACACACACTGTGTCCCAATACATGTGTGTCCCGATGCACATGTGTCCTGATGCACACACACCGTGTCCCAATGCACACACACTGTGTCCCGATGCATGTGTGTCCCCATGCACACACACTGTGTCCCGATGCACGTGTGTCCCAGTGCACACACACTGTGTTCTGATGCATGTCCCAATGCACACACTGTGTTCTGATGCACGTGTGTCCCAGTGCGCACACACTGTGTCCCAATGCACGTGTGTCCCCATGCACACACACTGTGTTCTGATGCACGTGTGTCCCCATGCACACACATTGTGTCCCGATGAACGTGTGTCCCAATGCACACATATTGTGTCCCGATGCACGTGTGTCCCAGTGCACACACACTGTGTTCCGATGCACGTGTGTCCCAGTGCACACACATTGTGTCCCGATGCACGTGTGTCCCAGTGCACACACACTGTGTTCTGATGCACGTGTGTCCCAGTGCACACACACTGTGTCCCGATGCACGTGTGTCCCAATGCACACACATTGTGTCCCGATGCACGTGTGTCCCAGTGCACACACACTGTGTCCCGATGCACGTGTGTCCCAGTGCACACACCCTGTGTTCTGATGCATGTCCCAATGCACACACTGTGTTCTGATGCACGTGTGTCCCAGTGCACACACCCTGTGTTCTGATGCATGTCCCAATGCACACCCTGTGTTCTGATGCACGTGTGTCCCAGTGCACGCACACTGTGTCCTGATGCATGTCCCAATGCACACCCTGTGTTCTGATGCACGTGTGTCCCAGTGCACGCACACTGTGTCCTGATGCATGTCCCAATGCACACCCTGTGTTCTGATGCACGTGTGTCCCAGTGCACACACACTGTGTCCTGATGCATGTCCCAATGCACACACTGTGTTCTGATGCACGTGTCCCGATGCACACACTCCGTGTCCCGGTGCACTCACTGCATCCCGGTGCTGACGCGTGGTGCTCCCGCAGTTCCGCACGCTGCCGCCCGAGGAATGCCGCCAGGTGCTGCAGAGCCTGGAGATGCACTACCAGGAATTCCTGCGGGAGAGCCGGGATTCGCACAGCTTCGCGCCTGAGGAGCGGCAGCAGCTGCAGCGCGAGTACGAGGCCTGCACCCGGCACCACGACCGGCTGAGGCGTGGCCATGAGAAAGGTGGGATCTGGCCCTGCGGCACCGCCGCATCCCTGTGGGTGTGGGGAGGGGAGAGGGGGGAGAGGAGACGGCCCTGGGGGTGGGAGCAGATCAGGGTGATGCTGACCCGTCCCTATGGATGGGAACAGATCGGGATGATGCTGACCCGTCCCTATGGATGGGAACAGATCAGGGTGATGCTGACCCGTCCCTATGGATGGGGAGCAGATCAGGGTGATGCTGACCCGTCCCTATGGATGGGAACAGATCAGGGTGATGCTGACCCGTCCCTATGGATGGGAACAGATCAGGGTGATGCTGACCCGTCCCTATGGATGGGAACAGATCAGGATGATGCTGACCCGTCCCTATGGATGGGAACAGATCAGGGTGATGCTGACCCGTCCCTATGGATGGGAACAGATCAGGATGATGCTGACCCGTCCCTATGGATGGGAACAGATCAGGATGATGCTGACCCGTCCCTATGGATGGGAACAGATCAGGATGATGCTGACCCGTCCCTATGGATGGGAACAGATCAGGGTGATGCTGACCCGTCCCTATGGATGGGAACAGATCAGGGTGATGCTGACCCGTCCCTATGGATGGGAACAGATCAGGGTGATGCTGACCCGTCCCTATGGATGGGAACAGATCAGGATGATGCTGACCCGTCCCTATGGATGGGAACAGATCGGGATGATGCTGACCCGTCCCTATGGATGGGAACAGATCAGGATGATGCTGACCCGTCCCTATGGATGGGAACAGATCAGGGTGGTGCTGACCCGTCCCTATGGATGGGAACAGATCAGGATGATGCTGACCCGTCCCTATGGATGGGGAGCAGATCGGGATGATGCTGACCCGTCCCTATGGATGGGGAGCAGATCAGGGTGATGCTGACCCGTCCCTATGGATGGGAACAGATCAGGATGATGCTGACCCGTCCCTATGGATAGGGAACAGATCAGGGTGATGCTGACCCGTCCCTATGGATGGGAACAGATCGGGGTGATGCTGACCCGTCCCTATGGGTGGGAACAGATCAGGATGATGCTGACCCGTCCCTATGGATGGGAACAGATCGGGGTGATGCTGACCCGTCCCTATGGGTGGGGACAGATCAGGATGATGCTGACCCATCCCTATGGGTGGGGACAGATCAGGATGATGCTGACCCGTCCCTATGGATGGGAACAGATCGGGATGATGCTGACCCGTCCCTATGGATGGGAGCAGATCGGGATGATGCTGACCCGTCCCTATGGATGGGGAGCAGATCAGGGTGATGCTGACCCATCCCTATGGATGGGAACAGATCAGGATGATGCTGACCCGTCCCTATGGATAGGGAACACATCAGGATGATGCTGACCCGTCCCTATGGATGGGAACAGATCAGGGTGATGCTGACCTGTCCCTATGGATGGGAACAGATCAGGGTGATGCTGACCCGTCCCTATGGATGGGAACAGATCAGGATGATGCTGACCCGTCCCTATGGATGGGAACAGATCAGGGTGATGCTGACCCGTCCCTATGGATGGGAGCAGATCAGGATGATGCTGACCCGTCCCTATGGATGGGAACAGATCAGGATGATGCTGACCCGTCCCTATGGGTGGGAACAGATCAGGATGATGCTGACCCGTCCCTATGGATGGGAACAGATCGGGATGATGCTGACCCGTCCCTATGGATGGGAACAGATCAGGATGATGCTGACCCGTCCCTATGGAAGGGAACAGATCAGGGTGATGCTGACCCGTCCCTATGGAAGGGAACAGATCGGGATGATGCTGACCCGTCCCTATGGATGGGAACAGATCAGGGTGATGCTGACCCGTCCCTATGGAAGGGAACAGATCGGGATGATGCTGACCCGTCCCTATGGATGGGAACAGATCAGGATGATGCTGACCCGTCCCTATGGGTGGGAACAGATCAGGATGATGCTGACCCGTCCCTATGGATGGGGAGCAGATCAGGGTGATGCTGACCCATCCCTATGGATGGAAACAGGTCAGAATGATGCTGACCCATCCCTATGGATGGGGAGCAGATCAGGGTGATGCTGACCCGTCCCTATGGATGGGAACAGATCAGGGTGATGCTGACCCGTCCCTATGGATGGGATCAGATCAGGGTGATGCTGACCTGTCCCTATGGATGGAAACAGATCAGGATGATGCTGACCCATCCCTATGGATGGGAATAGAGTGGGATGGTGATGGCCAATCCCTATGGATGGGAACGGAGCGGGGTGGTGCTGACCCGTCCATGTGGATGGAAAAAGAGTGGGATGGTGCTGACGTGTTCTTACCAATGGGAATGGTGCGGGACAGTACTGGCCTGTCCCTATGGATGGAAATGGAGTGGTTCAGAGCTGACTCATCCCTATGGATGGGAATGGAGCGGGACTGTGCCGACCCATCCCTATGGATGGGAATGGAGCGGGACTGTGCTGACCCATCCCTATGGATGGGAATGGAGCGGGACTGTGCTGATTCATCCTTATGGATGGAAACAGAGTGGGACAGTGCTGACCTGTCCCTATGCATGGGAATGGAGCAGGACTGTGCTGACCCATCCCTATGGATGCGAACAGAGTGGGATGGTGCTGACTCATCCTCATGGGGGCGGATGGAGTGGGACATTCCTGACCCATCCCCATGGGTGTCCCCACAGGAGAGCAGGATGAGTCCCTGTGCCAGAGCTTCCTGTCGCGGCTGAAGGAGCTGAGCCTGCAGCTGCAGCACTGCGAATCCAGCACCATCCATCGCCTGCGGCTGCCACTTGACAAGGATCCGCAGGTGGAATGCGCCCGGCGCATCACGGAGCAGCAGGTGACGTGTGTCTGACACCCGGAGAGTGCATGGGGCATCCAAAGCAGTGCATGAGGCACCCAGAGCTGTGCATGGGGCACCCAGAGCAGTGCCCAGCACCAGGAGCAGTGCCTAACACCAGGGCAGGGGGGTTGGAGCTAGATGATATTAAGTTCCTTTCCAACCCTAACTATTCTATGATTGTATAATTCTGTGAGGCACCCAGGGCAGTGCATGGGGCACCCAGAGCAGTGCCCAGCACCAGGGCGGGGGGGTTGGAGCTAGATGATATTAAGTTCCTTTCCAACCCTAACTATTCTATGATTGTATGATTCTGTGAGGCACCCGGAGCCTTGCATGGGGCACCCAGAGTAGTGCCCAGCACCAGGAGCAGTGCATGGGGCACCCAAAGCAGTGCATGGGGTATCCAGAGCAGTGCATGGGGCACCCAGAGCAGTGCCCAGCACCAGGAGCAGTGCATGAGGCACCCAGAGCAGTGCATGGGGCACCCAGAGCAGTGCCCAGCACCAGGAGCAGTGCATGGGGCACCCAAAGCAGTGCATGGGGCACCCAGAGCAGTGCATGGGGCACCCGGAGCAGTGCCCAGCACCAGGAGCAGTGCATGAGGCACCCAGAGCAGTGCATGGAGCACCCGGAGCAGCGCCCAGCACCAGGAGCAGTGCATGAGGCACAGTGCCCTGCACTGTGCTGGCTCTGCAGGCTCAGACATTTCTCGGGGCTCTGCTCCTCTCCTCCGGCACGAGGCTCTGTGTCCCATGGAGTGAGGGCCCTTCCTGTTCCCGCAGCAAATCCATGTGGAGCTGGAGGGCATCAGGAGGAGCCTGGGCTCCCTCGGGGAGGAGGCGCAGGAGGTGCTGGCACAGGTGGAGCCCCCCGGCTCAGCCCCGATGCTGCGCTCGGAGCTGGAGGTGACGCTGCAGAAGATGGAGCAGGTCTACAGCCTGTCCAGCATCTACCTGGAGAAGTGAGTGTCCGGGGCACATCCCGGCCCTGCCGGGGCAGACATCAGGTGGGGTGAGCTGGGTCTGATGGGGTCTGCACTGGGTGAGGGCAATCCCAGCACAGACCCAGGCTGGGGGCGAGGGGCTGGGGCCTGAGGAGCAGGACTTGGGGTGCTGGGGGAGGAGAAGCTCCCCAGGACCCGGCTTCAGTGAGCGCTGGAGCCCAGAACCCCCCGTGTGCTGGGTGCAGCCGAGAGCGGGAGCAGCAGCTCAGGGAGGGGATCCTGCCCCTCTGCTGCGGGAAGGGGAGAGCTGAGAGCAGCTCCAGAGCCTGAAGTGGCTGCAGGGAGCCTGGAGAGGGCCTGGGACAAGGGAGGCAGGGATGGGAGGAGGAGGAATGGCTCCAATGGGGAGAGTTGATGGGATCTTGGGAAGCTCTTCCCATGAGGGTGCTGGGGCACTGAAAAAGGTTGAAGGGAGAAGCTGTGGCTGCCCCATCCCTGGCAGTGCTCAAGGCCAGCTTGGATGGGGCTTTGGAGCAAGCTGCTCTCGTGGAAGGTGTCCCTGCCCATGTCAGGGGGTTGGTACTGGAGGAGGTTTGAGGTCTCTTCCAGCCCCAACCATCTCATGGTTCAATGACGGTGACCGTTCCAGTGTCTCCCTCCCATCCCATGGTCTCTGTCCCTGTCTCTGCTCTCTGCAGGCTGAAGACCATCAAGCTGGTGATCCACAGCACGCAGGGGGCTGAGGAGCTGCTCAGGAAGTACGAGGACCAGCTGAAGGACGTGCAGACGGTGCCGGCGGATCTGCAGGAGCTGGAGGCCACGCAGGCAGAGCTGAAGGTAATGAATGGCGTTGGCAGCACTGTGCCGGGGCTGTGGGGTGACCTGGTGCTGACGGCACTGCTCTGTGTGCCGCAGCGGCTGCGGGCGCAGGCCGAGGGCCACCAGCCCCTCTTCAGCACCTTGGAGACCGACCTCAGCAAGGCCAAGGAGGTGAACGAGCGCATGGTGCGGGGCCACAGCGAGCGGGACGTGGACCTGGAGCGGTTCCGGGAGCGGGTGCAGCAGCTGCTGGAGCGCTGGCGTGGGGTCCTGGCGCAGGCCGACCTGCGGCACCGTGACCTGGAGCAGCTGGGCCGGCAGCTGCGGAGCTACCGCGAGAGCTGCTCCGCGCTGCGCTGCTGGCTGCAGGAGGCGCGCCGGCGGCAGGAGGAGATCCAGGCCGTGCCCATTGCCGACGTTGCCAGCGTGCGGCAGCAGCTGCTGCAGGAGCAGGTACGTGCGGTGCAGCCGGTGGGGCTGGGTCTGCTGGATCCACCGGCACTCCCGGAGCTCATCCCTGTTTGTCCCTCAGGAGCTGCTGGAGGAATGCGACCGCAACAAGGAGAAGGTGGAGGAGTGCCAGCGCCACGCCAAGCAGTACATTGACGCCATCAAGGTGCGCAGTGGGGCTGGGGCTGTTGGGGAGGAGCTGGGAGTCCTGCTGGGACACAGTGTAATGGGCCATGCATCCTCTGCAGGACTACGAGCTGCAGCTCGTGAGCTTCAAGGCGCAGGTGGAACCAATGGCATCCCCAGCCAAGAAACCCAAAGTGCAGTCCGCGTCTGACAGCATCATCCAGGAGGTGAGGGGACCCCGAGCCTAAACCTGACCCTAAACCTGACCCCTAACCCTAAACCTAATGACCCCATCCCTCATGGCATCTTCCAGGAGGTGAGAGAATTCTAGCCCTCAACCTGACCATGACAGTGACCCTGACACCAAATCCTAATCTAATCCTTACAGTAATCTAACCCTAATCTGACACTAAACCTAAGCCTAAACATAACCTTAATCTTAACACAAACCCAGCCCAACCCTGATCCTAAACCTAACCCATAGAATCATAGAATAGTTAGGGTTAGAAAGGACCTTAAGATCATCCAGTTCCAACTGCCCCGCCATGGGCAGGGACACCTCACACTAAACCATGGCACCCAAGGCTCTGTCCAACCTGGCCTTGAAGGGAACCCATGATCTTCATGATCTCAACCCTAGCCCTGAAGCCACAGCCCTTTGCCAAAGGTGGAGGTACAGGGCTGGTCTGCATCTGGCCCCACCACTGCTGGTGTGCCGCAGAGTGTCATGGTGCGCTGTGGTGTGCCATGGTGTGCTGTGGGCACTCTGTTCCTGCTGACCACCATCCTCTGCCGCAGTACGTGGACCTGAGGACGCAGTACAGCGAGCTGACCACGCTCACCAGCCAGTACATCAAGTTCATCACCGAGACGCTGCGGCGGCTGGAGGATGAGGAGGTAGGAGCGCGGCAGCACCGCGCCGGCTGCATCCTTGCTGCTGCACAACACTGGGGCTGCTGGTGTGAGGCAGCTGCCGCCCCGTCACTAACGCTGCCGTGGCCCCTAACTCTGCTGCACCCGGTGCTGGTGGCCGGGCTCTGGTGGGACTGTGATGCCCAGCTCTGGTGGGACTGGTGGTAGGACGCACTTCCCAGATACACAGCGCAGGCACATGGCTGCACGGTGCTGGCACCATGGGGTCCGCTCTCCGTGACCTCTCTAACTCTTGGTTTGTGCCTCCAAGTCAAGATGCTTTACTGGTGCTTTGCCTTGGGGGATGTTTGTTGGTGGTGGTGGGGAGCTAATGGAGGGTAAAATAAAGCCCAGAATGACTCTGGCATCCCTGCACCAGGTACTCACCCCACGCATGTCCCCCTCGCGCCACACCGCTCCTCACCCTCCTCTGCCTCTGCCCCCACTCCTGTGGCCTTTCTGAGGGGACGTGGCCCAGTGGCACAGTGGGTCCCGCTCACCCGCATGTGCCCGGCATGGGGCATGTGCCTGCCTCGCCTGCGGTGCATGTGGCATGAGACTCGATGGCACGGCCACTGAAGGGCCTCAGGCTGGCGTGTGGCGCGTGGTGGCAAGGCCGGAGCTTGTGCTGCTCTCCACATCATTGAGGCTTTCCTGGTGGCTCCTTCCTCCCACCTGCTCCCTCCGTCCCACTCATCCTGATGCTCCATCCCCAGGTAGTCGGTGGCTTTTGGCGCTGGCCCTTCTGTTGTGGTGAGCCCCAGTGAGCGCAGGAGGCTCCTGGCTGGCTCTGGGCATGCTGGTGCTCAAGCTGCTCGCTCCTGGTCTCCATCGCTCCGGGCTTTGCTTGCGCTCTGTTGCTCTGTTCCTCTCCTCTCTGTGGTGCCTGGGGCTGCGCTGCTGCCGCTGTCCCAGCTGTGTTCTCTTGTGCCACGCGTCTTCTGGAGCTGGCGTCACCGCCTCCGGGATCCGGAGCCATTGCAGGCGCATCCCGTGCTCGTGTGCGTGGCCGCAGCCCGGTCACATCCCTTTGTGATCTCTTTCTTTCTCCCCCCTCTGTTTTCTCTGCTCCCCCTTCCCGCTCCAGAAAGCCGCCGAGAAGCTGAAGGAGGAGGAGAGGAAGCGGCTGGCGGAGGTGGAGGCGCAGCTGGAGAAGCAGAGGCAGTTGGCCGAGGCGCACGCCAAGGCCAAGGCGCAGGCAGAGGCAGAGGCGCAGGAGCTGCAGCTCCGCATGCAGGAGGAGGTGGCCCGGCGCGAAGTGGTGGCCGTGGACGCGGAGCAGCAGAAGCAGAACATCCAGCAGGAGCTGCTGCAGCTGCGGCAGAACTCGGACCACCAGATCGAGGCCAAGGTGAAGCTGATTGAGGAGGCCGAGTCCAGCCGCAAGAAGGTGGAGGAGGAGATCCGGGTGATCCGGCGGCAGCTGGAGAGCACGGAGCGGCAGCGCCTGGGCGCCGAGGCCGAGCTGCGCGACCTGCGGGCGCGCGCCGAGGAGGCCGAGCGGCAGAAGCGGCAGGCGCAGGACGAGGCCGAGCGCCTGCGCCGGCAGGTGAAGGACGAGAGCCAGAAGAAGCGCGAGGCCGAGGAGGAGCTGGCGCGCAAGGTGCGGGCCGAGCGCGACGCGGCGCGCGAGAAGCAGGAGGCGGTGGCGGCGCTGGAGGGGCTGCGGCTGCAGGCGGAGGAGGCCGAGCGGCGCCTGCGGCAGGCGGAGGCCGAGAAGCAGCGGCAGATCCAGGTGGCGCAGGAGGCGGCGCAGCGCAGCGCTGAAGCCGAGCTGCAGAGCCGGCGCCGCTCCATGGCTGAGCAGACGGCGCAGCTGGAGCTGTCGCTGCAGCGCGAGCACGTGGCCGTGGCGCAGCTGCAGGAGGAGGCCGAGCGCCTCAAGCAGCAGCAGCGCGAGGCCGAGCAGTCGCGGGAGGAGGCGGAGAAGGAGCTGGAGCGCTGGCGGCAGAAGGCCAACGAGGCGCTGCGGCTGCGGCTGCAGGCGGAGGAGGTGGCGCACCAGAAGACCCTGGCGCAGGAGGAGGCCGAGAAGCAGAAGGAGGACGCGGAGCGCGAGGCCCGCAAGCGCGCCAAGGCGGAGCAGGTGGCTCTGCGGCAGAAGGAGGCAGCCGAGGAGGAGCTGGAGAAGCAGCGGGAGCTGGCGGAGGGCACGGCCCAGCAGAAGCTGGCGGCGGAGCAGGAGCTGATCCGGCTGAAGGCGGAGATGGACAACGGGGAGCAGCAGCGGCTGCTGCTGGAGGAGGAGCAGTCGCGGCTGAAGGAGGAGGTGAGCGAGGCCATCCAGAAGCGGAAGGAGGTTGAGGAGGAGCTGGCCAAGCTGAGGGCCGAGATGGAGGTGCTGCTGCAGAGCAAGGCCCGAGCGGAGGAGGAGTCGCGCTCCAGCAGCGAGAAGTCGAAGCAGCGGCTGGAGGCCGAGGCCAGCAAGCTGCGGGAGCTGGCGGAGGAGGCGGCGCGGCTGCGTGCCCTCTCCGAGGAGGCCAAGCGGCAGCGGCAGCTGGCGGAGGAGGAGGCTGGGCGGCAGCGCGCCGAGGCCGAGCGCATCCTGAAGGAGAAGCTGGCGGCCATCAATGAGGCGTCGCGGCTGAAGGCGGAGGCGGAAATCGCGCTGAAGGAGAAGGAGGCAGAGAACGAGCGGCTGCGGCGGCTGGCGGAGGACGAGGCGTACCAGCGGCGGCTGCTGGAGGAGCAGGCGGCGCAGCACAAGCAGGACATTGAGGAGAAGATTGCGCAGCTGAAGCGCAGCTCTGAGAGCGAGCTGGAGCGGCAGAAGGGGCTGGTGGAGGACACGCTGCGGCAGCGGCGGCAGGTGGAGGAGGAGATCCGTGCGCTCAAGGCCAGTTTCGAGCGGGCCTCGGCAGGCAAGAGCGAGCTGGAACGGGAGCTGAGCCGCATCCGCAGCGAGGCCGAGGAGGTGCAGCGCAGCCGCGAGCAGGCAGAGCACGAGGCTGAGCGGCAGCGGGCACTGGCGCTGCAGGAGGAGGGCCGGCGGCGCGAGGCCGAGGAGAAGCTGCAGGACATCCTGGCGGCTGAGGAGGAGGCGGCGCGGCAGCGGCGCCTGGCGCTGGAGGAGGTGGAGCGGCTCCGGGCCATGGTGGAGGACGCACGGCGGCAGAAGGAGCTGGCGGAGAAGGAGTCGGAGCGGCAGGTGCAGCTGGCGCGGGAGGCGGCGCAGAAGCGCATCGCGGCAGAGGAGAAGGCGCGGGTGGCCGCCATGCAGCAGCAGGAGCAGGAGCTGCAGCAGGTGCGGCAGCAGGAGCAGAGCCTGGTGGAGCGGCTGCGCGACGAGGCCGAGCGTGCGCGGCGGGCGGCCGAGGAGGCCGAGCTGGCGCGGGGCCAGGCCGAGCAGGACGCGGGGCTGTCGCGGCGGCGCGTGGAGGAGGCCGAGCGGCTGAAGCAGCGCGCGGAGGAGGAGGCGGCGGCCACGGCGCGGGCGCAGGCGGCGGCCGAGGCGCTGCGCAAGGAGGCGGAGCTGGAGGCAGCGCGGCGGGCGCAGGCCGAGCAGGCGGCGCTGCGGCAGAAGCAGCTGGCCGACGCCGAGATGGAGAAGCACAAGAAGTTTGCGGAGCAGACGCTGCGGCAGAAGGCGCAGGTGGAGCAGGAGCTCACCAAGGTGAAGCTGCGCCTGGAGGAGACGGACCACCAGAAGAACATCCTGGACGAGGAGCTGCAGCGGCTGAAAGAGGAGGCGGGCGACGCCGTGCGGCAGAAGGCGCAGGTCGAGGAGGAGCTCTTCAAGGTGCGGGTGCAGCTGGAGGAGCTGGCGAGGCTGAAGAGCCGCATCGAGGAGGAGAACAAGGCGCTGATCCTCAAGGACAAGGACAACACGCAGAAGCTGCTGGCGGAGGAGGCAGAGAAGATGAAGCAGGTGGCCGAGGAGGTGGCGCGGCTCAGCGTGGAGGCGCAGGAGGCCTCGCGCATGCGGCAGCTTGCCGAGGATGACCTGGCGCAGCAGCGGGCGCTGGCCGAGAAGATGCTGAAGGAGAAGATGCAGGCAGTGCAGGAGGCCACGCGGCTCAAGGCCGAGGCTGAGATGCTGCAGAAGCAGAAGGACCTGGCGCAGGAACACGCCAAGCGGCTGCAGGAGGACAAGGAACAGATGCAGCAGCGCCTGGCCGAGGAGACCGAGGGCTTCCAGAAGACGCTGGAGGCTGAGCGCCGGCGGCAGCTGGAGATCACGGCCGAGGCCGAGCGCCTCAAGCTGCACGTGGCGGAGATGAGCATGGCCCAGGCCAAGGCAGAGGAGGAGGCCAAGAAGTTCAAGAAGCAGGCAGAGGAGATCAGCGAGCGGCTGCACCAGACCGAGCTGGCCACGCAGGAGAAGATGACGCTGGTGCACACCCTGGAGATCCAGCGGCACCAGAGCGACCAGGACGCGGAGAAGCTGCGCCAGGCCATCGCCGACCTGGAGCAGGAGAAGGAGAAGCTGAAGCAGGAGGCGGCGTTGCTGCAGCAGAAGGCGGAGGAGGTACTGGGTGACTGGGTCCCCTTAGCAGTGGTGGCACGCAGGGACCTCCTCCCCTTCCCCGGCCACGCGGAACCAGGTCCTGGCCGCCGTCACCACAGCCCCTGTGGCGCGGGCACAGGCACGGAGCTGCTGCACTGCCTGTGCCTCCAGCCCATGTCCGTACCCCAGCTGCTGGGCTGCCGGTGAGGCAGGACCCCCACGCTGTGGGTCAGGGGTGTGGGTGGAGCCGGCATTGGTGCAGCGATGCAAACCCCACAGTGGGTGTCAGGGCAGGACCTGCTCCTGCTGCCGCAGCTCCTGCTGTGGTGGGGTGACCCCAGCACCTTTCTGGGGTCCTGTGGCCCGTCCTCCCTTGATCTTCTCTGTGCCCAGCTCCCACCTCGGTACGTGACCCCACAGTACCCATGGGGTCATGGAATGGTTGGAAGGGACCTTAAAGCTCCTTTAGCTCCACCCCCCTGTCACGGGCAGGGACACCTCTCACTAGAGCAGGTTGCTCCAAGCCCCGTCCAGCCTGGCCTTGAGCGCTGCCAGGGATGGGGCAGCCACAGCTTCTCCCTTCAACCTTTTTCAGTGTCCAGTCACCCTCATGGTGAAGAATTTCTTTCCTAGATGCCATCCAACTCTTCCCTCTTCCAGTTGGAGACGTTTCTCCTCATCCCCTCTGTCCACCCCTTGTCCCAGTCCCTTCTCCAGATTCCCTGCAGCCCCTTTAGGCACTGGAGCTGCTCTAAGGTCTCCCCTTCAGGACCCTTCTCTTCTCCAGGCTGCCCCAGCCCAGCTCTCTCAGCCTGGCTCCAGAGCAGAGCTGCTCCAGCCCCTGCAGCATCTCCGTGGTCTCCTCTGGACTCACTCCAGCAGCTCCATGTCCCTCTTGTGTTGGGGTCCCAGAGCTGAACTTTTGTGTCTCGTCCCTGCTTGTCCTGCCCCATGTTGTTTGCTGCAGCTCCCTAACCCCCCTCTGTTCCCGTTCACTCCTACCCCCTGCCGTGGGGCCCATGCAGTTGGGTGACGCCAGCCCTGCCCTGTGCTGCCGCAGTGCATGTCCCCCCATACTCCCAGCGCTGCACGGTGCCATCTGACCGTTCTGTCCTCTTTGCCATTGCAGATGCAGGTGGCCCAGCAGGCGCAGCTCCAGCAGGAGACACAGCTCCTCCAGCAGAGCTTCCTGACGGAGAAGGATGCGCTGCTGCAGAAGGAGAAGTTCATCGAGGAGGAGAAATCGAAGCTTGAGAAACTCTTTAAAGATGAGGTGGACAAAGCCCAGAACCTGAAGGCGGAGCAGGAGCGGCAGCAAAAGGAGATGGAGCAGGAGAAGCAGCAGTTGAAAGCCATGCTGGATGAGGCCAAGAGGCATCAGAAGGAAGCAGAGGAGAATGTCCGGCACAAGCAGGAGGAGCTGCAGCAGCTGGAGCGGCAGCGGCAGCACCAGGAGAAGCTTCTGGAAGAGGAGAACCAGAAGCTGCGGGAGAGGCTGGAGCAGATGCAGGAGGAATACAAGGCAGCACTGGCACAGACTCGTGAGATCATGATCCAGACGGACGACCTGCCAGGAGAGGCCATGGTTGCTGTGGCTCAGCCACACGTCCAAGCCATGCCCAACGGCAGGGACGTGATGGACGGCCTCGCGCACAATGGTGAGCCCGAGTTAGCCTTCGATGGCATCCGGCAGAAGGTGCCCGCAGGGAAGCTGGTGGACGCCGGCGTCCTGAGCCAGGAGAGCCTGGAGCAGCTGGTGAAGGGCACCGTGAGCGTTGGTGAGCTCGCGCAGAGGGACGAGGTCAGAAGGTACCTGCAGGGCCAGAGCAGCGTTGCCGGGTTGTTGATCAAGCCCACCAACGAGAAGATGAGCATCTATGAGGCCATGAAGCAGAAGCTGCTGAGCCCGGGCACGGCACTGGTGCTGCTGGAGGCTCAGGCTGCCTCCGGCTTCATCATCGACCCGGTACGGAACACGCGGCTCTCGGTGAGCGAGGCCGTGCGAGAGGGCATCATTGGGCCCGAGCTGCACAACAAGATGCTGGCAGCGGAGCGGGCGGTCACTGGCTACAAGGATCCCTACACTGGCGACCGCATCTCCCTCTTCCAGGCCATGCAGAAGGAGCTCATCGTCAAGGAGCACGGCATCCGCCTGCTCGAGGCCCAGATCGCCACCGGTGGCATCATCGACCCCGTGCACAGCCACCGCCTGCCCGTGGAAGCTGCCTACAAGCGCGGCTACTTCGATGAGGAGATGAACCGAACCCTCTCCGACCCCACCGATGACACCAGGGGCTTCTTCGACCCCAACACGCAGGAGAACCTCACCTACATGCAGCTCCTGGAGCGGTGTGTGACTGACCCTGACACGGGGCTGAGCCTCCTGCCCCTCACTGACCAGGCAGCCAAAGCCAGGGAGCTGGTCTACACTGACAAAGAAGCCAAAGACGTCTTCAAGAAGGCCACAGTGACAGCACCATTTGGCAAGTTCCAAGGTAAGACAGTGACCATCTGGGAGATCATCAACTCGGAATACTTCACTGAGGACCAAAGGCGGGATCTGATCCAGCAGTACCGGACTGGCAAGATCACGGTGGAGAAGATCATCAAGATCATCATCACAGTTGTGGAAGAAAGTGAGAAGAAGAGCCAGATGTGCTTTGAGGGCCTGCGGGCCCCCGTGCCTGCTGCGGAGCTGCTGGAAAGCAAAGTCATCAACAAAGACCTCTACAATGAGCTGCAGAAGGGCAAGAAGTCAGTGAAGGACGTGGTGGAGATGGAGTCCGTACGGCAGTACCTGAAGGGCATCGACACCATTGCTGGGGTCCTGGTGGAGTCCACCGGGCAGAAGTTCACTTTCTATGATGCCCTGAAGAGGAACCTGCTGAAGCCGGAGGTCGCCCTGTCCCTTCTGGAGGCCCAGGCTGCCACCGGCTACATCATCGACCCCGTGAGGAACATGCTCTTCTCCGTGGATGAGGCAGTGAAGGCTGAGGTGGTGGGGCCGGAACTGCACGAGAAGCTGCTGTCGGCAGAGAAGGCAGTGACCGGCTACAAAGACCCCTACACAGGCCAGACGGTTTCCCTGTTCCAGGCGCTGAAGAAGGGCCTTATCCCCAGCGACACCGGCGTGCGTCTGCTGGATGTCCAGCTTGCCACCGGCGGCATCATTGACCCTGTCCACAGCCACCGGCTCCCGCTCGACGTTGCCTACAAACGCGGCTACTTCGACCCGGAGATGAACGAGGCGATGGCCGAGTTCCGCGATGACGCCAAGGCTTTCTATTGCCCCAACACCCAGGAACACCTCACCTATGCCCAGATGCAGAAGACCTGCCGCCGTGACAAGCAGACCGGCTTCTGCCTGCTGCCCCTGTCTGACCAAGCCATCCAGGCGCAGCAGGAGGAGGTCTACACTGACAGCCAGGCAAAAGAGTGCTTCAACAAGACGACTGTGGAGGTCCCGGTGGGCAGCATGAAGGGCCAGACCATGACCATCTGGGAGCTGATCCACTCCGAGTACTTCACAGAGGAGCACAGGCGGGAGCTCCTCCGGCAATACAAGACCGGCAAGGTCACCATTGAGAAGATCATCAAGATCGTCATCACCATCATTGAGGAGGCAGAGACCAAGAAGCAGGAGAAGCTGACATTCAGCGGGCTCCGGGCTCCTGTTCCGGCCAGTGAGCTGGTGGAGTCCCGCATCATCACCAAAGCCCAGTACGAGCAGCTGAAGGAGGGCAAGAAGTCGGTGAAGGACTTCTCTGATACGGAGGCAGTGAGAAGATTCTTGCATGGCAGCGACTGCATTGCTGGCGTTTATGTGGAGGCGACCAAGGAGAAGCTCAACATCTACGAGGCCATGAAGCGGAACCTGCTGCAGCCCGGTACCGCTGTGGTCCTCCTGGAGGCCCAGGCAGCCACCGGGTTCCTGATCGATGCCGTGAAGAACCGTAAACTCTATGTCAACGAAGCTGTCAAGGCTGGTGTGGTGGGGCCCGAGCTGCACGAGAAGCTGCTGTCTGCGGAGAAGGCTGTCACTGGCTACAAGGACCCTTACTCTGGCAACACCATCTCCCTCTTCCAGGCCATGCAGAAGGGGCTCATTGTCAAGGAGCACGGCATCCGCCTGCTCGAGGCCCAGGTCGCCACCGGTGGCATCATCGACCCCGTGCACAGCCACCGCCTGCCCGTGGATGTGGCCTACAAGCGCGGGTACTTCGATGAGGAGATGAACCGAACCCTCTCCGACCCCACTGATGACACCAGGGGCTTCTTTGACCCCAACACGCAGGAGAACCTCACCTACACGCAGCTGAAGGAGAGGTGCATCGAGGATCCTGAGACCGGCCTCTACCTGCTGCCACTGCGGGAGCCCGAGAAGAAGCCGCCAGTGGTGGAGACCACGCAGGTCTACACTGAGGCAGAGACGCGGAAGGTGTTTGAGGAGACGCAGGTGGACATCCCGGTGGGCAGCAGGGCGGGCTCCTCCATGTCACTGTGGGAGATCATGCACTCGGATCTGCTGCCTGAGGAGCAGCGGAAGCAGCTCATGGAGGAGTTCAAGTCAGGCCGTGTGTCCAAGGAGCGCATGATCATCATCATCATCGAGATCATCGAGAAGACCGAGATCATCCGGCAGCAGAATCTCACCTCCTATGACTATGTCCGGCGCCGCATCACGGCTGAGGAACTCTACGAGGCCAGGATCATCTCCCAAGACATCTACAATCTGCTCAAGCAGGGCTCCAAGACCTTCCGGGAGATCCTGGATGTGGAGACCATCTGGAAGTACCTCTATGGGTCGGGCTGCGTGGCTGGTATCTACATCCCCTCATCCAAGCAGAAGCTCAGCATCTACCAGGCACTGAAGAAGGGGCTGATCAACTCAGAAGTGGCCCGTTCCCTCCTGGAGGCCCAGGCTGCCACCGGCTTCATGATAGACCCCATGAAGAACGAGATGCTGACCGTCGACGAGGCCGTCAGGAAAGGTGTGGTGGGGCCCGAGATCCACGACCGGCTCCTGTCTGCCGAGAGGGCCGTGACTGGGTACAGAGACCCCTACAGCGAGCAGAAGATATCCATCTTCCAGGCCATGAAGAAGGACCTCATTCCCAGTGAAGAGGCCCTCAAGCTCCTGGACGCCCAGATTGCTACCGGCGGCGTCATTGACCCGCACTTGGGCTTCCACCTGCCCCTGGAGGTGGCCTACCAGCGGGGCTTCATCAACAAGGACACGTACGACATGCTGTCCGAGCCCAGTGAGGTGCGAAGCTACGTGGACCCGTCCACGGAGGAGAAGCTGAGCTACACGCAGCTGCTGAAGCGGTGCCGCCGGGACGAGGGCAGCGGGCTCCTGCTGCTCCCACTCTGCGATGCACGGAAGCTCACCTTCCGCGGCCTGCGCAAGCAGATCACGGTGGAGGAGCTGGTGCGCTCGCAGGTGATGGACGAGGCCACTGCACAGCGCCTGCAGGAGGGACTCACCTCCATCGAGGAGGTCTCCAAGAGCTTGAAGAAGTTCCTGGAGGGCACCAGCTGCATCGCGGGTGTCTTCGTGGACTCCACCAAGGAGCGGCTCTCTGTGTACCAGGCCATGAAGAAGGGCATCATCAGGCCCGGCACCGCGTTCGAGCTCCTGGAGGCACAAGCAGCCACGGGCTACGTCATCGACCCCATCAAGGGCCTGAAGCTGACGGTGGAGGAGGCCGTTCGCATGGGCATTGTGGGCCCCGAGTTCAAGGACAAGCTGCTCTCTGCCGAGAGGGCCGTCACCGGCTACCGGGACCCCTACTCCGGGAAGCTCATCTCCCTCTTCCAGGCCATGAAGAAGGGGCTGATCCTGAAGGACCATGGGATCCGGCTGCTGGAGGCCCAGATTGCCACTGGCGGCATCATTGACCCCGAGGAGAGCCACCGCCTGCCTGTGGAGATTGCCTACAAGAGGGGCCTCTTTGACGAGGAGATGAACGAGATCCTGCTGGACCCCAGTGACGACACCAAGGGCTTCTTTGACCCCAACACGGAGGAGAACCTCACCTACCTGCAGCTCATGGAGCGGTGCATCACTGACCCGGAGACTGGCCTCTGTCTCCTGCCCCTGAAGGAGAAGAAGCGGGAGAGGAAGACGTCCTCCAAGTCCTCTGTCCGCAAGCGCAGGGTGGTCATTGTTGACCCGGAGACGGGCAAGGAGATGTCTGTGTACGAGGCCTATCGCAAGGGCCTCATCGACCACCAGACGTACCTGGAGCTGTCAGAGCAGGAGTGTGAATGGGAGGAGATCACCACCTCCTCCTCCGACGGTGTGGTGAAGTCCATGATCATCGACCGGCGCTCGGGGCGCCAGTACGACATCGATGATGCCATTGGCAAGGGCCTGATTGACCAGTCGGCGCTGGACCAGTACCGCGCAGGCACGCTCTCCATCACTGAGTTTGCGGACATGCTCTCAGGCAACATGAGCGGCTTCCGCTCACGCTCGTCCTCTGTGGGCTCCTCCTCTTCCTACAGTGTCAGCCCGGCACCAGTGAGGACGCAGATATCCATGTGGAGTGACCCAACTGAGGAGACGGGGCCGGTGGCCGGCATCCTGGACACAGACACCCTAGAGAAGGTGTCTATCACTGAGGCCATGCGCCGCAACCTCGTGGACAACATCACGGGGCAGCGGCTGCTGGAGGCTCAGGCCTGCACCGGTGGCATCATTGACCCCACCACCGGCGACAAGTGCACCGTGGCTGACGCCGTGACCAAGGGCCTGGTGGACAAGATCATGGTGGACCGCATCAACCTGGCGCAAAAGGCCTTCTACGGCTTCGAGGACCCGCGCACCAAGACGAAGATGTCGGCGGCGCAGGCGCTCAAGAAGGGCTGGCTCTACTACGAGGCCGGGCAGCGGTTCCTGGAGGTGCAGTACCTGACGGGCGGCCTCATCGAGCCGGACGTCGAGGGCCGTGTGTCCCTGGATGAGGCGCTGCAGAAAGGCACCATTGACGCGCGCACGGCCCAGAAGCTGCGCGACGTCAACACCTACTCCAAGTACCTCACCTGCCCCAAGACCAAGCTCAAGATCTCCTACAAGGACGCCATGGACCGCAGCATGGTGGAGGATGGCACCGGCCTGCGTCTCCTGGAGGCCTCCTCCCAATCCAGCAAAGGTTACTACAGCCCCTACAACGTCAGCAGCGCCGGCTCCACCTCCGGCTCCCGCTCAGGCTCCCGCACCGGCTCCCGCTCTGGCTCCCGGCGCGGCAGCTTTGACGCCACCGGCTCCGGCTTCTCCATGACCTTCTCTTCCTCCTCCTACTCCTCCTCGAGCTTCGGGCGCAGATACACGACGGGTCCCACGGAGGCAGTGGCTGCCTTCGCCTCCGCCTTGGTCTGGAGCTGCGGGAGGGAGGCAAGCGTGGAGCGCGCCGGGATGCACCGGCTGCCGCTGCGCGTGGCCTGACCCGCCAGCCCCTGCGTGAGGAACCCGCTGCCTGCTCGCTCCGCATGTGGCAACGCTGCTGCTACTCCCTAGGACTGATCTCCTGTTACTGGTTGAATGTGGTGATGACCTGCCAAAGCCGGCCCTGGCTTAACCAAAACTAACCCGTGAAACCCAGCATAGCCCAGGGGGTGTGTGTACTCAAAGAGAAATCACCCGGCCCCTCAGCGCGCCCGCCCTGTGGCATGGCCTGGCAGGGCTGCAAACCAGGAAACTCAACATAACATAGGAAAACTAATAGGAAATCCAACAGGAAAACAGGAAAACCGTTCTGTCTTTTGGATCTAACCACTTAGAGACTCTTTTATAATTAACCCGCCGCTTCATCCCACTCCCCAAGGAGGAGACGACCCTTTTCCCGCGGACGTGCTGGCGGGAGGAGGAGGACACTGCCAGCACCGCGCACCTGACACTCCACACCAGCACCGGAGCTGCTGCTCTGCCCTAGCGCCCCGGCACGGCCCCAGCACCGCGGCACTGCTGCCTCCACCGTAAGTGTGGTGGCACTGGCCCGACCGCACTCCAGCACGTCGTCCACCAAGAGCTGCTGCCGCCTCCGCCAGCCCACGGCCACCGTGCCTTGCTCCGGCACTGCGCTGGGGTCTGCCGTGAGCTACCGCCACCGCCTGCTGCTGCTTCCCGTGTATCTGGGGAGTGCTTCGTGCAAGGCCCCGTTCTTGATGCTAGTGCAGCTTTAATAAGTTAACAAGGAGTTAACGAGGAATTGAGAAGGAATTAACAAGGAATAATTATCAAGGAATGAGTGGGCGTCCGCCAGAGCCCGGTGCCGAGCTTGGCGCTGCCAAACCCAGGCTGGCTCCATGCGCGGTTCCTGCGCCACGTCTCCCTCACCGCGGGGGTTCTCTGAGGGGTGTGGAGGCCACAGGACCCCACGAGCAGGGCGGGGTGGTGGACACCAGCGCACTCCCATGTTGGGAATGCTGGGTTCCTCTGACCCTCGTGGTGGTTCCACTGGTGCCGGTGCCACGGTAACGCGCTCTCTCTCTGGCAGACGTCTCTCCCCAGCCCCAGCGAGGGCGTCGCGGCACCTCTGGGCGAGCTCCTCACCTGGGTCTCTGGTGTCGGCAGCTTGTGGACGGGTTCGAGGGGACATTGGGACGCGGCAGTGGCTCGGCCGCGCTCACCGGCACAGGTAACGCTGACCTCTCCGGTTGTTCCCTCTTTGGAGCTGGGGCTGCTGCTGGGTTGGTGCTGGGGCTTCAGCCGGTGCTGTGCTCCCTGTGCGCTGACACCAGGGTGTCCGGGGCTGTCGGTCTCCTCCGGGCATGGCTCGGTGTGGACTTTGCTGTGGTGCTGCTCGGCCACGGGTACTGCTTGGCGCAGGGCGGGCGCTGCTGGCGTGGGCTCAGGGCTCCATCCCATGATCCAGTCTCCATTGTCTCATCCCATCTTTCTGTTCGCTCTGTTGTAGTGTGGCTGGATGTTCATCCCAACTCCCCTCACCGCTGTCATGGAGCCCCCAGACCCCATCCCGGGGCCGCCGGCACCGCGCTGCAGGACACTGGGACATGCTCCCTCACCCTTTGCACTCAGCAGAGAGCGGGGCCGGTGCTGCCGGGGTGCCAGAGCCCCTCAGCCGGCCCCGGGGCACCCATGCAGTGCCCTGGCCCCCTGGCCCAGTGCTGCAACTCACCGCGGGTTTCCGCAGCACTTCTCCTCCTTCCCGCCTGCTCCCATTTGCCACGTGTCCACCGCGTCTGTCGTTCCTCCGCATCCCTTGTTATTAATATGATGATGATGATGATTATTACTCTCATTCTCTGTTTTGCTTTCGCGTGTCATGCCAGTGGCGGCGCCGCGCCGGGGCCCTGACATCCCGGTCCATTGGCACCTCCATTCTGGCAGGGCAGGAGCTGACCCCGTGGGGTCCTGGCACTGCCATGTGGGGCAGCCGCAGCAGCAGTGAAGGATGTTCCAACCAGCAGCACCTCCACGTGCTCTGTTCGACCCAATGCTGCCCTGGTGACGCTGGTGTTGGTTGATGGCTCCCAGCTGCTCTTTGTGCTGTGGGCTGCAGTGGGTTGTGGTGCAGCACGATGGGGTTGGAGCAGTGTTGGATGTGATGCTAGATGGTGAGCTGGATGCGGGATTGGATGCATACTGGATGTGGGATTGGATGTGGGGCTGGATGCAGTGTTGGATGGGGTGTTGGATGCTAGGCTGGATGCAATGCTGGATGCAGGGCTGAATGCGGTGCTGGATGCATACTGGATGTGGGATTGGATGTGGGGCTGGATGTGGTTTTGGATGGCGTGTTGGATGCTGGGCTGGAAGCAATGCTGGATGCGGGGCTGGAAACGGTGCTGGATGCGGTACTGGATGTGGGATTGGATGTGGGGCTGGATGTGGTTTTGGATAGGAGTTTGATGCGGGGCTGGATGCAGTGCTGGATGCGGTACTGGATGTGGGATTGGATGTGGGGCTGGATGTGGTTTTGGATAGGAGTTTGATGCTGGGCTGGATGCAGTGCTGGATGTGCAGCTGGATGCGATGCTGGATGTGGGGCTGGATGTGCAGCTGGATGCGATGCTGGATGTGGGGTTGGATGTGGTGCTTGGTGCTAGAGGTCTCTGCAGAGAAGGTCTTGGGGGTGCTGGTTGATGAGAAAATGAACATGAGCCAGGTTCAGTGTGTGCTCACAGCCCAGAAAGCAACCGTATCCTGGGCTGCATCAAAAGGAGCGTGACCAGCAGGTCCAAGGAGGTGATCCTGCCCCTCTGCTCTGCTCTCATGAGACCTCACTTGGAGCATTGTGTGCAGTTCTGGTGTCCTCAACATAAAAAGGACATGGAGCTGTTGGAACAAGTCAAGAGGAGGCCACGAGGATGATCAGGGGACTGGAGCACCTCCCGTATGAAGACAGGCTGAGGAAGTTGGGGCTGTTCAGCCTGGAGAAGAGAAGGCTGCGTGGAGACCTCATAGCAGCTTCCAGTATCTGAAGGGGGGCTATAGGGATGCTGGGGAGGGACTATTCATTAGGGACTGTAGTGACAGGACAAGGGGTAACGGGTTAAAACTTAAACAGGGGAAGTTCAGGTTAGATAGAAGGAAAACGTTCTTTACTGTGAGGGTGGTGGGACATTGGAACAGGTTGCCCAAGGAAGCTGTGAATGCTCCATCCCTGGCAGTGTTCAAGGCCAGGCTGGATTAAGTCTTGTGTGACATGGTCTGGTGCGAGGTGTCCCTGTCCCCGGCGGGTGGCTGGAACTAAGTAATCTTCAGGTCCTTTACAGTTCTAACTGGTTTATGATTCTATGGTTCTATGATGTGGGTTGGATGCGGTGCTGGATGTGGGGTTGGATATGGGGTGAGATGTGGTGCTGGATGTGGGGTTGGATATGGGGTGAGATGTGGTGCTGGATGCGGTGCTGGATGTGGTGCTGGATGTGGGTTTGGATATGGGGTGGGATGTGGTGCTGGATGCGGTGCTGGATGTGGGGTTGGACGTGGGGTTCGACGTGGTGCTGGATGTGGTGCTGGATGTGGGGTGGGATGTGGTGCTGGATGCGGTGCTGGATGCGGTGCTGGATGTGGGGTTGGACGTGGGGTTGTTCGAGGGGTTGGATGTGGTGCTGGATGTGGTGCTGGATGTGGGGTTGGATATGGGGTGGGATGTGGTGCTGGATGTAGTGCTGGATGTGGTGCTGGATGTGGTGCTGGATGTGGTGCTGGATGCGGGGTTGGATGCGGTGCTGGATGCAGGGTTGGATGTGGGGTTGGATGTGGGGTTGGACATGGGGTTGGACGAGGGGTTGGATGTGGTGTTGGATGTGGTGCTGGATGCGGTGCTGGATGCGGTGCTGGATGAGGGGTTGGATATGGGGTTGGATATGGTGCTGGATGTGGTGCTGGATGTGGGGTTGGATATGGGGTTGGATATGGTGCTGGATGTGGTGCTGGATGCGGTGCTGGATGCGGTGCTGGATGCAGTGCTGGATGCGGGGTTGGATGTGGGGTTGGATGTGGGGTTGGAAATGGGGTTGGACGGGGGGTTGGACGAGGGGTTGGATGTGGTGCTGGATGTGGTGTTGGATGTGGTGCTGGATGTGGTGCTGGATGTGGGGTTAGATGCAGAAGGTGTGCGGGGGCTACGGTGCCTATGGGGGAGCTCAGGATGGGTCCCAGCAAGGACTGGTTCCTGCTCTGGGCTTCCCCAAACATTGAGCCCCCTGAAACCACCTCTCTCAGACCTCCTGGTACCACCAGGACCTACCGGTGCCCATGGGTGCCGCCCGTGGCCCAGCCCCACAGCGTGGTTGGAACCCCCCCAGCTCCCCACGGCGTCTGTGGGTGCAGCTCCTGTGCCCGCTGAGAGCTCCTGGACGAGCCCCATGTGCCCCTCAGCCCTGAGCCCCCACTGGCCGTTGTGTCCCTTGTCTGTGCACCTTCTCCAGCCATCCTGTGCCACCACACATCACCCCCTGCTCCCCTGGGACACCCGACCCCAAAGCACCTTCCATAGACAGCAGCGTCCAGCTCAGGGCAACAGCACAAGAGGGACCTGGAGCTGCTGCGAGGGCTGGAGCAGCTCTGCCCTGGAGCCAGGCTGGGAGAGCTGGGCTGGGGCAACCTGGAGAAGAGAAGGCTCCTGAAGGGGAGAGCTGAGAGCAGCTCCAGTGCCTGAAGGGGCTGCAGGGAACCTGGAGAGGGCCTTGGGACAAGGGCCTGTAGGGACAGGCCAAGGGGAATGGCTTTAACCTGCCAGAGGGGAGACTGAGATGAGCTCTTAGGCAGAAGCTCTTCCCTGTGAGGGTGCTGAGGCGCTGGCACAGGGTGCCCAGAGAAGCTGTGGCTGCCCCATCCCTGGCAGTGCTCAAGGTCAGGTTGGACACAGGGGCTTGGAGCACCCTGCTCCAGGGGAAGGGGTCCCTGCCCTGGCCGGGGTTGGAGCTGGAGGAGCTTAAAGGTCTTCCAACACAAACCAGGCTGGGATTCCATGCACTGTGTAGGGGTGACAGCCCCATCCCATCCCCTGGTGGGGACCCTGTGTCCGTGGGGCAAGATGTGGCTCCTGCAGATCCATGCTCTTCCCAGCTCTGCTCCAGCTCAGGGCCAGGGCCCCAAGACCCTGCAACACCCGGCCAAAGGCTGTGCTGCTGCAGCTACACACCAGTGTCTGCACCATCAAGCCAGAGTCAGCTGTGCCGGTGAATCTATCCATGTACCCCCTGCAGCCAGACCCTTGTGGCTGCTCCATCGCTGGCACTGGCTGCCTGCACTGGCTGCAGGTACTGGCAGGAGGTGCATGCAGCGCTGTGGGACACAGCCCGTGGCTCTGGCAGCAGCTGAGGGGCACCAGCCCCAGGTGTGCGGGTGCAGGGTATGGGGTGCAGGGTGTGAGGTGGAGGGTGTGGGGTGCGGGTCCTCCCATCCTTGCTCAGGTCTTGTGCTCAGCATCCTCACCGCCACCCCCACCATCACCATCATCAGCTCCATGGCACCACCTCAGCCCATGTTCATGCTTCACCTCCAGCTCCCCGTGCCCTCCTGGCAGCGCCCACGCGCCCGTGCCCGCTCCTCACTGCGCCCCGGCTGCACCACCCAGGGCTCTGCTCGCTCCCGAGCACCGGGCACCCTTCATCCTCCTCTTGTTCCTCCTCCCTGGGCATGCACCTGCAGCCCCTGGTGCTGGATGAGCTCCTCGCTGCAGGCTGCAGCCTGTCCCAGCCCTGCTGCTCGCTGCAGCACCTGCATCATCTGCTCCGGGCTCCTGCAGCCTCTCCAGGGCTCTGGGCACCCCCGGTGAGCGGCTGCATTGCACAGCGCTGCGGTAACACACGGGTGCAGGGCACGGTGGCAGGTCCATGGCATGGGCCCAGCACCCCCACGTGTCCCCACGTGTCCCCTGCTCTCCCTGCAGCCCCACGGCACTGCTGAGGCCACCGGTGCCAGCGGACCCCCTGGAGCCAGCTTTGAGGGGTCATCACTGGATGGGGAGCCCACGGCAAGGTACGGCATGGCCGCAATGCTCCGGCAGGGCCTGTGTGTGCATGGGGGCACTGAGGTGACCGGGATCCTGCAGCAGGAGTGGGACACGGTGGGGAACATCCATGGGGTGAGCAAGGCTGCGTGGGAGCAGCCCCACAGCCCTGTCACAGCCTCATAACAGTCCCACAGCCCCACTGCAGCCCCATAGCCCCCCGTGTTACCATTGTCACAGTGTCCCTGCTGTCCCTGCAGCACACGGCTGGAGGTGCAGCACCGGCTGCAGGCCCTGCGGCATTGGCTGGATGCAGTGGAGCGGCAGCTGCCAGCGCTGCAGGTAAAAGGGAATGACCCAACCATGGTGCCAGAGGGGCAAGGGGGGTGACACTGACAAGGACAACTGGAGACATGTCAGCACTGCACCGGTGCGGCTGGTGACATGGTCCTGCTCCTGCTGGTGACATGGGCCTGCTGGTGACACAGGTCCTGCTGTGCAGGTGACATGGGTCCTGCTGGTGACATGGGCCTGCTGGTGACATGGTCCTGCTGTGCTGGTGACATGGGCCTGCTGGTGACACGGGTCCTGCTGTGCAGGTGACATGGGTCCTGCTGGTGACATGGGCCTGCTGGTGACACGGGTCCTGCTGTGCAGGTGACATGGGTCCTGCTGGTGACATGGGCCTGCTGGTGACACGGGTCCTGCTGTGCAGGTGACATGGGTCCTGCTCCCAGCCCACCAGCACCATCAGCCTTGTGGGCTTGGAGCCTTTGGTCCCTGTGGCCATGCCACTGCCAGTGGCATCGCGTCCTCGGAGCCCTGTGGGCGCTGGGGACACTTTTGGTACCAAGAACAGCTGCGTGCTGCAGCTCCGCAGACCAGGCAGTGTGTGCGGCACTGGGTCCCCTTCTCATGGGGGCTGTGCAGTGGGCAAGGTGCGTGCAGCCATGTCCCCTGCCCGTGCAAGGCGTCTGCAGCTGTGCATTGACAATGTGCAGCCATGTGCAGGGGTACATCCATGCACAGGATGTGTGTAGCCATGCTCAAGGGTACATCTGTGCACTGGATGTGTGCAGCCATGCAGAGGGGTACATCTCTGTACAGGATGTGTGCGGCCATGCACAAGGGTACATCCTTACACAGGATCATGCAGCCATGCATGGGGGTACATCCCTGTACAGGATGTGTGTGGCCATGCAGGATGTGCAGCCATGCACGAGGGTACATCCTTACACAGGATCATGCAGCCATGCATCGGGGTATATCCATGCACAAGGTATGTGCAGCCATGCAGGGTGTGCAGCCCCGTTCCACTGTGTCCCCCTGTGCCCGCAGCCGGGCGCTGTCACCTCCCTGACGCAGCTGTGGGGTCAGGTGCAGAGGGCAGATGCTGCAGGAGCACCGGGAGCAGCTTGTTCCCTGTGGCAGTGGCTCCAGCACCAGTGCAGCCAAAGCCTCTGCACCCGGGGGTCCTGTGGGAGCCACACCCACCGGTGCAGCGGCTCCTGTACCACTGCCTGCAGCATGTGCATGGTGCATGGTGCATAGTACATGGTGCAGGGTGCAGGGTACATGGTGCATGGTGCACAGTGTATGGTGCAGGGTATGTGGTACATTGTGCAGGGTATGTGGTACATGGTGCAGGGTGCAGCTGGAACCTGCTGCTGCAGCAGGGGGGCTCACGCCATGTGCAGTGCTGCAACAGCAGCAACAGCAGCAGCGTCCTCCCGGCACCTGCGTGGCTGTGGGTCTGTGGAGCTGTGCTGTGTTGGGGCTGTGCTGTGATGGTGGGGCTGTGATGGGGCTGTGATGGGGCTGTGATGGGGCTGTGCTGTGGTGGGGCTGTGATGGGGCTGTGCTGTGGTGGGGCTGTGATGGGGCTGTGCTGTGGTGGGGCTGTGATGGGGCTGCGGGGCTGTACTGGGGCTGTGCTGGGGCTGTGGGGCTGTGCTGGGGCTGTGGGGCTGTGCTGGAGCTGTGGGGCTGTGCTGGAGCTGTGGGGCTGTGCTGGGGCTGTGGGGCTGTGATGGGGCTGTGGGGCTGTGCTGGGGCTGTGGGGCTGTGATGGAGCTGTGGGGCTGTGCTGGGGCTGTGGGGCTGTGATGGGGCTGTGGGGCTGTGCTGGAGCTGTGGGGCTGTGATGTGGCTGTGGGGCTGTGATGGGGCTGTGGGGCTGTGATGGGGCTGTGGGGCTGTGATGGAGCTGTGGGGCTGTGATGGGGCTGTGGGGCTGTGATGGAGCTGTGGGGCTGTGCTGGAGCTGTGGGGCTGTGATGGGGCTGTGGGGCTGTGATGGGGCTGTGGGGCTGTGATGGAGCTGTGGGGCTGTGATGGAGCTGTGGGGCTGTGCTGGAGCTGTGGGGCTGTGATGTGGCTGTGGGGCTGTGATGGGGCTGTGGGGCTGTGATGGGGCTGTGGGGCTGTGATGGAGCTGTGGGGCTGTGATGTGGCTGTGGGGCTGTGATGGAGCTGTGGGGCTGTGATGGGGCTGTGGGGCTGTGGGGCTGTGATGGAGCTGTGGGGCTGTGCTGTGGTGGGGCTGTGCTGGAGCTGTGGGGCTGTGATGGAGCTGTGGGGCTGTGATGGAGCTGTGGGCCACGACGCGACCGGGGCGGGGGCGGGGCGGGGGGCGGGGGCGGGGCCGGGTGGGGGCGGGGCGGCGGCGCTGGCGCGAGCCCCGGGGGTTTCCCCGGTAACGGCTCCGGCTCGCGCCGGGGGGGGAGGGGCGGGGGTCAGCGGGGGCAGCGCCGGTACCGGAGCGTCCCGCCGGGCCCCGCCCCCCCAGCGCGCACGAACAAAGGCGGGACTCGCCCCGCCCCCCCCCCCCCGGTACCGGCGCCCCCCGAAGCCCCCCCGGAGCCCCGGGCCCGGCTCCGCCGCGGTGAGTGCGGGGGGGGGGGGCGGGGGTCGAGCTGGGGCAGCGCGGGGCCGGGGCGAGGGGGGGCTGGGGGGCGCGGGGCCGGGGCAGCCGCTGCGGGGGGCGGGGGGCGCGGGGGGTGCGGGGGGCGCGCTCCGTGCGTGGCGCTGCCCGGCCCCGGGGCTCACGCGGGCGGCGCGGACCCGGCCCGGGGAGGGTGCGAGGCTGCGGGGCGTGAACACGTGGGTGGGGGTGGGGGTGCCCCTCCCTGCTCCCTACCTGATGGATGGGTGCTCCCAGCCCCATCCCCGCACCCCGCATCCCTTCACCCATCCCTGCACCCCCTCACCCATCCCCGCATCCCCTCACCCATCCCCACATCCCCTCACCCATCCCTGCGTCCCCTCACCCATCCCTGCATCCCCTCACCCATCTCCGCATCCCCTCACCCATCCCCACATCCCCTCACCCATCCCTGCATCCCCTCATCCATCCCTGCATCCCCTCACCCGTCCCTGCCTCCCCTCACCCATCCCTGCATCCCCTCACCCGTCCCTACATCCCCTCATGCATCCCTACGTCCCTTCATCCATCCCTGCATCCCCTCACCCGTCCCTACATCCCCTCATGCATCCCTACGTCCCTTCATCCATCCCTGCATCCCCTCACCCGTCCCTACATCCCCTCACCCGTCCCTACATCCCCTCATGCATCCCTACATCCCCTCATCCATCCCTGCATCCCCTCATCCATCCCTGCATCCCCTCACCTGTCCCTACATCCCCTCATGCATCCCTACCTCCCCTCACCCATCCCTACATCCCCTCATCCATCCTTACCTCCCCTCACCCATCCCTACCTCCCCTCACCCATCCCTACATCCCTGCATCCCCTCGTCCATCCCTGCATCCCCTCGTCCATCCCTGCATCCCCTCATCCATCCCTACATCCTCTCATCCATCCCTGCATCCTCTCATCCATCCCTACATCCCCTCGTCCATCCCTACATCCTCTCATGCATCCCTACATCTGCCCACTCCTCCATTCCCGCACCCAGCCCCACATCCTCAGCCCCACACCCCTCCATGGGCCCCACAGCAGCAGGTGGCTCCTTTCTCTGGCTCCACTATAATCCATCAGCACAAAGCGGCACCAACCGGGAGCCTGAGCCCAGTGCTGGTGCAGCTGGTGGCACCGCGTGCACTGAGTGGTCCTGATGCCAGGAGGCCCTGGCTCAGTGCAGGTGACCCCTGGGCAGCACCAGGGCGCAGGGCACTGCGGTGGCTCTGGTAACGTGCGTTCTCATGGCTCGTTGCAGGCTGGAGCTGGTGCCGGTGCCGGTGCTGGTGCCATGGGGAACTCAGTGACTCGGCCCGGCTGCCTGGGCCAGAGGCGCCGGCGCTCAGCAGAGGCACAGCTCCGGGATGCGGTGCCGGACACGGTGCAGAATGGCTGGAGCGTGGCACCCGGTGCCTCCGGGAGCCTGAAGCACAGCCCAGTGCCGGTGCAGAATGGCAGCACTGCGTGTGTCCTGGTGCCAGGTGCAGCCTGGACACCCCCCACGCACCGTGGCACATGGGGCTGGGCCCCTGGCACCCGGCGTGAAGTGACGGAGGTGACAGAGGTGACCGAGACCATCGTCACTGAGATCGTGGAGGTGACGCAGTACCCGGGCGCCGAGGCCCCGCTCGCCGGCACTGGCACCACGCCGGCGGAACGCCGGGGGGACAGAGATGCCACAGAGGTGACCGTGGGCAGGGACCGTCGCCACCGCCAGCACCACGCTGGGAGCCTCGGCCCTTGGCTCACATGGGGCAGTGTGCTTCTGGCTTCTGGCTGCAGTGCGGGGACCTGCTGGTGCTGCAGGATGGGTCCAGCCCCGGTGCTGGCAGCGCCTGCCCTTCATCTGCTGAGGAGGAGCATGGGTGTGCAGGGGCTGAGGGCTCAGCCTCATGTCCCCCACAGGTGGTGCCAGAGGAGGCTGCGTTGGCGGCGCTGGTGTCGGTGGATCGGGCTCAGGACACGCCAGAGGCGCTGCTGGCCTGGGTGGCTGACATGGAGGAGCTGGTGGGCAACCAGAGGCCACCATCAGCCGAGGCGAAGGTGGTGAAGGCACAGCTGGAGGAGCAGAAGGTGCGGAGGTGCAACGGCTGCAGTGCTGCCGGTGCTGTGCCATGGCACTGTGTTGTGGTGCAGGGGGTGTGTGTGGCTGCAGTTGCAGCGCCGTGTCCTGCTGTGTTGCAGCTGCTGCAGCGGCTGCTGGAGGAGCGGCGGCCGCGCGTGGAGCTGGTGCTGCAGGATGGATCCGGGGCCCTGGTGCGTGACACCGGCACCGGCACCCTCGGCGAGAGGTGGGAGTGGCTGGTGCAGGAGGCAGGAGCCAGGTGGGTCCGGCTGGGCTGCGAGGGAGGACCCGGCCCATTGGGGCCGCGGTGGCACCGTCCCCAGCCCTGGCTAACACGGGTCCTACCAGGTCAGGCCGCCTGGAGCAGATCTTGCCGGCAGCGCTGCGCTTCCAGGAGGCCGCCGATTCCTTCCAGGAGTGGCTGGGAGCCGCGGAGCGGAGGCTGGCGCAGCTCTGGCGCGCCGATGGCTGTGGCGACATGCAGGACGCCCATCGGCAAAGCCAGGTTGGGGCAGGCGGGTGGGGCAGGAGGGTGCAGCACCCATGGGTGCTGCACGGTGTGTGCTGGGGCCGGTGCCAGCTGAGGTGACCACATCATGTCACAGGAGCTGTGCCAGGAGGTCGGTGCACGGCTGGGGGAGCTGGACAGTGCTTTGGCAAGTGGGCAGCAGGTCCTGACTATGGTCACAGGTGAGTGGGGACGGGCGCTGGGTGCTGCTGGGGCTCTGTTGGCACTGCAGCACAAGCTGCGGGATGGAGCCAGGGACAGGGCTGCGCCAGTGCTGACAGCGGCTGTGGTGGTGCTGCAGGGGAGGAGGTGCAGGTGGTGCAGGAGAAACTGGAGTCGCTGCGGACGCGGTACCTCATCGTGTGCCGGAGCAGCGCCGATGCCTCGCAGCGCCTGGGGCAGACGCTGGAGGCCTCAGCCCGCCTGGACATGGTGCAAGATGACCTGGTGCTGTGGCTGAGCCGCATGGAGCAGGAACCGGCCTGCGGTGATGGCACTGACCAAGGAGAGCAGGTGCCAGATGTGCCGGGGGCTCTGTGCCACAGTGGGGAGGGTGGTCACAGCGGTGGCAGTGTGACTGATGGTGGTGATGGTGTCCCTGTGCCAAAGCTGGAGCAGCTCCTGGAGGCGCAGCTGGGCTGCACAACCGCACTCGCTGCGCTCATGGAGCAGCCTGTGCCGGTGCCGCTGGATGCTGCGGTGCTGCGCGCGCAGCTCGATGAGCAGAAGGTGGGTCTGTGGCCAAGCACTGCCTGGAGCCCCTGCATGTGGCCCTAGCACCAATACAACCGCTGCATGTCCTGCAGCTGCTGTCAGCTGAGGTCCTGCACCGCCGTGCGCTGGTGGAGCGGCTGCTACGTGTCACCGACCCGCTGCTGCACTGCATCCCCGACCCGCTGCGGCAGCGCCTGCAGGTGAGCGGTGCCAGGGGTGCCAGGGAGGATGCGGTGATGGTGCCACTGCAGCAATGCCCATGCCCCGTGTCACTGTGTGTGTCGGCAGCCATCAGTGCAGGCGCTGCGGGAGCACATGGAGCAGCTCTGGCAGCGCTGCGGTGCCCGCGGTGAGCAGCTGGAGCAGGCACAGGCACTGCTGGCGCAGTTCACGGAGGTGCAGGAGGAGCTGCAGCCCTGGCTGCGGGAGGCGCAGGCGGCCGCGCTGCAGCTCGCGCCCAGCACCATCGACTGTGACGGTTTTAAGGAGCAGCAGCAGCTGCTGCAGGTGAGGTGGTGGCGGGCGTGGGGCAGTGACGGGCACGGGGCAATGGGAGCGCTGGGTGCGGGGCAGCAGCAGCGGTGGGCGGCCCCTGCAGCGTCCTGTGCCCGCAGAGCCTGCGCGAGGCCCTGGCTGAGCACCGACCGCTGCTGGGGAAGCTGCAGCGTGTTGCGGCACAGCTGCAGGAGCTGAGCCCGGAGCAGGCGGCACCATTCCGGCAGCGCTGCAGCGAGGCTGATGAGCTGTACAGCTGCATCCGGCAGCGCCTGCGCCAGGCAGCCACGCTGCTCGAGGATGCTCTGCCACGGTACAGCCAGGTATGGAGCTGGGCTGGGGCTGGGGGGGACACGCTGCTGACTCCACGAGTCACCGGGGCTGGTGTGTCCCCACAGCTCTCAGAGCGCATGGATGTGCTGCGGGAGTGCCTGGAGCGGCTGCAGCGGCGCCTGCAGAGCCAGCCTGGCGCACGTGGCGACGCGGTGCAGCTGCGGGAGCAGCTCCAGGACAACGCACTGGCGCTGGCAGAGCTGGAGCAGCTCGGGGCTGCCCTGGCCACAGTTCAGGCGCAGGGCGAGGAGCTGCTGGGCAGCGTGCTGGAGGCCGGCTGCAGTGCCGCGGCTGCAGGTGTGCACGTGCCATGGTGATGGAGCACGGTCCCAGCGCGGGGTCCTTGTGCAGAGTGCAGGGTCCCAGTGCTGGTGCAAGGTGCCAGAGCTGGGTCCCAGTCCCAGTGTGGGGTGCTAGTACAGGGTGTGATGTGCTGGTGCAAGATCCTGGTGCAGGGTTGTAGGTCATGGTGTGGGGTCCCAGTGTGGGGTTGTGGGGTCTCAGTGCTGCTGTTAGGTTCTGGTGCTTGGTGCTGGTCCTGGTGCAGGGTCCTGGTGCAGTTGCCAGTCCAAGCTGCAGTGCAAGCACCACCACTGTCTCTGCAGGGCTGCAGGAGAGGCCAGCGCAGCTGCAGGCTCAGTGGGGGTCCCTGCAGCGCCAGTGCCAGGAGCGGGAACGGTGGCTGCGGGACGTGCTGCCGCTGGCAGAGCGGTTCTGGCAGGGCCTGGCCGAGCTGGCAGTGGCGCTAAGCGACACCCAGCACGTGCTGCTGGCGCTGGAGGATGCTGGTGGTGACACTGAGGACACCCCAGAGCCTGATACCATCCGGGCCCGGCTGCGCTCCATGCAGGTATGGGCTGGGGCTGAGGGCAGTGTTGCAATGCAGGCAGTGCTGCAAGAGTAGGCTATGCAGTATGGGTACCCCCATGATGCAGGCAGTGCCACAGCATGGTCAGCCCCATGGCACAGGCAGTGCTGCAGCATGGGCATATCCATTTCATGAGTAGTCCAATGGCACAGGCATGGGCAGCCTCATGGTTTTTGCAGCTTCGTGGCACAGTCAGTGCTGCAACATGGGCAGCACCGTGGTGCAGGCAGCCCCACTGCCATGGAGCACTGTGCCCATGCACATTGCATGGGCAGTGGTGTAGCATGGGCAGCCCCATGGCACGGGCAGTGGTGCAGCATGGGCCGCCCCATGGCACAGGCAGTGCCACAGCATGAGCAGCCCCATAGCACAGGCAGCACCAGCAGCACTGCCCATGGCACAGGCGACCCCTCTCAGGGGCAGTGCCGCAGCATGGGCTGCCCTGATCCATGTGGGTGCTGCAGGCGCTGCGGGAGGAGCTGGACACGCTGCAGGTGGAGCTGGACGCGCTCGGCAGCGTTGGCGTGGAGCTGGCAGCCGCCTGCGGGGACCCCGGCAAACCCGACGTCACCCGGAGCATGGACGATGTGAGCGTGTGGGCATCGACTGGGGGGCCCAGTGCCGGTGGGGTGGCCCCGGCACCATGAACCCTGTGTGGTGCCACCAACCCATCCGCAGTGCTCCCCCCATCCCATGCCCCCCATCCCATGTCCCCCCCCGTCCCTGCGGTGCTGCTGACCACCCCACCACCCCCAGCTCTACCGCTCATGGCACAGCCTCAGCCAGGCCTGGGCCCGGCGCTTCGGCCGCCTTGAGGAGCAGCTCCAGGCTGCTGTCACCCACCAGGACACTGAGCAGGTGGGACCCTGCACCGGGTGTGGGGCTGGGGTGTCCCTGCCCCGTCTTCTGTGCATGGGGTGGGCAGGGGACCAGGTGGTGTGGGGCAGGCTGGCTATTGCATCATGCTGCTGCTTTGGTTGTGGGGCTGGCAGGGCCGTGGGGCAGGATGCAGTGGTGCAGTGGTGCGGCTGCAGGGTACAGGGTGATGGTGCCTTGGCCACGCTGTGCTGACACTGTGTGGGACGCGGATGGGCACACAGATGGGGCCTGGCCCCCCCTGACGCGTCCGTCCTTGGCTGCAGCGTCTCTGCGGGTGGCTGGATGCGGCCGAGCTGCGCCTGGCCGAGGAGTTCCTTGTCGGCGGGGACCTGCCGGTGCTGCAGCAGCAGCTGGTGGAGCTCAAGGTGCGTCCAGCCGCGTGGGGCACGTGCCAGACCCAGCTGAACCGTACTGTGCAATGCTGGGCTGTCCTGTGCCAAACCAGACCCAGCTCTGCCATCCTGTGCCATTTGGTACCAAACCAGACCCAGCTCTGCCATCCTGTGCCATTCGGTACCAACCCAGACCCAGCTCTGCCATCCTGTGCCATTCGGTACCAAACCAGACCCAGCTCTGCCATCCTGTGCCATTCGGTACCAAACCAGACCCAGCTCTGCCATCCTGTGCCATTCGGTACCAACCCAGACCCAGCTCTGCCATTCTGTGAAATTCAGTACCAAACCAGACCCAGCTCTGCCATTCTGTGCCATTCGGTACCAAACCAGACCCAGCTCTGCCATTCTGTGCCATTCGGTACCAAACCAGACCCAGCTCTGCCATTCTGTGCCATTCAGTACCAAACCAGACCCAGCTCTGCCATTCTGTGCCATGCTATGCCAAACTAGGCTCAGCTCTGGCATCCCATCCCATTCTGTCCCATGTTGTTCCATCCCATGCTCTGCCATCCTGTGCCGTGCCACACCCGGTGCCAGGGCAGCCCCATCTTCTCCACCACAGGAGTTCAAGCGGGAGCTCTACCAGTGCCGGGTGGATGTGGAGACGCTGCGGCAGCACCAGCACCAGCCCGGCACGGGGGGCACGGCCAAGGGAGACCTGGCCCAGGGGGACCCATCCCAGGGGGACCCCACAGCCGCGCTTCCCGACTTCCGCCAGCGCTGGGACCGTCTGGAGGAGGAGATCGTCAGCCGGCAGGTACAGGGGGGACAGCAGTGCGGGTGCAAGGGAACTGGGTGGGCATACGGGGAGCGGGGTGGGTGCTGTGCGGTGGGTGCTGGGTGATCTCATGTCAGAGCGGCCGTTCCCCGGTGCAGCATGAGCTGGAGGCGGCGCTGCTGGGGCTGGGGCAGTTCCAGCACCAGCTGCAGGAGCTGCTGCAGTGGCTGACGCGCACGGCCGAGACGCTGCAGAGCCCCGCGGTGCTGCGCCCCGACCTGCAGAGCTGCGAGATCGAGCTGGCCAAGCACACGGTGAGCAGGGACAGGGGGGACATGGGGCACGGGCATGGTGCAGCCCAAACACCCTGGGGAGGGCCGCGGTGCGGTGCAGCCAAGCGGTGCCGCGGGTCCCCGGTGCGGCAGTGCTGGCTGTGACTGTGGTGCCCATCGCAGGTGCTGCGGAACGACGTGCTTTGCCACGCGCGCACGGTGCAGGCGGTGAATGAGGCGGCGCAGGGGCTGCTGCTCTGCAGCATGGGGCACAGCGAGGAGGGGTTGCAGCACAGCCTGCACCAGCTCAACCAGCGCTGGGATCTGGTGCGCAGCGAGACCGAGACCCGGCAGCTGCAGCTGGAGAACAACCTCAGCCAGGTACTGGCTCTGCCTGCCGTGGTGTTGCCTGTACCAGCACTGTGTGTCCTGGTGCTGCTGGTCCCGGTGGTGCTGGTACTGGCACTGCGGCCCCGTACTGCCAGTGCTGGTGCTGCTGGTCCTGGTGCTGCTGCGGTGCTGAGCCCCAGCACTTTGCCAGGTCCAGGACATTACACTGGAGATCACGGAGCTGCTGCAGTGGCTGGAGCAGGTGGAGCTGCAGCTCTTCTTCTCGAAGCCGGTGTGGGGCCACCCGGACACCACCAAAGAGATGCTCACGGTGCATCTGGTGAGCACCAGGGCTCCGCTGGGGTGTCCCCCTTCCGCAGGGGTGTCCTGGGTGTCCCTTGGTGGGGGGCCTGGGTGCCACAGGGTCCAGGACCCATTTCTGCCTTGCCAGAGCACGCAGAGACCTCCTGTGCCCCCCAGCAACCCTGAGACACAGTGGGAAAATCCTTGTCCCCGTCCCCGTGACCCTATCCATGGATCCATCCCTGTCCACGTCTCCCCATCCACATCCCTGTGTGTGTCCCCATGACCGTTCCAGTGTCCATCTCTGTCCCTGTCTCATCTCCATCACTGTCCCCACGTCCCCATCCCCATGTCCCCATCCCTGGTGTGACTGTGCCGCTGGGGCTGCCGCCACGTCCCCGCAGGAGCTGTGCAGGGAGCTGGATTCCAAGCAGGACACGTACAGCAGCCTGCGGGAGCGGCTGCAGCGGCTGCTGGGCCCCAGCGGCGTGGGGCAGCCCTGCAGCACGGAGCACGGGCTGCGCCTGCTGCAGCACAAGTGGGAGAGCGTCCGTGCCGAGGCGCAGGAGCGGAAGGTGCGCGGGGAGTGATGTGCCGGGGCTGAGGCTGCGGCTGGGGCTGCTGCGGGCGCCCGTCCCCCTCAGCCCCGTGCGCTGCCCGCAGGAGAGCCTGGCCGAGGGGGTGACCGTCAGCACCGAGTTCCACGGCACCGTGCAGGAGCTGCTGCGCTGGGTGGCCCAGGCAGAGGAGCAGCTTGGGGACCCCGCGCCGCCCAGCTTCGTCCTTGACACCGTCACCGCGCAGCTGCAGGAGCACAAGGCAAGAGCCAGGCCGGTCCTGGGGCCACGCTGGGCCCTGGGGCTGCCTGAGGGCTCCCCAGCAGCAGCAGCAGCCGCAGTGCAAGGGATGCCTCCGGCTCGTGGGGCTCCCGGCACAGGCTGAGCTGCGCCCGCTCCCCTCCCCTCAGGTGCTGGTGAGAGAGGCGAGTGCCCACGGGGAGAAGCTGGCCGGACTGGAGGCTGTGGCCGCTCGCTTGAGGGACTTCAGCAGGAAGCAGGACGGGGCCGTGATCCAGAACATGGTGCTGTCGGCCAAGGAGCGGCTGGGGAAGGTGCTGCAGCGGCTGGCGGAGCGCGGCACCGTGCTGGAGGAGGCTCGAAAGCGCAGCAAGCAGGTACCAGCACCAGCAGTGATGTCTGCAGCCAGGCACCGTGTGCTGGGTGCAGCCCAGAGCAGGAGCAGGAGCTCAGGGAGGGAATCCTGCTCCTCTGCTGCGGGAAGGGGAGAGCTGAGAGCAGCTCCAGAGCCTGAAGGGCTGCAGAGAGCCTGGAGAGGGGTTGGGACAAGGGAGGCAGGGACAGGCCAAGGGGAATGGCTTGAACCTGCCCGAGGGGAGACTGAGCTGAGCTCTGAGGCAGAAGCTCTTCCCTGTGAGGGTGCTGAGGCGCTGGCACAGGGTGCCCAGAGAAGCTGTGGCTGCCCCATCCCTGGCAGTGCTCAAGGCCAGGTTGGACACAGGGGCTCGGAGCACCCTGCTCCAGGGGAAGGGGTCCCTGCCCTGGCCGGGGTTGGAGCTGGAGGAGCTCTAAGCTCCGTCCCACTCACGCCCCTCCATGGTTCCCTGTTCCCCCCGCCCCTGTCCCTGTGCTGCAGTTCACCGAGTCCCGGCAGCTGCTCCTGGACTGGATGGGTGAGGCCGAGCAGAGCCTGGAGGTGCCTTCGGACACCACCACGAGCCAGGAGGAGCTCAAGTCCCGGCTGGCTGAGCACAAGGTGCGGCTGCGCCAGGGGGTCCCGGCTCCTGGGGGATGCACCTGGGGCTCTGTCTGTGGTTGGGGGGGGCCTGGGCTGAGGGGCATCAGCACCCCACGGTGCCCTGCGGCACTTGGGACAGAAGGGGTGTCCCCGTGCCCGTGTCCCCATCCCCGTCTCCCCGTGTCCCCGTGCCCTCTGTGCAGGCGTTCCAGAAGGTTCTGCGCTCAAAGCGGCCGGTGCTGGAGGCCACGCTGCGGAGCGGACGGGCGCTGCGGGAGGGGGCCCGGCTGGACCAGGACCTGCAGCCTCTGGAGGAGCTGCTGCGGGACCTGAAGGAGCGCTGGGATGCGCTGTGCAGCCTTGCTGCCGAGAGGTGGGACCAGGGGGTGGGATGGGGATGGAATTGGGGTGGGGATGGGGATGGGGTGGGATAAGGTGGGACTAGATGGGGTGGCCTGAAAATGAGGATGGGGATGAAGGTAGGGATGGGGATTGGGATGGAGATGTGATGGGTGTAGAGACAGAGATGGCGTTGGGGATGGGGTAAGGTGAGGTGAGGTAGAATGGGGTGTCCTCTGCTTCTCGTGTGGCTCCAGGTAAGGGCCTGGCCTCAACATTCCTCCCTGGGCATCCACCGCCCTGCTTTGACCCCTGCCCCGGCACTGCTGGGCTTTCCTCATCCTGGCTGGAGCCCATCCCTGGCCATTCCCTGCCCCGCAGTGCTGGGTCCTGGGTGCAGCCATTCCCTGCCCCACAGTGCTGGGTCCCGGGTGCAGCCATTCCTGCCCCGCTGTGCCGGGCCTGGCCCTGCAGCGTTGCCTGCACCCACTGTCCTGGCAGGCAGCACCAGCTGGAGGAGAGGCTGCTGCTGTCGGGGAAGTTCTCGGAGGCGCTGCAGGCGCTCCTGGACTGGCTGTACCGCGCCGAGCCGCAGCTCAGCGAGGACGTGCCCGTCGGTGGTGACCGCGACCTGGTCAGTGACCTGATGGACAAGCACAAGGTGGGTGTCCCCGTCCCTATCCCTGTCCTCTTCCCTGCCCACATTCCTATCCCCATTCTGTTCCTATTCTCATGTCCCCATCCTTGTCCCTATCCCATCCCCATTCTGATCCCATCCCTGTCCCCATCCCCATCCCTATCCCTCTTCTTGTCCCCATCCTCATCCTCATCCCATCCCCATCCCATCCCATCTCCAGCTACCCTGGGACCTGCCCGGGGCAGGGCTGGAGGCTGGGGCAGGGCGATGGCTGCAGCCCCTGGTCCACGCTGCTGCAGCGGTGCCTGTGCTGCATGGAGCCCTGTGCTGCAGCAGAGCCAGGCGGGTGCTGGGACACTGCCGGCATCTCTCCCCGCTCCAGGTTTTCCAGAAGGAACTGGGCAAACGCGCTGGCTGTGTGCGGGCGCTGACGCGCTCGGTGCGGGACCCGGCGCGCGGTGACTCGCCGTGGCTGCAGCGGCAGCTGGAGGAGCTGAGCACGCGCTGGGACCTGGTCTGCCGCCTCTCCCTGGGCAGGCAGGCGCGGCTGGAGGCAGCGCTGCGCCAGGTCATGGCGAGGGGCCTCGGGGGGAAGGGGCTGCAGGTGGTTGTGTGGCACCCGGGGCTGCATGGGGCGATGCTGCAGGGTGCTGTGTAGTGTGCCTGGGTGATGGGTGGTCATGTGCTGCTTTGGGTGCTTGGGCTCTGTGTGTGCCTGCGCTGTGGGGTGCTGCATGGGGTGCCTGGGCTCTGTGTGGCTATGCTGCAGGCTGCTGTGTGGGGTGTCTGGGCTCTGCATGTGGTTGCGCTGCAGGGTGCTGCGTGTGGCCACACAGCTTTGTGTGTGGCTGTGTCGCAAGCTGCCATGCCCGAGTGCCAGGCTGGGTGCTGCAGGTGCTGGTTACAGGTGCCGGGGGAAGATGTTGGTGCTGCAACTCCATGGGGAGGTCCTGGTGGGGACCGTGGTGTCGAGCCATGGCAAGGAGCCTCCTCTGTCCTGCTACAGGTTGCAGCCGGGCTGGCAGCAGCTCTGGGCACATAGTGCTGCAATGAGTCACATGTGCTGGGTGCAGGAGCAGCAGCCACAGGGTCTGGTTGAGGGTCTTGGGGGCTGGGCCCTGGTGCTGCAGCCACACGCAGGGGCTGAGCAGGTCCCATGTCTGCTGCAGGCTGAAGAGTTCCACAGCCTGGTGCAGTCATTCCTGCGCCGCCTTGGCGAGTCTGAGCAGAGCCTCAAGTACGGCGCCATCCCCGAGGAGGAGGCGGCCGTGCAGCAGTGTCGTGACCTGCTGCAGGTTAGTGCATCCTTGTCCCGGCACGTCCCAATCTGCCGTGGCCCCCACCGGGGTCCCATTGCACCCAGATGCGGGTTTGGGGTGCTGAGGGGTGGGGGTTTTGGGTCCCGTGCACTTGCAACCATGCATGGTGAACCAGTGCCCTTACCCAGTGCTAGGGGTGCATTGGGTGCCAGGGCTGGACCCAGCACTGTCATGGTGCGTGTCCCCCTCCAGGAGCTGCTGCAGTCGCTGCAGTGCCAGCAGCTGGAGCTGGAGTGCATCACCTCACTGGGGGAGGAGATCCTGTCCTCCTGCCACCCTGACTCCGTTGTCACGATCAAGTCCTGGATCACCGTCGCCAAGAGCCGCTTCCAGGAGGTGAGAGGGGTCCCCGTGTCCAGGGAGGGTCACAGGGATGCTCCAGGGAAGGAGACTGGGGAAGAAGCTCTTCCCTGTGAGGGTGCTGAGGCGCTGGCACAGGGTGCCCAGAGAAGCTGTGGCTGCCCCATCCCTGGCAGTGCTCAAGGCCAGGTTGGACACAGGGGCTTGGAGCACCCTGCTCCAGTGGAAGGGGTCCCTGCTCTGTCAGGGGTTGGAGGTGGAGGAGCTTTAAGGTCCCTCCCACCCAAACCCCTCCATGGTTCCATGATCTCTTGGTCGGGACAGTGGCCACATCCAACTTCTTCTGCCCTCTATGAGCTGCCGGCACCCATGGCTCCCACTGTCACCCGGGGCCTCCATGCTCCTGCTGATGGTGATGGCTCATTCCCACCAGCATTGCAGTTGCCACCCAGCCCAGGCAGGGATCCATGTCCCAGGATCCCCATCCCAGAGGGGTTCCCACAGCAGCTGAAGGCTCCCAGCTCTGCCCGGACGGGTCTGACTGGTTGAGCCGATACTTGTCTGATCCCTGCCTGCTCCAGCCCTTCCTGAGGGGAGTTCAAAGATCCTGGGACCTGATCTGGAGCTGCTGCTGCTCCAGGGCGTGCAGGCAGGACACGGCACAGCCCGGCCATGCTGGCAGCAGCGCATTCGCAGCGGCACAGACACTCGTGCTGGCATGTTCAGCTGCTGCCACAGGCATGGACCCAGGACCGATGCTCCCTGTGCTTGCCCCATGACCATGGGGGCTGCTGGCTGGGGTCTCTGCCCCACAGCCCTGCCTCACAGCCACGGGGTCTGCTGGCTGGAGGTCCCAGTGCCTGCCCCATGGCAGGAGTGCACCATGCAGGGGCCGTCCCCACTGATGCCATGACCCTGTGGTGCCTGGTTGTAGTCACAGCCCCCAGGGTTTGCAGCCATGCAGCCCTCCACAGACCCCTGCAGGCCCCCAGCCTCGTGCCGTGCCGCAGGTGCAGCGCTGGGCGCAGCAGCAGGGTGAGCGGCTGCAGGCACAGGCGTCGCGGCTGGTGGCCGAGCGGGAGGATGCGGCGCAGCTCCTGGAGTGGATGGCGGCAGCCGAGGAGGCGCTGGGGCTGCGGGACACGGAGCCGCTGCCACAGGAGGTGGAGCCACTGCAGGAGCTCAGTGCACAGCATGCGGTAAGGGCCCGCGACACTGTGTGTGTGCCCCCACCTGCCTCAACCCACCAAGGGCTGCAGGTGCACCAGGCTGCAGCCATGCGTGCAGCAGTGCTGCAGGAGCACCTCTTATGTGTCGCAGCCAAGCCCATGGGTTCTGCAACCAGAGCTGCGCATGCAGGAGGGTGCAGAGGGGCTGCTCTGTGCTCCAAGCATCACCCCGTGCCTGGCTGCACTGCAGCAGTGGTGGGATGAGCTGCTGCGGCTGGTGGGTGCTCAGTGTGCTCTGCCGCAGGTCTTCATGGAGGAGCTAAACCGCAAGCAGCCTGACGTGGAGAAGGTGACCAAGAGCTGCAAGCAGAAGCTGGCCGTGGATCTGGGCCCACCAGTTGCACGCCGACTGGCCACACGTAAGGACCCCCCTGCGCTGCACTGCACCGGCCGCAGCCCTGGCTCTGTGTCATGGTGTGTCTGCTGGCTGCAGGGCGCCGCAGCACAGGGAAGGCAACGGCGGAGCTGCCCGGGGCGCCAGAGCCCCAGAGCCCGCTCACGGCGCAGGTCCTGCAGCGCTGGCAGCAGCTCTGGCTCCTGGCGCTGGACCGGCAGTACCGGCTCGAGACGGCCCTGCAGCGCCTGCGGGAGGTACGGCTGCTGCGCTGCAGCACCGGCGGGTGCAAAGCACGGCATGGTGCAGGGGTGATGCATGTGGGTGCTGCATGGGCAGAGCAATGCACTGGGTGCTGCATGGGCAGAGCATGCTTGCTGGGGCTGCGGTGTCTCTCAGGGGATTAATTCCCATCTCTGCCCCTCGGAGCTGGAGGAATTTGCTCACTTCGACTTTGGGGTCTGGCGCAAGCGCTACATGCACTGGATCGGGCAGATGAAGTCCCGTGTCCTCGACGTCTTCCGAGGCATTGACCGGGACCAGGACGGGCGCATCAGCCAGAGGGAGTTCATAGAGAGCGTCCTCTCCTCCAGTGAGTGCCCAGGGATCCTACAGGATCCACTCAGACCCCCTGGGAGCGGTGGGGCCGTGCTGGTGGAGATGGGGATGGACGGGGTCTGCCTGCGGGATCCAGCCCAGGCACGGGGAGAGGGGCTGGAGCCTGAGGAGCAGGACTTGGGGTGCTGGGGGAGGAGAAGCTCCCCAGGACCCGGCTTCAGTGAGCGCTGGAGCCCAGAAACCCCCGTGTGCTGGGTGCAGCCCAGAGCGGGAGCAGCAGCTCAGGGAGGGGATCCTGCCCCTCTGCCTCGGGAAGGGGAGAGCTGAGAGCAGCTCCAGAGCCTGAAGGGCTGCAGGAAACCTGGAGAGGGGCTTGGGACAATGACATAGGGATGGGACGAGGAGTAACAGCTTCTGTGTGGAAGATGGAACAGTTAAGTGAGGTGTTAGGAAGAAATTCTTTACCATGAGGGTGGTGGAAGAGGTTGAATGGAGAAGCTGTGGCTGCCCCATCCCTGGCAGTGCTCCAGGCTAGGTTGGACACAGGGGCTTGGAGCACCCTGCTCCGGTGGAAGGGCTCCCTGCCCATGGGAGCGAGTTGGAACTGGATGAGCTTTTTAAGGTCCCTTCAAAACAAACCATGATCCCCTCTCTGGGGGCAGTGGTTCAGTGCTGGCACCATCTGCCCTTGGCCCAATGTGCTGAGAGTCCCGTTCCCACCCAGAGTTCCCCACCAACGTTCTGGAGATGAACACTGTTGCCAGCATCTTTGACATGAACGGCGACGGGTTCATCGACTACTGTGAGTTCGTCAGTGCCCTGCACCCCAACCGGGACCTGCTGCGCCGCGGCGCCGATGCTGACCAGATCCAGGATGAGGTGCGACTGCAGCTGGGGGGGCTGCACGGGGTGGGGTGTCCCACAGGGGCTGGGGTGGGGAGAGTCCCTTGGGGGGTGACCCCTGTGCTCACCCTGCAGGTGAACCGGCAAGTGGCCCAGTGCAACTGTGCCAAGCGGTTCCAGGTGGAGCAGATCAGTGCCAACAGGTACCGGGTAAGTGCTGGTAGCACCGCCGCACCGGTGCGCAGCCTGCACCATGCCAGGTGCTGCAGCTCCCATGCACTGCGGTGCCTGCCCGGGAGGGGGCACGTCCCCATGTCCTCCGGGCCCCCTGGTGCTGCGGGCTGCAGCACAGGGATGCATGGGACCCAATGGCTTGGTGGTAGGCGCAGCTGGGTGCGGGGACCTGCCCTGGCACCCACTCCCCAGCACCTAGCCCTGACAAACCTTCTGACGCTCCCTGCACTGCCCTGACCCCCTCCTGCCCTTGCCCCCCCCCCCGTGTCACGGTGTCGCTGCAGTTTGGGGAGTCGCAGCAGCTGCGGATGGTGCGCATCCTGCGCAGCACCCTCATGGTGCGGGTCGGTGGCGGCTGGATCGCGCTTGATGAGTTCCTGGTGAAGAACGACCCCTGCAGAGGTGGGGATGGGCGGTCCCCCCACCCTGGCACCCGCATCCAGGGGGGCTGCCAGTGGGCACTGCAGTGCGATGCTGCAGCGGGGCCCCTGCGGGCTGCGGCCCCGTTCCCAGCCCTTGTGACCGCCTCCATCACCCCAGTGAAGGGAAGGACCAACCTGAAGATCAATGAGAAGTACCTGGGCGCGGAGGCCTTCGGGGCGGGCGCAGGCAGTGCCTCGTCACCCTCATCCAAGGCGCTGTCCCCGACCCGCTCCAGCTCCAGCCTCAGCCTCTACAGCAGCGCCTCGGCCCCCTGCAGCCCCCTGGCCAGGAAGGTGAGAGCTGCAGAACCTCCCGGCCCCCCCTGTGCCCCCCGGCCCCTGGCGAGCGCTGCCCCTCTGTGCTCGCAGTCGGTGCAGCGCAGGACGCGCTCTGGTGACCGGTGCCCCCGCGCCCGCGGCTCCCTCCTGCCCGACGCAGCCGAGCTGCAGCTCCCCGTGGCCGAACAGAGCCTGGCTGCCGCAGCGGCAGGTGAGTCTGTGTCGCTGCGGGCCCCCGCTGCTGCCCCAGGTGCTGCTGCCCTGGGTGTTGCTGCAGGCTGTGCCCTGCCTGTGCCATGGGGCAGTGGGACCCCAGGGCAGCCGCAACGTGTGGGGCAGGCCGTGGGATTGGCAGCACCATGCAGCTCCAGTGCCTCTGTGCCCACTGCAGAGCCCCCCGAGGGGTCCCCCCCACAGCGGTGCAGCCCCTGCCGCTGACCCCCTGCACCAGCACCCTCAGCCGGCCCCACTCAGGACCCTCCTGTCTGCCGGAGGATAGCAGAGCTGCAGCCATGTGCCCACAGGTCTGACCTGCACTGCTGCTGCAGCATGTATGCAACCCCCTGCCCCACAGCACCCCCCCTGCCCCACAGCACCCCTCTGATCCACAGCACCCCCGTGCCTCACAGCAACCCCCTGGTCCAGCTGCTGCAGCCCCTGCCCCGCTGCAGCCCCGCTGATGTGCTCCAAGTGCCCACTGCAGCCGCAGCATTTGGGGCAGTGGGGCTGGGGCAGGCCAGACACCACCGTGGTGGGCTCTACCCCTTGGGGTGGCTGCCGGTGCCGTTGGTGCTGGGTTGGGGGTTCCCCGCATGCCCTCAGTGCTGGGTTAGGGGTCCCCCCAGTGCCATCAGTGCTGGGTAGGGGGTTTCCCCCATCCCGCTGCCCGCACCCCAGTGGGCCGTGGCCGGGCTCAGTGCCTTCCCTGGCGGCGCAGCCCCGGTTCTGGTGCTACCCCCCTTCCCTGTCGGTACCTGCGCTAGGGCTCCGGCTGCAGCCACCCTGATCCCAGTGGGGCAGGGGCTGCCGGGGGGGTCCTGCACCGCACTGCACCCCCCCGGCACAGGTCCCAGCCCCGCTGCCGCATGCTGCCACCACCCCCTAACCGAAGAGCAGTAGAGCTGAATGTAACCCCGGCCCGCCAGCACCAATAAACAGTAGATGGTTTTCTATGAGTGCCCAGCCAGCTGTGGGTCTGTCTGTCCATTCCTGTCCTCTTGGTCGTGGTCCAAGGGGCATCACTGGTGAGGTGTGACACCGGCAGAGGCGCCAGGCAGGCCCCGGGTGTCGCGGTGCTGGCAGCGGGCATCGTGCCGGTTACACCTCCAAACCCGGGATGCATCGCTGGAATTCCTGCGGGAGCCCACGCCCAGGAGAGGAGCTCCAACAGCTCCACGTCCCTCTGAGCTGCTGCTGCTCCAAGGGCTCCCCTTCAGGAGCCTTCTCCAGGCTGAACAAAAAGGGGGTCCATCCAAGGGCCCTTTATCTCCCACTGTCCCCTGTTAATGACCAGAGTTCTCAGGTCTGGCTGGAGGCTGCCCATGATTGAGGCTGTTTGTGCAGTCTGGCCTTTGCTGAGATCCCAATAACCTGTTTCAGAATTACAGAAGCTGCTCTCAGCTCTCCCCTTCAGGAGCCTTCTCTTCTCCAGGCTGCCCCAGCCCAGCTCTCCCAGCCTGGCTCCAGAGCAGAGCTGCTCCAGCCCTTGCAGCAGCTCCGTGGCCTCCTCTGGACTCTCCAGCAGCTCCAGGTCCCTCTTGTGCTGTTGCCCCAGAGCTGGACGCAGGATGCAGGGGGGGTCTCCCCTTCACTCAGCAGAGAGGTAGAATCCCCTCCTTGCCCTGCTGCTCGTGCTCTGGGGGTTCAGCCCAGCATGCAGGGGGTTCTGGCTACAGACCCCTCTGTGCTGCTGTGACCCCTGGGGACGACTCACGTGCAGGAGTGTTCCAACATCCTGGACTGGGCCATCAGCCCAGGTGCCTCACCCACCTCAACCTGCATCCGTGCACTATTCCCAGCTGCCCCCCAGCATAGGACCAGGCAGGAGGATGCAGCACTACAGGGGACCCCATGAATACCCTGGTGCCCTCATGGCTGTGGGTAGCCAGCACATTGGGATGGGGCAACAGCACAAGAGGGACCTGGAGCTGCTGGAGAGTCCAGAGGAGGCCACGGAGCTGCTGCGAGGGCTGGAGCAGCTCTGCTCTGGAGCCAGGCTGAGAGCTGGGCTGGGTCAGCCTGGAGAAGAGAAGGCTCCTGAAGGGGAGAGCTGAGAGCAGCTCCAGTGCCTGAAGGGGCTGCAGGGAACCTGGAGAGGGCCTTGGGACAAGGGCCTGTAGGGCCAGGCCAAGGGGAATGGCTTTAACCTGCCCGAGGGGAGACTGAGCTGAGCTCTTAGGCAGAAGCTCTTCCCTGGGAGGGTGCTGAGGCGCTGGCACAGGGTGCCCAGAGGAGCTGTGGCTGCCCCATCCCTGGCAGTGCTCAAGGCCAGGTTGGACACAGGGGCTTGGAGCACCCTGCTCCAGTGGAAGGGGTCCCTGCCCGTGGCAGGGGTTGGAGCTGGAGGAGCTTTAAGGTCTCTTCCAACCCAAACCATTCCGTGACTCCATGTTTCCATAACCCAAGCTGCAGCGCTGTGCCATGCGGTGGTGCCGTCCCTCTCCCATGGAGGGGGAGCAGGTGCTGCCCCGTTTCCCAACTGCTCCTGTGCAGCCGTGGGAACACCGGAGTGGGTTCTGCCTTGCCCTGCACTCCCGCATGGAGCCACACACCAGCCCCGGTTGCTTCATGCCATGGGGCAGAGCCCAGACATGCCGCGGGCGCCTGGTGTTGGCTCCGCTCTGCTGGGACAGCTCATGTGCAAGCACACACGTGTGCAGTGCCGTGCCTGTGCCCGTGCATGTGTGCAGGCACCAGCTCTCACCATGCAAGAGTATTTGCATGTGTGGGTGCAGGGATCTCACCATGACACCCAGCACAACCCGACACAGCCCAGCACAGTACAGCCCAGTATGCTCCAGTACAACCCAGCACAGCACACCATGGCTTGCTGCATGCCTGACCTGCCATGGCCCCGGGGCCATCTTCGTGCTTGCCAGGCGCACAGGTCAGCACTGCTGCAGCTCCACCACTGGCACCGCTCCGACGTGCTGGTGCTGAGCCTGCGGTGTTGAACTCTCCTCCCCGTTTGGATTATGGCTCCTCAGCACTGCGATGCTGCTGCCAGTGCCAGTGCTGGGCCCTGTATGCGCCGGCCCAGACACAGCCTTGGCTCCACTGGTGCTGACCCTGCCCCATGGATCTGGGGCCAGACCCATGGCTCAGGCTGCGCCAGGGTGACACCATCCGGGTGAATCTCCTGTGTCCTGCGCCTTCCTCTCCACTCATCTCCCCTACGTTCCTTTATTCTTCTCCTTGCGTCTCACCTATGTCCTTCATCTTCTTCCTCACGTCTCCCTTATTTTCTTCATCCTCCTCCCACTCAGGACCCCTCCTGGAACCATGGGTTTGGTGCTGCCCGAGCTGCTGGTACCACAGGGGCTCCTGCCCAGGTTACGTTCCCAGGGGATGTCCCTGTACATGGGATTCACCCACAGGTGCCAGGGCTGTGTGCTGACCAGAGTGCACCGCACCATGCCGTGCTATGCTGTGCCATGCCATACTGTGCCATGCCATACTGTGCCGTGCCATGCTGCGCTGTGCTGTGCTGTGCCGTGCCATGCTGTGCCGTGCCATGCTGTGCTGTGCCATGCCATACTGTGCTGTGACTTGCCATGCCGTGCTGTGCTGTGCCTTGCCATGCCGTGCTGTACCGCGCCATACTGTGCTGTGCTGTGCTGTGCCGTGCCATGCTGTGCTGTGCCATGCCATGCCATGCTGTGCTGTGCCATGCCATGCTGTGCTGTGCCTTGCCATGCCGTGCTGTACTGTGCCATACTGTGCTGTGCTGTGCCGTGCCATGCTGTGCTGTGCCATGCCATGCTATGCTGTGCTGTGCCATGCCATGCTGTGCTGTGCCTTGCCATGCCGTGCTGTACCGCGCCATACTGTGCTGTGCTGTGCTGTGCCATGCTGTGCTGTGCCGTGCCATGCCATGCTGTGCCATGCTATGCTGTGCTGTGCCGTGCCGTGCCGTGCCATGCTGTGCCATGTTGTGTGTGCCTTGCCATGCTGCCGGCTCGCCTGGCCAGCCCCATGCCTGGATACCGGCACCTGTCCAGACAACACACTCCCACGCCCGTCAACACCTCCAGGCGATGCTCATCCACATCCTTTCCTCACCACATCACCCTTGGTGCTGGTGCTCCACGTCCATCCCTTCCTAACTGCATCACCCGCGATGCTGGCGCGGTGCATCCACATCCCTTGCTCACATCACCCGCAGTGATGGTGGTGTGACCCTCCAGCACCCAATGCTCCCAATCACTATGTGCGCTGCCCATGGCACTGTTGGGACCCCCACAGCCCCCATGGCACCAAGGCTAGGGGAAGGGGATGCTCAGGTGGAGCAGGCACTGGGTGTGGGGCTGGGTGTGGGGTCTGGGCAGAGGGTGTGGGGCTGGTGACGGAGGCAGGGCCAGGGTGTTTGGATGACTCAGGTGGCAACGGGGCAGCTTGGGCATGTTTTGGGCAATTCAGGCTCCAGGGATGTGGGTGACGCTGGGGTGGGGAGCTGGGAAGGGTCCCCCCCACTGCACCGGCTGCTGTGGAGCAGGGCCAGGCCGCAGTGCTGCAGCCCCAGTTCCAGTTAAACAGACCCATGGGTGCAGTGATTCGGTGGAAACCGGCCATGCTGCAAGCTGGGGTGGGCACGGGGGAGAGGAGCCAGATGGGCCAGGGTGCAGGGGCTCTGCTTGGCTGATGGCATGCGGTAGGTGATGGGGTGATGGGAAGAAGGACAAGGTGCTTCTGGCAAGCAAGGATGATCAGGGGCTGGAGCACCTCCCATACAAAAACAAGCTGAGAATATTGGGGCTGTTCAGCCTGGAGAAGAGAAGCTGTGTGGAGACCTCTGAACAGCTTCCAGTGTCTGAAGGGGGCTACAAGGATGCAGGGGAGGGACTCTTCATCAGGGACTGTAGTGACAGGACAAGGGATGATGGGTTCAAACTGAAACAGGGGAAGTTCAGGTTGGATATAAGGAAAAACTTCTTCTGTGTGAGGGTGCTGAGGCGCTGGCGCAGGGTGCCCAGAGAAGCTGCGGCTGCCCCATCCCTGGCAGTGCTCAAGGCCAGGTTGGACACAGGGGCTTGGAGCACCCTGCTCCAGTGGAAGGGGTCCCTGCCCATAGCAGGGGTTGGAGCTGGAGGAGCTTTAAGGTCTCTTCAACCCCAAACATTCCATGGTTCTATGATTCCATCACACCAGCCCCATGGGAGTCTCCCCTTTGTCTCACCCCTTTGAGGTGGCACTGCCCAAGCACTTGGTTGCCAGGACATGGACACCTCCTGCACCAGAGCTGTTACGGGGCCAGTGAACCCCTGCCCATCGCCCTGCATCGCTCCTGTGCCCGCCATGGCCCAGCACAGGGAGGGCTGCGATGCTGCATGCAGCCGGACCCCTGCACCGGACTGGGCACCCCGGGAGTGTGGGGAGGGCCCATGTGCTGCTAGCAGGGCTGGGCTCGTGTGTCATCCCCAGGGGCGGGGAAGGGTGAGGTTTAAACGTGCTGCGGTCCCGGCAGGAAGCCGCGGCGAAGCAGCGGGACTGTGGGCACCGGCCGGGAGAACCCGTCCTGCGACCACCGCGGGCAGGTAGGAGAGGTCCTGGGTGTCACCGGCTGCGCCAGCACCGCAGCAAGACGAAGGCGGGTCCCAGGTATGTGAGGAATGTGGCGTGGCTGCGCCCGCTGCCCGCAGTGCGGTGTCGGGGCCATAGGGCAACACTGCACGGTGCTGTGGTGTGCTGGGGATGGAGGATATCAGTGCCAGAGCTCCAGCATGAGCCAGGAATGGGGAAGGGGCAGGCGTTGGGCAGCACGTGCTGGGACTGGCAGCACCATTCCCTGCTTCCCAGGGAGGTGGGTGCACAGTGCTGTGGGATTGACCCTGGGTGCAGCAGTGGTCAATAACAGGCCATCGGTGGGATGCAGGCACTGTGTCCCCTCCATGGCAGCCGTGCAGGCAGCACCGCTCAGGGCAGGGAACCCCTAAGTGCCCCATCTGCCCTCTCCATCCCTGTCACCCTCCAGGTGCTGCCCCATCTCCTGTTCCTCCCCCGCTTCACCCCATCCCACCAGAGACCAGCCCTGCCAATCCTCCCGGCTCCCACCCGGAGCTCCAACCCCTTCCCCAGCAGACGCCTCCTCCAGCACTCCCGTTCTCAAACCGTGACCTCCAGCCCACCAGTAAAGCCGGCCCCTTCTCCCAGCCCTTCCCCACGGCCCCGGCAGCCAGCGCTGCACTGCGGGTGCACACGTGCAGGCTTATCCAATGCAGCCAGAGATGCAACACTGCCCGTGGCACTGGGTCCACAAGCAAGAGCCTCCGCGGTGACTTGGAGACACTGCCCAGAGAAGCTGTGGCTGCCCCATCCCTGGCAGTGCTCAAGGCCAGGTTGGACACAGGGGCTCGGAGCACCCTGCTCCAGTGGAAGGGGTCCCTGCCCTGGCAGGGGTTGGGACTGGAGGAGCTTTAAGGAGGAGCACCCCAAACCATGCCGTGATTTATGGCCGATGACGCACGCAGGCCCCAGTGGGTGTGAAGGGGCCGGGGAAGCACTGGAGCAGCGCGGCCGGTGCCGCAGCTCGAGCCAGCGCATTCCCCGGCGCAGCCAGAGCCGAAGGCACCGAGCGGCGAGCGGCGGCGGAGGGAGAGCGGCGGCCGGGGGGGAGCTGAGCCCGCGCCAGGACCCGCCCCGCGCCGGGCAGGCGGTGACGGAAACTTTCCATGGGGCTGGCGCATGGTGAAGGCGACCGAGCCCTTCCCTGCCCCCGGCACGGAGCTCCCCGCCCGCACCGCGCTGCCCCCGGCACGGAGCTCCCCGCCCGCACCGCGCTGCCCCCGGCACGGAGCTCCCCGCCCGCACCGCGCTGCCCCCGGCACGGAGCTCCCCGCCCGCACCGCGCTGCCCCCGGCACGGAGCTCCCCGCCTCCGGGGTCCTGCTGCGGCCCCACAAAGCACGGATGGGAATGGGGCTGCCGCAGCGCCGTGGGTGGCATTGCCCACCCACCCTCTGCGCTCCGGTGCCGGTGGCTGGTTCGGGAATGGGGCACATGGGGATCTGCCCGGGGGTCTCCAGTTACTGCAGCCACACCGGTGCAGCCGCAGGGTGTGCCCATGGCACGGCTGGGGGGCCCGGCTCCTCTCGGGAACAGCACCTTCCGCGGCACCTAACCCAGCATCTTTCCAGCAGGGAAGGGCTCTGCCAGCCCCGGTGTGTGTCCTTGTGTGTGGTGCAGGCTCAGGGCTGCCAGCACTGGTGCATGCACCTCGTGTAAGGTATGCAGGGACGCCCCGCTCCCAGCCTGTGAGACAGGCCCCTTGCCCTCCCCTGCAGCAGCCCCACGCCAGGCAGAGCCCCCAGAGTCCTGGCTCTTTTCCCCTGCTCCCCACCCCGCCTGGCTCGGGAAGGCCCTTCCCAGGGGCAGCGGCAGCACCCCACGTCTCGTCCCTTCCTGTCCCACACCACATCCACACCTCGGCGTCAGCTGCAACCCTGAACCTGCCAACACAAACAGCGTTGCCTGGGCACATCCGAGCACTGACATCACTCTTGGAGAGGGTGGGTAGGGGTGGGACAGGGTGGGTAGGGGTGGGACAAGGGGGAATGGCTGTGAACTGATTGAGGGTGGATTTAATGACAGGCTGAGAGCTGGGCTGGTTCAGCCTGGAGAACAGAAGGCTCCTGAAGGGGAGATCTGAGAGCAGCTCCGGTGCCTGAAGGGGCTGCAGGGAACCTGGAGAGGGGCTTGGGACAAGGGCCTGTAGGGACAGGCCAAGGGGAATGGCTTTAACCTGCCCGAGGGGAGACTGAGCTGAGCTCTGAGGCAGAAGCTCTTCCCTGTGAGGGTGCTGAGGCGCTGGCACAGGGTGCCCAGAGAAGCTGTGGCTGCCCCATCCCTGGCAGTGCTCAGGGCCAGGTTGGACACAGAGGCTTGGAGCACCCTGCTCCAGTGGAAGGGGTCCCTGCCCTTGGCAGGGGGGTGGGAGCTGGAGGAGCTCTAAGGTTCCAGCGAAAACCAGTCTGTGATAGATGGAGCCAGTGCCTGTTGGAACCATTCCCCTGGCACCCAGCCGGGAGCACGGCTGAGACAGAGGAGCCCTTGTGAACAAAAGCTGCTGGCATGGCCCAAGGGACATAGGAGAAGCTGGAGTGAGCATAGTGCATGCACTGGGGCAATCCTGCTCAGGCTGTGTCCATGCAGCCGTGTCCAGAGGTGCCAATGGGCAGCACTGTGACTGGCTGCACAGGCTCAGCATCTCTGCAGCACTTGATGCTGTGGCTCTGTAGGGCCAGTCCAGCCCCGGCATTTCTCACCCTGTGCCAGGGCTCTGCGGTTGATGCAATATGGAGCCATCTCTGCTCCTCCACCCATCCCGCTCCCTCCTCAGCCCTGCTCCAGACTCACTGCAGGTCTGGCTGCAGCCCCAGCACTGGGCATGGACCTGCTGGCACAGGGCTGTGGGCAGTGAGGCTCCTCTCCAGCAGTGTGTGCTACAGCCACAGCCCTGGGGATGGGGCTGGAAACAGCCCCCAGGGCTCTGCACAGCCTGTACTCGGCCACAACCAGCCTCAGACCTTCCGGTGTCCACAGCCTGCCTCATGCTCCTTCGAGCGCCGTGGTTTGATTGTACAGTGGGTGTGCTGGGGTTGGTCCCAGTGCAGACAGCAGCTCTTCAGCACTGCTGCAGGCAGCCAGGTCCGGGTGTTCCGCATGGGACCTGCTGCATCCTCCCGAGTGTCCTGCTGGAGCCTTTCCAACACTTTGTTAGCCAGGCAGGAGGGCAAACACCCCCTGCAGCAAAGAGCCTCCAGGGATGCTCCCGGTACCCGGTGGCTGCAGCCCCTGCCCCTAGCCCTGCTCAACATAGGATCGTGGAAAGGTTTGGGCTGGAGTGACCTTAAAGCTCCTCCAGCTCCAACCCCTGCCATGGGCAGGGACCCCTTCCACTGGAGCAGGATGCTTCAAGCCCTGTCCAACCTGCCCTTGAGCACTGCCAGGGATGAGGTAGCCACAGCTTCTCTGGGCACCCTGTGGCAGTGTTTTACCAACCTCATTGTACATAATTTCTTCTTCACATCCAGCCTGAAACTCCCTCTTTTAGTTTAAACCCCTCACCCCTTGTCCTGTCACAGCACGCCCTGCTAAAGTCTCTCCCCATCTTTCTTATAGGCCTCTTTTAAGTACTGAAAGGCTGCTCTGTCTCCTCAGAGCCTTCTCTTCTCCAGCTGAACAAGCCCAGCTCTCTCAGCCATTCCTCACAGCAGAGGTGCTCCAGCCCTCAGATCACTTTTGTGACCCTTCTCTGGACCCTCTCCAGCAGGTCCATGTCTTTCCTGTGGCGAGGACTCCAGAGCTGGATGCAGGACTCCAGGTGGGGGGTTCAGGGACAAGGACGTGGCCCTGGGCATGTTCAGCCTGTGGCTCTCACTTCTGACTGGGAGGAATTTCTTCTTTTCCCCATGCTGTATTTAGGATGAAATCCATGGCAAAGGTGATTTCTCACTGAGATTTCCCATTCTCTCCCCTCTCTGCAGAGTTGTGACAGCTGTGGGAGCAGAGCAGCGGGAGGATGGAGAGCAAGCCTGCAGTGAACGGCCATGCTGCCCCTGGGTCTCCCCAGGAAGACACCCCAGGAGCAAACCACTGGTGCCAGGACGTGCTGGCTCACAAGGAGAGCAAAATGACGGGGATGGATGGTCCCAGCAAGGCCCCGGCAGCAGCTGGCAGCGTTGCTGGAGTGTATGTGGAAGCTTCCAAGAAGATGCTGAGTTTATATGATGCCACCAGGGAGCACCTCCTGAGTCTGGACTCGGCGCTCTGTCTTCTCGAGGCCCAGGCAGCCACGGGCTTCCTGGCTGACCCGCTGAAGAGCAGGTGGGTGTCTGTGGCAGAAGCTGTGCAGACGGGGCTGGTGGGGCTGGAGCTGAAGGACAAGCTGCTCTCTGCAGAGAAAGCTGCTACCGGCTTTGTGGACCCCTACACGGAAGAGAAGATTCCCCTGTTCCAGGCGATGCAGAAGGACCTGGTGGGGAGGGACCAAGGCACCCGCCTGCTCCAGGCCCAGATCGCGACCGGTGGCATCATTGACCCCAGCACCGGCCGCCGGCTCCCAGCAGATGTGGCCTGTGAGAGGGGATATTTAGATGAAGAGATGAGCCAGCTCCTCTCTGATCCAAGCAATGAGGATGGCAAGAGGTTCCTCAACCCCAGTACTATGGAGAGAGTCACCTACATGGAGCTTATCAAGCACTGTGTCGTTGAACCAGGCTCAGGCTTCCTCCTCTTCCCCCTGCAGACGACGTTCCCAGGGCTGGGAGGGCGGGTGAGCAGCAGGGACCTGCTGGACTCAGGCATCATCAGCTCCGACATGTTCAGAGGTCTCGAGGAGGGAAGAGTCTCTGCTCAGGAGGTTGCAGAGAGTGACTCAGTTCAGCGGTTCCTGTGTGGGACAAGGACTGTGGCGGGCGTTGTCTTGCCTTCCGGTGAGCAGAAAAGCCTTTACCAGGCCCTGAGGGAGCATCTCCTCATGCCTGGCACTGCCCTGATGCTCCTGCAAGTCCAGGCCTCCACCGGCAGCCTGACAGACCCCATCAAGAACAAAAGCTACTCGGTTGATGAGGCTGTTAGAGTTGGTCTCATTGGCCCAGAGCTTCATGAGAAACTGTCTTCAGCTGAGAAGAGCATCACAGGGTACAGGGACCCCTGCACTGGAGAAATGCTCTCTCTGTTCCAAGCCATCAGGAAGGGCTTTGTCCCCAGGGATCATGGCTTCTGCCTTCTGGAGGCTCAGATAGCCACTGGTGGGATAATTGCTCCAGGAAAACACCTCCGTGTCCCCACGGAGACAGCCTGCAAGTGGGGGTACCTGGACGAGGCCACGAGACAGCTCCTCTCCACTCCTACCAGTGACATGAAAGGGTTCTTGGACCCTAGCTCCAAGGAGAAGTTGACCTACACAGACCTGCTCAAGCGCTGTGTGACTGATCCCAGCACTGGGCTCCTGCTGCTGCCCCTTGGAGGAGACAGCGGAGAGGGACTCAAGGGAACCCACCTCTTCTTTGACCACAAGACCCAGAAAGCTCTGGAAAACACACGGGTACCTGTTGCTTTGGGCAAATTCAAGGGAAAGTCCATGTCTCTCTGGAAACTTCTCTTCTCAGACTACATCCAGAGCGAACAAAGAGCTGCTCTATCCCAGCAGTACCTTGCAAGAACACTCTCCGTGCAAGAGCTGAGTAAGGCAGTCAGTGCCACCATCGAGGAGATGACTTCCCCTGCTAACGTCACCTTTGAAGGACTGAGGGACCGGGTGACAGCTGACCAGCTCCTGAGCTCTGAAATCATCAACAAAGATTTGTTTAAGAAACTGAAGGAGGGAGAAACATCGGCCAAAGAAGTTGTCAGCATGGACACGGTCAAGAAGTACCTGCAAGGGACAGGTAGCATTGGTGGACTGCTGCTTCCTGACTCCCAGGAGAAGATCAGCATCTACCAGGCAAAGCGGAAGGGACTTCTAAGGCCAGGAACGTCCCTGATCCTCCTGGAGGCCCAGGCTGCCACTGGGTTTATCATTGATCCAGCTGCCAACACAAGGTATTCTGTGGATGAGGCCTTGCGAGCAAGTGTCATTGGTCCTGATGTCTACGACAAGCTTCTGGCTGCAGAGAAATCGGTCACTGGCTACAGAGATCCTTACTCAGGGAACACCATCTCCCTCTTCCAGGCCATGCAGAAGGAGCTCATCGTTAGGGAGCATGGCATCCGCCTGCTCGAGGCCCAGATCGCCACCGGTGGCATCATCGATCCCGTCAACAGCCACCGCATCCCCGTGGAGGTGGCCTACAAGCGTGGGTACTTTGACAAGAAGATGAACTTGATCCTCTCGGACCCCAGTGATGACACCAAGGGCTTCTTCGACCCCAACACCCACGAGAACCTCACCTACCTGCAGCTGAAGGAGAAGTGCATCACGGAGCCATCCACTGGGCTCTGCCTCCTGCCCCTGAACAGCAGAAAGCGCCAGTTCGTGGATGAAGCCACCAGACAGGTGTTCAAGAGCTCCTGGCTGCCGGTCAGGTTTGGGCGGTTGCGGGGAGAGAAGGTCTCCGTGTGGGACCTGCTGAACTCCGAGTACTTCAGCGAGGGCAAGCGCCGGGAGATATTCAACCACTACCAGCTGCGGAAGCTCACCCTGGAGCAAATCCGAGCCATGCTGGAGGAGGAAATGAAAAGATGGGCACCCATCAAGTTCCCAGCCATGAGGGGCAGCGTCAGCGCCTACCACCTGATGGAGACCGGGGTCATTGACAGGGCCCTGTTTGAGAGGGTGCTGGAGGGAGCTGTCACGCCAGAGGAAGTCCTGCACATGGACTCTGTCAGAAAGTACCTCTACGGCTCTGGCAGCATCGGGGGGATTGTTCTCCAGCCATCAAATCAGAGGATAAGCATTTATGAGGCCATGAAGCAAAACATCATGCTACCTGGAATGGCCCTCCCATTGCTGGAGGCCCAGGCTGCCACAGGCTTCATCATCGACCCAATCAACAACCAGAAGCTCTGTGTGGACGATGCCGTCAAAAAGGGAGTCATTGGACCAGAAGTCCATGAGAAGCTTCAGCATGCAGAAGGGGCTGTCACAGGCTATAAAGATCCTTTCACAGGCAAGAAGATACCCCTCTTCCAGGCAATGAAGAAGGGCCTGATCGCGGACAAACAGGCCATGCAGTTAATGGAGGTGCAGATGGCTACAGGAGGCATCATTGACCCAACTTGTGGCCACTATATCCCCATAGACTCTGCCCAGAAGCGAGGGTGCCTGGATGAGGACACGAGCAAGGCCCTTTCTAAGCTCAGTGATGACAACAGAGCCTTCTGTGTCCCAGACAGCAAAGAGACTGTGAGCTATGCAGATCTGATCAAGCACTGCCAGAAGGACGAGGTCTCCGGCTTCCACTTGTTGCCTCTGGCACAGGCGGCTGCTCCTGCCCACAGTGATGAAGAAATCCAGCGGATCTTTGAGGAAACTGTGGTGAAGGAGAGAGGGGTCTCCCTGTGGGAACTAATCCACTCTGGGTATTTCACTGAGGAGCAGAGGAGGAGGGACTTCGTGGAGAGGTTCCGGTCTGAGGAAGTGTCACTGCAGGAGCTGGTTGCTCTTGTGCTCAGGTTGGTTGGGGAGATGGAGATGAAAGCCCGCACCCAGATCACCTTGGAGGGCCTGCGGGGCAGTGTCCCTGCGGTGTGGCTGCTGGATGCTGGCATCATTACGAAGAAGACATTTGAAGAACTAGCCCAGGGCATACGAACTCCTGAGGAGGTGGCTGCGATGGAGAGCGTGAAGAGGTACTTGTGGGGCACAGGCAGCATTGCTGGGGTATTCATAGAGGCATCCAAAAAGAAGATGAGCTTTTACGATGCCATGAAGAACCATCTCCTCCTCCCTGGGGCTGCTCTGAGGCTGCTGGAAGCTCAGGCAGCCACAGGGTACCTGAGTGACCCAGCAACAAACCAGAGACTCAGCGTGAGGGATGCAGTGAGAGCTGCTGTAGTGGGTGAAGAGCTCACTGAGAAGCTCCTCCTCGCTGAGCGGGCAGTGACCGGCTACACAGACCCCTACACCGGGAACTCCATCTCCCTGTGCCAAGCTCTTAGGAAGGAGCTGATTCCTCTGGGAGAGGCTGTTCCCTTGGTGGAGGCTCAGCTGGCCACCGGAGGGGTCATTGATCCCATTCACCACCTCCACCTTCCACTCCAGGCCGCATACAGGTACGGCTTCTACGACGAGGACCTCAACCAAACCCTGTCCCAGCTTGATGACAGAACCAAAATCTTCCTTGATCCAAACACGAAGGAGAACGTGACCTACCAGCAGCTGAAGGACAGATGCTTTCAGGAGCCCGAGTCAGGTCTCTGGCTCCTTCCCCTGTCCGAAAACGCGATGTTCTGTGTGGATGAACAGACCATGGAGGTGCTGAAATCTGTGACTGTCTGTGTCAACATAGGGCGCTTCAAAGGGCAGACAGTGTCAGTCTGGGACCTTCTCAACTCTGAATACCTCTCAGACAGCAGGAGAAGAGAGCTGGTGCAAAGGTACAAAACCGAGAACACTGAAGTGCTGCATGAAATCATAGCAATTGTCACCACAATCATCAAAGAGACAGAGACACAAGGAAAGAAGTTTGCTTTCGAGGGCCTGCGGAAAAGAGTTTCTGCCAGTGACCTCTTCCAATCCCAACTGATAGACAAGAAAACCCTCGATGAGCTCAACCAGGGGAAGAAAACAGTCAAAGAAGTCACTGAAATGGACTCTGTCCGCAGGTACCTGGAGGGCAGCAATTTCATAGCAGGGGTGCTCATACAGCCAAGCAATGTGAAGATGAGCATCTACCAGGCCATGAGGAAGGGCATCCTGAGGCCAGGGACAGCGCTGGTGCTGCTGGAGGCACAGGCTGCCACTGGCTACATCATTGACCCAGAGAAGAACCAGAAGTTCTCAGTGGAGGAAGCATTAGCTGCAGGTCTAATTGGAGGGGAGGTTTTTGAAAAGCTGCTCTGTGCAGAGCGGGCCGTGACGGGCTACACCGATCCCTACACAAAAGCCCCAATGTCCCTGTTTGAAGCCATGAACCAAGGACTGATCGTGAAGAGCCATGGCATCCGCCTGCTCGAGGCCCAGATCGCCACCGGTGGCATCATCGACCCTGTGCACAGCCACCGCATCCCAGTCGAGGTGGCCTACCGGCGCGGGTACTTCAACCAGGAGATGAACCAGATCCTCTCGGACCCCGGCGATGACACCAAGGGCTTCTTCGACCCCAACACCCACGAGAACCTCACCTACATGCAGCTCCTGGAGAGATGTGTCCAGGATTCAGAGACTGGGCTGTACATGCTGCAGGTTGTACAGGAGGGAGGAAGGTACTTCTACATTGATGAGTTTACAAAGCAGGATTTGCGCTCAAAGCCTCTTAACATCAAAGTTGGAAAGTTTAAGGACCAGACAGTTTCCATCTGGGAAATTCTCTGCTCTCATTACATCTCTGAGCTGAAAAGGAAAGAACTGGTGATGCAGTACAAGTGCAAAACCCTAACACTGGAAGGCCTTACAGCCCTCCTCTTCAGAATCATTGAGGACACAGAGCAAAGAGCAGAAGCCCTCAAGGTGAAAGGACTCCGGGGGGATGTGTCGATATCAGAATTGTTTAACTCTGAGATCATTGACAAGAAAACTCTAGAGCAGCTCCAGGATGGAAGTCTCACGCTTGCCAGCCTCACCAAGAGGGACACCATCAAGAGGTACTTAGAGGGCACTGGATGCATTGCCGGGGTTCTACTCCCATCAAGGAAAGAGAAGATGAGCATCTACCAGGCCCTAAAGAAGGGCCTTCTCACAGAGCAGTGTGCTCTGGGGCTGCTAGAGGCACAGGCTGCCACTGGGTTCCTCATTGACCCACTGAAAAATAAGAAGCTCTCTGTGGACGAGGCCATCTCGTCGGGACTCGTGGGGAGCAACTTCCACAGGCAGCTCCTGTCTGCAGAGAAAGCCGTGACGGGATACACAGATCCTCAAACAGGAAAGAAAATGTCCCTCTTTCAGGCCATAAAGCAGAAGATAACAGTCAAGGAGCACAGCACCCGCCTGCTTGAGGCCCAGATTGCCACCGGCGGCATCATCGATCCCGTGCACAGCCACCACCTGCCCTTGGAGGTGGCCTACCAGCGCGGACACTTGGATGATGACATGTTCCTCATGCTGTCTGATCCTGACCATGGCAGCAAAGGTTTTATAGATCCAAACACTCATGAGAAGATCAGTTACAGTCAGCTCCTGCAGAGATGTTCCAAAGACAGAGAAACTGGCTGGTACCTGCTTCAGGTCATGGAGAAGGATGATGACTATTTCTACATTGATGAGCAAACAAAAACAGCCCTGTTGTCTACAAAGGTGCAAGTGCCTGTTGGAAAATACAAAGGACAGGTATTATCACTGTGGGAACTTCTCTGCTCTGAGTACATCACAGAGGAGAAGAGAAAAGAGCTGGTAAAAAAATACAAAGAGGAATCACATCACATTATCCAAGGAATCATTGAAACAATACTAAACATCATTAAAGAAAAAGAAGAAGGCAGAAGTGATGTATGGTTCCAAGGACTCAGACAGCAGATAACAGCAACAGAACTTCTCAGTGCACAGATAATTACAGAAGAAACGATGGAAAATCTCCACAAAGGAAGAGAGACGGCAGAAGAAATATCTCAGATGGACAGTGTGAGAAAATACCTCGAAGGCACTGGAAGCATTGCTGGCATCCTGGTGCCCTCCAAAGCTGAGCCCGGCAAACTGGAGAAGATGAGCATCTACCAGGCCATGTGGAAAGGCATCCTGAGGCAGGGCACTGCCCTGGTGCTGCTGGAGGCGCAGGCTGCCACCGGCTTCATCATTGACCCAGTCACTAACAAGAAGCTCTCTGTGGATGAAGCTGTCTCCTCGGGACTGGTGGGCAGCGAGCTCCAGAAGAAACTTCTCTCTGCAGAGAGATCTGTGACGGGGTACACCGACCCCTGCACAGGACAAAAGATCTCCCTCTTCCAGGCCATGCAGAAGGAGCTCATCGTCAAGGAGCACGGCATCCGCCTGCTCGAGGCCCAGATCGCCACGGGCGGCATCGTCGACCCCGTGCACAGCCACCGCCTGCCCGTGGAGGTGGCCTACCAGCGCGGCTACTTCGACCAGGACATGAACCAGATCCTCTCGGACCCCAGCGACGACACCAAGGGCTTCTTCGACCCCAACACCCACGAGAACCTCACCTACATGCAGCTCCTGCGCCGCTGCGTGCCCGACCCGGACACGGGGCTGCTGATGCTGCAGCTGATGGACAAGGGCTCCGTGCTCCACCAGCTGAGCGAGGAGGCCCGCCAAGCCCTGCAGGCCGCCCGCACCACGCTCAGCGTGGGGCTCTTCCAGGGCCAGAGCGTCAGCCTCTGGGAGCTCCTCTTCTCCCGCTACGTGCCCGAGCACCGGCGCCAGGACCTGCTGCGCCGCTACAAGGCGGGGACTGTCACCATCTCGGAGATGAGCGCCCTCCTCACCACCATCATCACTGAGGCTGAGCAGCGGGCGGCCCCGGCGCCGGTTCGCGCCCAGAACGGCGAGCCCGTGAGCTCCCGGCACGAGTGGGAGCAGGAGCGTGAGCGTGAGCAGGAGCTGGAGCGGTCCCTGCAGTCCCGCACCATCGAGGTCCCGGCCAGCAGCTTCCGCGGCAGGAAGGTGTCCCTGTGGGAGCTCCTCTTCTCCAGGTACGTGAGCGAGGCCAAGAGGCAGGAGCTGCTGGGGCTGCTGCGGGCCGGGAGCCTGGCGCTGGACGAGCTGGCAGCGCTGCTGACGGCCCTGGTGCAGGAGGCGGTGGAGCGCAGCAGCGCGGTGAAGTTCACGGGCCTCAGGAGGCAGGTGACCGCCTCGGACCTGGCGGACTCGGGCATCATCGACAAGGACACGCTGGCCGACCTGGTACAGGGCTCCAAGACGGTGGCGGAGGTGATGGAAATGGCCTCCGTCAAGCGCTACCTGGACGGCACGGGCTGCATCGCCGGCGTGCTGGTTCCCTGCAAGGGCGAGCCCGGCAAGCTGGAGAAGATGAGCATCTACCAGGCCATGTGGAAGGGCATCCTGAGGCAGGGCACGGCCCTGGTGCTGCTGGAGGCGCAGGCCGCCACCGGCTTCCTGGTGGACCCGCTGGCCAACAGGAAGCTCTCGGTGGACGAGGCTGTCTCCTCGGGGCTGGTGGGCAGCGAGCTGCACGAGAAGCTGCTGTCGGCCGAGCGCGCCGTGACGGGCTACACCGACCCCTACACCGGGGAGCAGATCTCCCTCTTCCAGGCCATGCAGAAGGAGCTCATCGTCAAGGAGCACGGCATCCGCCTGCTCGAGGCCCAGATCGCCACGGGCGGCATCGTCGACCCCGTGCACAGCCACCGCCTGCCCGTGGAGGTGGCCTACCAGCGCGGCTACTTCGACCAGGACATGAACCAGATCCTCTCGGACCCCAGCGACGACACCAAGGGCTTCTTCGACCCCAACACCCACGAGAACCTCACCTACATGCAGCTCCTGCGCCGCTGCGTGCCCGACCCGGACACGGGGCTTTATTTTCTCAGTATTTCTAAATTGTAAATGTCAAACCTTTTTCATTTTTGCACTGTTTCAGTGCTGATCTGTGGTTTCATGTTTATGTTTTGCTTTTCCTATTTTTCTTTCTTGTTTATACCCTGTTTTATAAACTTCTATTTCCATTTAAAGCGTTTCATTATTGTTTTCTTTTGTTTTCAATACCCAGTCAGGCAGAGCTTTTATATTTCTCCCCTAAGCCCTGTGGTACCATGTGTTAAGCCTTTGCCTTCCTCAGTCTTTGAGGAATACAGGGATCAGCTTGGGTTATCGCAGGTCACTTTGATGACATATGGTGTCCTCATTTCCCTCATCCGTTGTGTCTTCTGTGCTGTGCGAGCTGTAGTGTGAATTTGGGGTTTATTCTCCTTTTATTCTCTTTTTTTTATGCATGAAGAACATTCTTCCTAGCATATTTGCAGGGCTTTATTGGTGTTGGAGGTTTCCAAGCTTGGATGTTGCCCGGAGATCAGGTTTCCATGCAGGCACTTTCCAGGCTGGTGTTAGGTGCTACTGGGATGGGATACATTACCTTTGCTTACTCTTAATCTCTCACCCTGTATGGTTTTCCTGGGGTGTCTGGTCTATAAGCACCCTCACCTCAGAGCAGTGTGGTCTTTCAGTGGTATGTACCCTCAGTTCACTCACAGGCTGTGCTTTCTCTCCTCTCCTCTCCTCCATTGAGCCTCTCCAGAGCTCTGCTCCAGCCTCTAGGCTGTTGTGCCACGTTACTTCTTCTGAACTGACCTGGTCCATGTGCTGCACTCCAGCAGTGGAGGCAGCCCCAGAACCACTCTGCCGTGGAGGTCAGGGCTGAATAATTCTACTACTGTTATTAGAAGGAAGCTTACTCCCCTTAAATGCATGACCCTGGGTCATTTGCCTCAATTAATCAAGTAATGTCCTGGAAAATGGGCTTTTCTAGCACAGCTTGTGCAGCTGATAGCTGGAAACAGGAGTAGCTGTGAAACTCCTGCCATAACTGGCTGCGTAGCCTGGAGGTTTGCCCAGGCTTGCAAAGGGATGGGAGAAATTAACAGGAGAGAAGTCACAGAATCCCAGCCTGGTTTGGGTTGGAAGGGACCTTAAAGCTCCTGCAGCTCCAGCCCCTGCCAGGACAGGGACCCTTCCCCTGGAGCAGGGTGCTCCAAGCCCCTGTGTCCAACCTGACCTTGAGCACTGCCAGGGATGGGGCAGCCACAGCTTCTCTGGGAACCCTGTGCCAGCGCCTCAGCACCCTCACGGGGAAGAGCTTCTGCCTAAGAGCTCAGCTCAGCCTCCCCTCAGGCAGGTTAAAGCCATTCCCCTTGGCCTGTCCCTGCAGGCTCTTGTCCAAAGCCCTCTCCAGTTTCCCTGGAGTCCCTTTTCCTGGAGCCCCTTTAGGCACTGGAGCTGCTCTAAGGTCTCTCCTTCAGGAGCCTTCTCTTCTCCAGGCTCAGTTATCACAGATCACCTGATGCGTGCTCAGCAGCGGTCAGAATAAACCAGAGGTTAGGATTAGGGAGGGAACATGCCCACATGGGGGCAAAACACACAGAAGCTGTGTCTGTCCAAAGGCACCACATAACACCCAGAGATGAGACCGAGCTCCTTCATGGGGCTGTGAGAGGGTCTCAGCAGTGGCCCAGAACTGGTGGTCCGTGGGGAGGGCTTTGGTGTTGCAAGGCAGTAGAAGGAGGATACCCACTTCTTTGAGGTATTTGGTCAAAATGCCACCAAACCCAACCCAGGAGTAAACCTGATTGACAAATGCCTCGGTGATGGGAACCAACCTGGCCAGTCACACCGGTCAGTCAGGATAATTGGAGTGAGGAGATGCTTATTTCTTCTGTTAAGTTGTTAAGGGGATGGAAGAAGCAAACACAGATAAAACCCTAGCAATTAGTGTTAATGAAGATGATAGCCAGAAACAAGCCTGGCACTAATTGATGGGCTGTCAAGAAACCACAGGCTTACCAGGGCTTTCCAGCTGCAACGGATGGAACCATGAGGGTCCCCACAGAGTGTCTGGGGGGAGATCAGCTCTCTGGATTTGGGGAGGGTCCCACAGTCCATGTCCCAAAAAAACATCTTCTGGGGGGTCTGATGCAAGTGAGGGGCTCCACGCCAGGGCCTGGAGCGGGACCATGTGTCACAGCCCATGTGGCTGGTGGGGTGGTGGCATCTTCTCCAGTCCTGGGTGTGAGTAGGAGACCCATGTGTGAGGATGTGGGCAGGGGTGCAGGCAGGCGGGGGGGCTGTGCTGGTACTCAGAGGAGATGAGCTTTAAGGTCCCTTCCCTCTGAAACCAGCCTGCAATCCTGACTCTCATGGCCCCCAGGAGAGCAGGGAGCTGTACCCATGCCATCAGAGCAGAACCCCCCTCCCTGTCTTCATAAACACAAAACCTTCTCGTGTTCCCAGGAGCTGCTGCGGGAAACCTCCAGGAAGCTGCGAAACCAAAGGACAAGCCAGTTCCCTGGCCAGGGCGGCAGAACAGTTGGAGCCATGGTAGACCCCCCGCACTCTGGCTTATCTTCCACCCCACCCCGGGCCAGTGACCTGAAGCACCAGTACAAGTCCTGCCCATCCCTGTTTCCCTGGAATCACATGTCAGGGTAGAGAATGTTTGAGAGCTTCTTCCCACGGTGATCCGGGTTGCACAATCACGCCTCTCCAAGGCAGAATAAAGTGGATTTTTGTCTTTATGTTTGCCCACCGCTGCCTGCCCCTGCCCATCCCTGCCTCCTGGCCTTGCCTGGCTCCTTGCTCTTTCTGGGAGGGGATGGATTTGTTATTCTTGCCCTCAACGGCATCGCTCAGCTGGCTGGGAGCAGGAGGTGCCCATGGGAAACTCCCAGCTCCCGAGTCAGCTCCGCGCCTGCCAGGAGCACCCACACGCTGCTGCACGGTGGCTCCATGCCTGGGACATGCTGCCACTGGGAGTCCCGCTGTGGTAGCTCCACACAGCAGGGTGCACTGGGCAGCGGGGAACCTGCTGCTGGTGATTTCCTGGCCCAGGCAGCCAAGGTGGCAGCCACATCCTGGCTGTATCAGCACCAGTGCAGCAGCAGGGCCAGGGCAGGGATTGAGCCCCTGCACTGGGCACCGGGGAGGCCGCACCTCGGATCCTGTGCTCAGTTCCGGGCCCCTCACTGCAAGAGAGACCTTGAGGGGCTGGAGTGGGGCCGGAGAAGGGAATGGAGCTGGAGCAGGGCCTGGAGCACAGGGGTGATGGGGAAGGGCTGAGGGACCTGGGGGGTTCAGATGGGGAAGGGAAGGCTCAGGGGGGACCTGATGGCTCCCTCCAAGTGCCTGCCAGGAGGATGGAGCCAGGAGGGGCTGGGCTCTGCTCCCAAGGAACAAGGGATGGGACCAGAGGAACCGGCCTCAAGCTGCCCCAGGGCAGGGTTAGATGGAGCTGAGGAACAATTCCTGCCCCAGAGGGTGCTCAGGCATTGGAACAGGCTGCCCGGGGCAGGGCTGCAGTCACCGTCCCTGCAAGTGTTCACACCCCGTGGAGACGAGGCCTCAGTGCCATGGGGCAGTGGTGGCCTTGGCAGGGCTGGGGAGCAGTTGGGCTGAATGAGCTTAAAGGGCTTTCCCGACCCAGCTGATTCTATGACTCCACATTGTCCCTGCTGTGTGCAGGGTGTGCCCACACAGCAGTGTCCTCATAGCACTGCCCAAGCACGGGCTGCTGTCTCCACGCCATACATGAGGCTGTTTCCTGCTCTGTGCGATCCCAGCTCCTCCAGCCCCTGCAGCCCCTGCAGCTCCTGTCCCCCTGCTCAGCCCCGGGGCTGCAGGGGCCATGTCACCATCGAGAAGGTTCCCACAACAACATCCCTGAATGCGCCAGTGCTGCGGCACCCTTGTAAATCCACCTCCCATCTCTCTGGTGTGGTTCAGGGCTGCCTCAGCCAAGGACACCCCCAGCTCCCGCAGGGGAGGTCGAGGCGCTGCCCGGGCTGTAGATCCCAAAGCTCCCGTGTCTCGGTTCCAGGATTCCAGGGAAGCTGCAGGACCAGCTGGTGAGTCACGGAGCACAGGGAGGATGGGGACCTGTATGGGTCTGCACCACGGCTTTGTTCTCCGCAGGGCTGCAGTGAGGAGCACTCAGAGGTGGAGGCAGCACAAACACGTGCAAACAAATGTGCACTCACATTTTAATTTACTTCTTAATTAAAGATGTACCCTTTTAATACCCAAGTGCTTTGAGGGCCGATGGGTATGGCCACTGCCTGGCTGCAGCAGGGTTCCCAGCAATGCCCCGTGCAGTTCCACATGTAGGGGTCCTGAAATGCAGCACCACATAGACTTGTGGACTGGTTTGGGTTGGAAAAGACCTTAAAGCACATCCAGTTCCACCCCCTGCCATCTGTCACATCCCAGAAACAGGCAGGGAGGGAGGGAGGGAGGTGCAGGATTAACTACTCACTCCTCACTGGGGAAGATGGAGCCTTGTTCTCTAAAGAGGGGACAATCAGGAGTGGGGTCGAGGTGAGGCACCAGCATTTCCATGTAGTTCTACTCTGTTGAAGCCATCTGGTGCATGTGGGGCCGGTGGGGCAGCTCAGAGCCCTGCACGCTAAGGAGGAGGTGAGGTTTCAGGGCTGATTCACAGCAGGAGATGTTTGTGTGCAGCTTGGGTCACCCCATCTGCAGGCAGCCAAGGCAGAGAAGGTCCCGGTGACTGGTGTTTGCTTTATGTACACATCCTGCAAAAGAGATGTGCATGTGGTCAGAGGAGTCCTGCTCGGGGCTGTGGGAGCATCCTGGTGTGCTCCCCGTGGCTCTAACGGGACCTGGGCTCCAGCTCAGGACGAGACGTCCACTGTTGGAGATAATCCAGAGCCTTGGTTTGACAAATGCACCATAATGCACCTTTGAGGGCAGCCACCAGCACTTCAGAGGGGTCTGAACGAGCTGGGCCAGCTCCAGTGGCAGCAGCAGGGCTCAGAGAAGCGTCCCCGTGTGAGGAGCCTGTGGGCCCACACAGAGCAACACCTCGTGGATGCACATCCAGGCAGCTCAGCGATGCCTTTGGGTGCTCAGAGGCACGGGACCCTCCTGCCTGGCCCAGGCACCCTCTGCACCCCTGCATGGGCACAGCCAGAACGAAGCTCCTGCTGGAGCCCAGCTGGGAGAGCTGAACATAGAGGGAAGAGCAATGAGCGGAGCTGTGATTGTGCTGCAACCAGGAAGTGCCTCATAGCGCAGGCTGCAGAGAGCTGTCAGGCCAGGGAGAGCTACAGGGGACTCGGGACAGCAGAAGTGGGTCCTGTGACCACCTTACCCTGTGAGCAGGGACCTCCTGCCTGGGTGTGCTCCCCAAACCCGCCTGGGTGAGTCAGAGGGAAAACCTCTGTGTGCGGATCATCCAGTCTGGCAGCACCTACGCAGGCAGGAATGTGCACCCAAAGCAGGACATGGGCAAGGAAGGGCAGGGGCAGCAGCTCCTGTGCACAAGGACACTGTCACACACACCCACATGGGCCGGGGACACAGCACACGCACAGCACATGCACATGCTCACCCCAACACAGGCACAGCCTGTCCCTTGCACACACGCCGTCACGCGTGCACAGTGTTGTGCACACACAGAGTCACCCACAGGCAGAGGCAGGGACATGCGTGCACTTGACAGGAGCACACACATGGTCATGAACACACGTGGCCATGGACATGGTTGACAGCCAAGCGCACACATTGCTGTATGAGTGCTGACACACCAGAACATCCCAGCCCAGTCCTGTTATGGAAGTAGGCACAAGAACAAGGGCGCTGTTCACTGGAGCTCTGCCTGCAGTCTGATGGGCTGTGGCACATGCCACATGAACACAGATCTAAACATGAGGTTTGAAAATCAGCCCAAAGCTGCCAGAGCAGAGCCTGCCTCTGCTAGCAGCACAAGTGATACAATCCTGGAAATATAGAACAGTTTGTTGGAAGGGACCTTAAAGCTCCTCCAGCTCCAACCCCTGCCAGGGGCAGGGACCCCTTCCACTAGAGCAGCTTGCTGCAAGCCCCTGTGTCCAACCTGGCCTTGAGCACTGCCAGGGATGGGGCAGCCACAGCTTCTCTGGGCACCCTGTACCAGCACCTCAGCACCCTCACAGGGAAGAGCTTCTTCACAGGGTCTCACCTCTCCAGCCTGCCCAGGTCTCTCTGGATCCCATCTCTCCCCTCCAGTCCTCAGCAGGGATTTGGTCACCTTGTGCCCAAAGCTTCTGTGCAGACGCAGGTTGCAGCATGGGGCTCGTCAGAAGCATAAAAGGTTTCCATCCTGGGGCTGCTTCATCCAGCAGCACTGACCACCCACTCCACACACCATGAACACAGCCACCACAGCCCTGGTATCTTCATGGTCATGAGCATAGCCAGAGCGAGCAACAGGATCAGTCTCTGTCCTGGCTGCAGAGCAGGGATAGCTGCAGGGCCATGGCTGCAGCTCCTCGCCCCAACGAAGGAACTTGGCTGCAGTTACTTAGTCTGGAGAAGAGAAGGCTCAGGGGGGACCTGATGGCTCCCTACAAGTGCCTGAGAGGAGGATGGAGCCAGGAGGGGCTGGGCTCTGCTCCCAAGGAACAAGGGATGGGACAAGAGGAACCGGCCTCAAGCTGCCCCAGGGCAGGTTTAGATGGAGCTGAGGAACAATTCCTGCCCCAGAGGGTGCTCAGGCATTGGAACAGGCTGCCCGGGGCAGGGCTGCAGGCACCATCCCTGCAAGTGTTCACACAGCGTGGAGACAAGGCCTCAGTGCCATGGGGCAGTGGTGGCCTTGGCAGTGCTGGTGTAAAGGCTGGACTTGATGATCTTGAAGGTCTTTTACACCCCAGTTGATTCCTTGATTCTAGAAGGGCAGACGGAACAAGCCAGGTCCATGGAGGGCTCCGTGGCAGCCGAACCACAGGCAGGGTGCTCCACAAGCAGTTGTGCTGAGCAGCTGCCAGAAGAAGGTGATGGCAGAGTCCAGGAGCTCACCATGCGCCTGCTCTCTCCACAGCCATCTCTGTTCCAGGCTCCAGTAAGGATCATGCCCCATGTCTCCAGGGCCGGTCGCTGCCCCCCAGCCCCAGTCCCTACCACCCGAGCCAGGCTCCTGGGGCTGCTGTGGCACTGTCCTGCCAGATGTCTGACTGTCACTTGTGCTTCTGCACTTCAGCACAGGGCAGGGTCACCTTGTCATCTCCATGGGCGGGGAAGGGAAGGATTTAAATTGGGCTCTTGCCTGGGCTGCTCATCCTGGCTGAGCGGCAACAGCAGGAGGAGGAAGAAGAGGAGGAGGAGGAGGAGGAGTACCAGAGCCTGCTGGGGATTCAGCTGCCCTGGATACATGTCCAGCAGGTAGGACAGAGCCTGAAGCGGGCACCAGGGCCACCCCAGAGCCCCACTTTGGCATGGCACCCTGCCTGCAGGTATCAGGGGTCTGTAGGGAATGCAGGGACCTTGCATCCACCCCAAAACCCAATGTTCAGAGGGCAGCTCAGCAGTGGTCTGGCGAGCATGAGGTCTCCAGGCAGGACTTTGCAAGAAGGGGCAGAGTGTCAGAGTGGCACCGGGGCTGGATGGAGCTGTGTCCTCATCACTTCTGAGCAGACGGGACACTGGGATGTGGGAGGGAAGCAGCCAGAGTTGAGGGACCTGCCCAAGCCCGCAGGCTCCTGAGACAGAAAATGCCGGCCTGTGGTGGGTCTGGGCTGGAGCCGAGCACTGAGACAGGGGGACAGCACCAGTTCCCCCCCAGCATGCAGCGGGGCTGGGGACTACGGCTTGGCTGGTAGCCCTGCTCCCTCCAGCCGGAAAAATGCTTCCATTAGGGCTGGGCTGCTGTGACAGCATGAAAGGACAACCAGGTCCTGCCCCAGGAGCTGCAGCCAAGCCCCAGCACCAGGAGGTCTGATTAGAGACCAGCTAATGACAGCTCGCAGTTGGGCAATGTCTTTGCTCTATAGGGTGTTTACACGACATCCATGTCCTACATAGGTGTTGCCTGCTCCGGGGTGTGACACAGCACTCAGCTCGTCCCGTCCCACTGCCACCGGCCCATCACCTCCTGAAGGGCTCAGCTGCATCTGGGGGGGCAGGCAGGGATGGGAAGAAGAGCTGCTCCCTTGGGCTGGTGGAGCAGAGCCGCTGGCTATAGAGAGCCTGAAGTCATGGTCATGGTCTCCAAAGAGGCTGGGGCTTGTCTGTAGCTGCTGGGATGAGCCTCTGCCCATCGTGAGCAACCAGCATCAATCCAATATTTAAATGGCTCAGAAGCACTGACTCAGAGACTTTCAGACCAGTCAGGTGAAGAGGCAGAGCTAAAGCTGTGACCCTCATAATGAGCTGAATGTGTCATTACTGTCACTCACTGCAGGTTATGGGAGATGGGTGTTCCCAAGGGAATGGTTTGGGTTTCGATTTGGCTGTTTTCACAAGGCGCTGGCCTCATCACCCTGCAATGCTGTAGATGCTGAAAGTTTACATGCTCCAAAGAGACTGACAGCATGTGAGACATCCCTCAAGGAGGACACATGTCCAGGTCCAGCTCAGTGGAATCCCCTGACCTGAAAACAGTCAAAAGTTGACTTAGAAACTGGGGAAATATCTCACATGTTGCCTCCCCTCTTCATCCTTCCACTGTCTGCTTATGGCTCAGGGTGGAAAGAAGACTGTCTCCACAGACCTTTGCCTGACTCGGGGTGGCTCCTCCGGTGGCTGCTCCAGAGCACAGTTGTTTCCCCCTGGAACATCTCAGACAGGCAACTGGGGCAGTGGTTGAGGGATGCTGCATTTCCATGGGTGAGGGTGCCCACAGGATTTACCACTGCTGGTCACACTCATGCAAAGCCCATGCCTGGATGGGAGAGAGCACTCAAAGCTCCTTGAGGCACTCGTTCGCTAATCTTCACTTAAATATATCTCATTTAAGCCACCATTTACCCACACGGCAATTAGCTCATAGCAAAGAGTGACCGCTCCTCCCGTCCCGCGGCACAGGAGCTCCCGGGAAGCACTTTACCTGCAAAGTGTGGTTAAGCCACAGGCCCGGTGCCACCGAACCCATGAGGGCTGGGTCCCTGCAGGGCAGCCTGTGGTGGCCACAGGCAGCCCAGGGCGAGCCCTGACCTGACACAGAGCACGATGTGCCAGAGAGCTCAGCCAGAGCATCCCAAACACCCTGCTCCTGTTTCCCTAAATATCTGGAGAGAGCACTGGGTCAGGCAAACCTTCCCAGTGACTCTGCCTCATCCTCAGTTGCTGGAACTGATTAGGATCGTCCTGGGGTGGTGTCTGGCACCATGAGCCCTCTCATGGACAGTGCCATGCACAGTCCAGAGGACAGCATGTGGCAGGACTGGTGCCAGCACATCTACAACAGTAGACCCCAGTTTTAGAATCACAGAATCGTTAGGGTTGGAAAGAACCTTAAGATCATCTAGATCCACCCCCCCTGCCATGGGCAGGGACACCTTACGTTAAATCATATCACCCAAGGCCTCGTCCAGCCTGGCCTTGAACACTGCCAGGGATGGAGCATTCACAACCTCCCTGGGCAACCCATTCCAGTGCCTCACTACCCTAACAATATCCAACCTAAACTTCCCCTGTTTAAGTTTTAACCCATTACGTCTTGTCCTGTCACTACAGTCTCTAATGAAGAGTCCCTCTCCAGCATCCCTATAGGTCCACCTGTTTTGGTGGACAGAGGAGTGTAACAGGATGGGGCTGGAGGCTCTGACAACCCAATGGCCTTAGAACAAGCAGAGACCCAGCACACATGGGCTGTGATGAGCCAGAACCCCACTATGTGCTGGGCTGCACCCCCAGAGTGTGAGCAGCAGTTCAGGGAGGGGATCCTGCCCCTGTGCTGCGTGAAGGGGAGACCTTAGAGCAGCTCCAGTGCCTAAAGGGGCTGCAGGGAGCCTGGAGAGGGGCCTGGGACAAGGGCCTGAAGGGACAGGCCAAGGGGAATGGCTTGAACCTGCCAGAAGGGAGACTGAGCTGAGCTCTTAGGCAGAAGCTCTTCCCTGTGAGGGTGCTGAGGCGCTGGCACAGGGTGCCCAGAGAAGCTGTGGCTGCCCCATCCCTGGCAGTGCTCAGGGCCAGGTTGGACACAGGGGCTTGGAGCACCCTGCTCCAGTGGAAGGGGTCCCTGCCCTTGGCAGGGGGCTGGGACTGGATGGTCCCTTCCAACACAAACCAGCCTGGGATTCTGTGATTTACACACACCATGAAAACTGCACAAGAACCTCTATTCACAAGAACCTCTGTCTCACCAGGACATTTCTTTCTCTCTCCCCAGACAAACACGGTGCCCACGGTAGCAGTACTGTTCCCCAGAGACAACGCAGAAGATGAGTGGATCCTCTAAGAACAATAAGTCAACTGACATGGGAAGTAACCTGGTTGAGGATGAACACAAAGAGATGGGTGTTGGTGAGAGTAACTTCATAGCTGGAGTCTTCCTCCAGGCCATGAGTAAGAAGATGAGTATCTATGATGCCATGATAAGGGGGTTGCTGACGCCTGGCACAGCCCTGGTGCTGCTGGAGGCACAGGCTGCTTCAGGGCTCCTCACCGACCCTGTGAGGAACCAGAAGCTGTCGGTGGAAGAGGCGCTGACGGCGGGACTCATCGGCAGAGACTTCTATGAGAAGCTGCTGTCGGCCGAGGGAGCTGTCACAGGCTACACGGAGCCGTACACAGGCCACCACATCTCCCTCTTCCAGGCCATGAAGAAAGAGTTCATTGTGAAGGAGCATGCTGTCCGCCTGCTCGAGGCCCAGATAGCCACCGGCGGCATTATTGACCCCGTGCACAGTCACCGCATCCCGGTGGAAGTGGCCCACAAGCGCGGGTACTTTGACCAGGAGATGTGCCAGTTCCTTTCTAACCCCAAGAACCAGATAAGAAGTTGCTTTGACCCCAACACCCACGAGAACCTCACCTACATGCAGCTCCTGCGCCGCTGCGTGCCCGACCCGGACACGGGGCTGCCGATGCTCCACGTGATGGACAAGGGCTCTGCGGTCCATCAGCTCAGCAAGGATGCTCGGAAAGCCCTGCAGGCCACCCGCACCACGCTCAGCGTGGGGCTCTTCCAGGGCCAGAGCGTCAGCCTCTGGGAGCTCCTTTTCTCCCGCTACGTGCCCGAGCACCAGAGAGAGGAGCTCCTGAGGAAGTACAAGGCAGGGACTGTCACCATCCCGGAGATGAGCACTCTCCTCACCACCATCATCGCTGGGGCAGGAATGAAAAATGGGCATTTGAGCTCATCCACAGTTACAGCCGACACCAAGGTGGGAGCATCACACCCATCACGACCAGTTCAGGGCATGCACTCCCAAGAGCAACAGTTGAGAAAGTCCCTGAAGTCTGCAACCATCTATGTCACTGCTGGTGAATTCCAGGGGCAAAAGGTTTCCTTGCTGGATCTGCTCTTTTCCAGACATATCCCTCAAGGGAGGCGGCAGGAGCTGCTGGAGCTGTACAGAGCAGGGATACTGACCACAGAACAAGTGGCCACCGTGGTCACCACCATCATAAACAGAACTGCAGCTGCAAATGCCGCGCTCAGGGCCAGTGCCAGAGGTCCGCACAGGGCAGTGACAAAAGTGGAGGAGGATGGAGGTGATTCTTCAACACAATATGCACGACTAGATAACACCTTGAAGTCCACCACCATTGAAGTGCTAGCTGGCGACTTGCAGGGGAGGCGGGTGTCTGTGTGGGACCTGCTTTTCTCTGACTACATCCCTGAGGAGAAAACGCAGGAACTGCTGGAGCTGTACCATGAAAGGCTGTTAACTCTGGAGCAGATGATAACTGTTGTCACCACTGTCATTAAGAAAAAGGAATCTACAGGCAGGAAATTCCATGTTGCAGTCAAGGCGTCCAACAAGGACACCGTGACAGCAGCAGGAGAGAAGGATGGTGACTCCACCAAAGAGGAACCATGGGAAACAGCCTTGAAAACCACAGTGGTTGACTTGGATGTTGGAGAGTACCGGGGCCACAAGGTTTCAGTGTGGGACCTGCTGCACTCCAAGTATATCCCTGAGGAGAATAGGAAGGAGCTCCTGGAGCTGTACCAGGCCGGGGAGTTAACCCTTGATCAGGTGAAAACCGTGGTGAGCACTATTGTGTCAAAGGCAGAAGCAGCAAGGGCAAAGGAGAGCAGCCCCAGGGCAGAGTCGACGGCTGCAGGAGCAGAGCACACTGAGCTGCAGGAGGACAGGGCCTGGGAAGAGACCCTGAGGACCACCACAGTTGAGGTGTCAGAGGGTGATTTTGAGGGGGGGCAGGTCTCAGTGTGGGACCTGCTCTTCTCCGACTGCATCCCCAAGGAGAAAAGGCAGGAGCTGCTGGAGCTGTACCGTGCCGGGACATTGCCCTTGGATCAGTTAATAGCTGTTGTCACCACGCTTGTCAAGAAAAAGGAATCTACAGGCAGGAAATTCCATGTTGCAGTCAAGGCGTCCAACAAGGACACCGTGACAGCAGCAGGAGGGAAGGATGGTGACTCCACCAAAGAAGAACCATGGGAAACAGCCTTGAAAACCACAGTGGTTGACTTGGATGTTGGAGAGTACCAGGGCCACAAGGTTTCAGTGTGGGACCTGCTGCACTCCAAGTATATCCCTGAGGAGAATAGGAAGGAGCTCCTGGAGCTGTACCAGGCTGGGGAGTTAACCCTTGATCAGGTGAAAACCGTGGTGAGCACTATTGTGTCAAAGGCAGAAGCAGCAAGGGCAAAGGAGAGCAGCCCCAGGGCAGAGTCGACGGCTGCAGGAGCAGAGCACACTGAGCTGCAGGAGGACAGGGCCTGGGAAGAGACCCTGAGGACCACCACAGTTGAGGTGTCAGAGGGTGATTTTGAGGGGGGGCAGGTCTCAGTGTGGGACCTGCTCTTCTCCGACTGCATCCCCAAGGAGAAAAGGCAGGAGCTGCTGGAGCTGTACCGTGCCGGGACATTGCCCTTGGATCAGTTAATAGCTGTTGTCACCACGCTTGTCAAGAAAAAGGAATCTACAGGCAGGAAATTCCATGTTGCAGTCAAGGCGTCCAACAAGGACACCGTGACAGCAGCAGGAGGGAAGGATGGTGACTCCACCAAAGAGGAACCATGGGAAACAGCCTTGAAAACCACAGTGGTTGACTTGGATGTTGGAGAGTCCCGGGGCCACAAGGTCTCAGTGTGGGACCTGCTCTTCTCCGGCTGCATCCCTGAGGAGAAAAGGCAGGAGCTGCTGGAGCTGTACCGTGCCGGGACAGTCACCATTCAGGACCTGCTGAACACCACCAGCAGCGTGGTGGCAGACAGCAAGGGAAGCCATCTCACAACCCTTCCCCAGCAGACAGTGGACCTCCTGCAGTCTGAGGGCTCCTACATCACCTGTGGGCCCCTCCAGGAGCAGAGGGTTTCCGTGTGGGACCTCCTCTCCACCAAGCAAGTCTCCGAGTACAAGCGCGAGGCACATCTGGACAGTTACGGCACAGGCGGGCTGACAGTGAACAAGATCACCATCACCACCACCGTCATCACAGGCCCTCAGTGCCAGGCGAGGCACCGCCAGGACCCCTGACACCACCCCAGAGGAGGCACAAGCTTCATCCCGAGGGTTTCCTCTCCCATAACTCAGTGATGGGCAGGGAAGAGGTGACAGGCCTGTGTGTGGACCGGTGGCACCCAGTTAAACTTGCTGCTGTCCCAACTGCTGCGTGCCTGCATTTCTTTTGCGCAGCAGAGCTTCTCGGAAAGCTCCTGGGGAGGGTCCAGGCTGGTGGCTGCTGCTTTCTCTAGGGCACACACAGGCCCAGGGTAATGCGGGGCCAGCACCAAGCTAGTTGAGACGGTGAGTGCCAGGGTGAGGCAGCAAGCCCAGTGCAGGAGCCGTGGCAGCACCACTGCAGCCCCAGGAGAGGGACTCAAAACCTCTGCTCGGGGCAGCTCAGGTCCCCAGCGACCTCAAGAGCTGTAGGGAACAGCACGCGTGGCTGCACATGCCCGCGGGATGCTCAGCCCTGACCTGTCTTCGGGCTGTGCTGCAAGCTGGGGGGTGCATGGGGCTCTGCATGTGAGGAATAGGGATTCTGCCAGTGCTCCGACACCCCAGTGCTGGGACACTGCTTTGTGCAGGGCACCCATGGGAGAGGGGACACCTCAGGCAGGGCAGGACGGCTCTGCATGCACCAGGGGACGCCAGTACCGGTGCCTATAAGGGTCACTGCCCATCACAAGGGGAGAAGCACCCATGGAACACCCCATGGTCAGTGCACTGGGGGGCAAACATGGGTCCCTTCCCATGCCCCTGCATACATGCACAGTACCACGTGCACAGGGGTGCACACCACAGCACTGTGCATGTATGTGCTGTAGAACCATGCTGTGTGGCCACACGTGTGCCACATAGGCGTGTGTTGCAGGGCTGTGCACACATGTGCCATGTGATGCATGCACCAGGCTGCACACACAGGTTCTGCAGAGCCACGTACCGCCACAGTCATGCAGCAGCAATCCATGTGTTGTGGGGAATGGTGAGGGGGACACACAGCACAGCCTGAGGGGTGTCTGCGTAGGTCCGTCCCCATTACCTGTTCTGTGTGTGTGTGTGTGCATCCCTGTTACCTGCTCTGTGTGCGTGTGCATCCCTGCTACCTGCTCTGTGTGTGTGTGTGCATCCCTGTTACCTGCTGTTTGTGTGTGTGCATCCCTGCTACCTGCTCTGTGTGTGTGTGTGCATCCCTGTTACCTGCTCTGTGTGTGTGTGTGTGCATCCCTGTTACCTGCTCTGTGTGTGTGTGTGCATCCCTGTTACCTGCTCTGTGTGTGTGTGTGTGCATCCCTGTTACCTGCTCTGTGTGTGTGTGTGCATCCCTGTTACCTGCTCTGTGTGTGTGTGTGCATCCCTGTTACCTGCTCTGTGTGTGTGTGCACATCCCTGTTACCTGCTCTGTGTGTGTGTGTGCATCCCTGTTACCTGCTCTGTGTGTGCGCATCCCTGTTACCTGCTCTGTGTGTGTGTATGTGCATCCCTGTTACCTGCTCTGTGTGTGTGTGTGCATCCCTGTTACCTGCTCTGTGTGTGTGTGTGCATCCCTGTTACCTGCTCTGTGTGTGTGTGCATCCCTGTTACCTGCTCTGTGTGTGCGCATCCCTGTTACCTGCTCTATGTGTGTGTGTGTGCATCCCTGTTACCTGCTCTGTGTGTGCGTGCATCCCTGTTACCTGCTCTGTGTGTGTGTGTGCATCCCTGTTACCTGCTCTGTGTGTGTGTGCATCCCTGTTACCTGCTCTGTGTGTGCACATCCCTGTTACCTGCTGTGTGTGTGTGTGTGTGCACATCCCTGTTACCTGCTCTGTGTGTGTGCGCATCCCTGTTACCTGCTCTGTGTGTGTGTGTGCACATCCCTGTTACCTGCTGTTTGTGTGTGTGCATCCCTGTTACCTGCTCTGTGTGTGTGCATCCCCGTTACCTGCTCTGTGTGTGTGCATCCCTGTTACCTGCTCTCTGTGTGTGTGTGCATCCCTGTTACCTGCTCTGTGTGTGTGTGCACATCCCTGTTACCTGCTCTCTGTGTGTGTGTGCATCCCTGTTACCTGCTCTGTGGTGTGTGTGCACATCCCTGTTACCTGCTCTGTGTGTGTGTTTGCATCCCTGTTACCTGCTCTGTGTGTGTGTGTGCATCCCTGTTACCTGCTCTGTGTGTGTGTGTGCACATCCCTGTTACCTGCTCTGTGTGTGTGTGCATCCCTGTTACCTGCTCTGTGTGTGTGTGTGTGCATCCCTGTTACCTGCTCTGTGTGTGTGTGTGTGCATCCCTGTTACCTGCTCTGTGTGTGTGTGTGTGCATCCCTGTTACCTGCTCTGAGTGTGTGTGCATCCCTGTTACCTGCTCTGTGTGTGTGTGCATCCCTGTTACCTGCTCTGTGTGTGTGTGTGTGCATCCCTGTTACCTGCTCTGTGTGTGTGTGTGTGCATCCCTGTTACCTGCTCTGAGTGTGTGTGCATCCCTGTTACCTGCTCTGTGTGTGTGTGCATCCCTGTTACCTGGCTCTGTGTGTTTGCATCCCTGTTACCTGCTCTGTGTGTGTGTGTGCATCCCTGTTACCTGCTCTGTGTGTGTGTGCATCCCTGTTACGTGCTCTCTGTGTGCGTCCCTGTTACCTGCTCTCTGTGTGCGGTTTTGTGTCCCTGAGCTGCTGCTCACGCTCTGGGCTGCACCCAGCACACGGGAGGTTCTGGGCTCCAGTGCTCACTGAAGCTGGGTCCTGGGGAGCTTATCCCCCCCCCCCCCCCCCCCCAGGACCCCAAGTCCTGCTCCTCAGGCTCCAGCCCCTCTCCCCCAGCCTGCGTCAGTGCTGGGGTTGCCCCGACCCAGGGGCAGGACCTTGCCCTTGGCCTGGTTGAGCCCCAGGAGGTTCCCACCTCTCCAGCCTGCCCCAGTTCCTTTCAGTGCTGGCAGCAGTTGCTGTGCTCCCGCTCTGGTTCCTGCACCCTTGCTGTTGCCTGGTGCCCGGTTGCAGTTGGACGTGCACAAGGTCCGGCCCCCTCCATGTTCGTGCTTCTCGGAGGGGGTTGGCACCAGGCTGTGGCAGTGGCTGTGGGGTGGACGGGCGCAGCAGGGTGATGAGGCTCCTGCGATGAGCCGGTTCCAGCCCCAGCCTGCCCAGGGCTGGAAGGTTCCAGACGGTTCCCAGGACTCAGCTCTCAGTCCCGCAGGAACTGCTGAATATCCAAAAGAGAAGCTGAAAGAAAATGGGGCAGGGTGAGGGGAAAGCCGCATACATCTGCATAGCGATGAGCTGGCTGCCGGCGCACAGCTCCGAATGGGCAGCGGAGCGCGGGGCGGGCTGGTGCCTGCGCTGGTTCCTGCGGGAACATTGCTCCTCAGTGGACGCGCTGAGGAACTTCTTGCTGTCATGGGAGAAGACAGGTTGAGAGAATCATGGGATCGTGGAACCAACGGGTTGGGAAAGATCCTCAGGATCATCCCGTCCAACCATTGCCCACCCCTGCCAAGGCCACCACTAACCCATGGCACTGAGGCCTCGTCTCCACGGTGTGTGAACGCTTGCAGGGATGGTGCCTGCAGCCCTGCCCCGGGAAGCCTGTTCCAATGCCTGAGCACCCTCTGGGGCAGGAATTGTTCCTCAGCTCCATCTAAACCTGCCCTGGTGCAGCTTGAGGCCGGTTCCTCTCGTCCCATCCCTTGTTCCTTGGGAGCAGAGCCCAGCCTTTGGGGCTATGGCCCCATGACAGTGCCCTCAGTGAGGGACCCAGGGCCAGCCAGGCCTTGTACCCAGCTGGAGCACTTCACCCACAAGAACAAAGCTGGTGGGGCTGGCAGGGTGCTCGCAGGGCAGCAGCTTCCACCTTCCCGCAGCACGGGCAGGGTCCCTGCTCCTCTGCGCCAGGAGCTCGTCCCACGCTGCTCCTGCAGCAGCTGAAGCATCCTCCCAGCTCTCGGCCAGCTCAGACCAATCTCCTTCTATGCAAAACGCACCCATCAGCTCCAGCAGATCTGCTGCTGCTCCCCTGTTCTGTGCTGATAACACCCCCCCGGGCAGCCTTATCTCCCCTCCACGCCTGCTTTGCGGGGCTCTCCATCTAGGGTGCTCTCAGCTCCCCACCACATGCCCTCAGTCGCTCTTCTCTGCACCTTCTCTAAGACTAAACCTGGCTTTTAGCGTGGCTGGTGCATGATCTGTAAATACAACCCTGGCACCATCTCCCCCCTGAGAAACACATCCCAGTAGATTAAGAAGGCACCACGTTTCTGTGGCTGCCATCTACAGCAGCATCCTGAGCTGCTGAACACACGCAGGCCTTTTCCCCTCTACTCACTTCCAAATCAGGGGCCTAATTCATGGCATAAATGTTTGTTCAGCGTCCCCAGGGCATGACTTTGCATTTTGTACTGTTCCATTTCCTCCCATGACTTAGTTCAGCCTCAATGTCACCAGTGCCCTGGACGTTGTCCCAGCCCTCCACCAGCTCCCTGCCTGTTGCTAAGCTCAGGCCATCACCTGATATTTTATGCCACAGTCACTGGTACAAGCATTGCATTCATTTGCCTCCAGAGCCATATTCTCCAGGTCCCCCTTTCAGCACAATCCCATCTCCCAGTGGGTGGCAGAACCCGGGATGTGTCCCAAGCCCTGCCCCAGCCGGGCTGCTACAGGAGACAGGAGCTGCTCTTTTGGCTTGACTGCTGTTGTGATCCGCTGCTATGTGCAAACGTCTTGGGTTTGTCCTCACGGCACAAAGCAGAGCTCGGACTGGCTCCACCAACAGCGCAGTCAGCTCAACTGAAAGCCTTTGAGCTTCTGCTAACCAAGATCAAAGCTAAAAGGGAACAAAAGACATTGTTCTGATGGAAGCTTTTATTAACTCTCCACTTAACTGGTTCTACTTCTTAGGAAAAGGTGAAAAAAGGGGTTTAAATGCTTTTGGAACTGGGAACTCCCCAGTCACACTGTGACAGCACAAGTGACTCCTAACTCCTGGCTGCTCAAGCAGCAAAGGCAGGGTAAGAACAAACCCCGGCTGGGGAGAGGGGCGGGAGCAGCCCGAGGAGCAGGACTTGGGGTGCTGGGGGAGGAGAAGCTCCCCATGAGCCGGCTTCAGTGAGCGCTTGAGCCCAGAACCCCCCCGCGTGCTGGGTCCAGCCCAGAGCGTGAGCAGCAGCTCAGGGAGGGGATCCTGCCCCTCTGTTGAGGGAAGGGGGGACCTGAGAGCAGCTCCAGTGCCTGAAGGGCTGCAGGGAGCCTGGAGAGGGGTTGGGACAGGGGAGGCAGGGATGGGAGGAGGAGGAACGGCTCCAACTGAGAGAGGGAAGAGTTGGATGGGATCTTGGGATGAAGTTCTTCACCATGAGGGCAGTGGGACACTAGAAAGGGTCAAAAGGAGAAGCTGTGGCTGCCCCAGCCCTGGCAGTGCTCAAGGCCAGGTTGGATGGGGCTTGGAGCACCCTGTTCTAATGGAAGGTGTCCCTGACCTTGGCAGGGGGCTGGAGCTGGATGAGCTCTAAGGTCCTCCCCCAACACAAACCATTGCATGATTTGATGATTCTAAAGGAACCAGCTCAGAT